AGAATCAAAAACTGTGGATTTTTTAAAAGGCCTGAATATCTTGTTAAAATAACATTGTTAAAATATTAAATTTGTTCTGGTTATGGTATATTTTTGGTTATGGTTCTTTTTTTATTCTTTGAATGTTCTGTAATCTGTTATCTGAAACTATCTGTATTAGTGCTTGGCTTTTATATTCAGGGTTATGATTCAAATATCATTCAAAAAATGTTTTGAATAAAGATGTAGCTGTATTTTTGATAAAAGGGAAAACCTCATAAATTCACAAGTCACAATATTTAGGATGCCATGATACATTCCTTGACATTTGTCACATGAATAGATTAAAAATACCCTGGCACTGGTTTAAACTGAAAATAGTTTATATCATCGGTATATGACTATGAATTCAGTTTCCAGATAAAAGTTTTTCAAACTGTTCTTTACTTTTTCTATCTCCTACTTTCTATGTTACTTCTGTTCAGTTCCATTCCCACCAGTTCTTTGTTCAATTTGCACTTTTTTGTTATTTGTTATGTGGTTCTAGGGTTGTTCAGTTCAGTTGTTTATATTACGGGGATGATGTAACTTGGAAATGGGAGACAATTAAGAATTTAACTCTTTTTTTTTTAATTTCATTTTTATTTACTAGCTCTAGATAGCATTTTGCTGGATTGCTCTAACTATTAATTTGTGCATTTTATATATGTATTTTGATTTAGTGGATTGTATTTTTTATATTAATGTTAAAATAGTTACTTGGCATTTTGGAAAATATTTTAATTTGTTTTCTGAATCTTGAATAATTTTGAAAAAACATTGCAAATAGTTTGGCTTTTTACAATTTTTTTAATTTTTATTTTATAGTTATGTTCATGTAAGCTTAAAAATTGAATTAGATGCTTATAAAAGTCACAAAGTTTCTGAAACAATGAAAAATATTCTCTAGAATTTACTTTTAGTCACCTAAGTAGCAATCAGTAGTAGTAGGAGGTAGATGGTTGTCTAATGCACATAAATATTATCTCATAGCCTTATTCATCAGCACAATATCCAATATAGAGACCTTTTACTAGAAATATTGTTTGTCAACAAAGCTAGATATTTATAGTGTATTGATGTATCCCCTGACATAATGTATTCCTTTATATTCCTCATTTTGGTACAATGAACTAATAGATTTCGTGTAGATAATTACATAATCTAGCCTGTCGATAATATTACAGCTTTCCAATAATTATATTCAGTGTATATTGGGCTTAATGAAAGTTTGAAATTGGCAAGGAATATTTCTTGTGAAAGGTCAACTGTACTCAATTCTGATCCAAACCTCATCATGCACTGTTTCACTACCAATTCAGCTGCTTCCAAATTGGGTGTTTTTCTTATCAAACTCTACTGATATTATTCAGGTATTCAGACAATGTCAGTGTGTTATGATAGACACCAACTTTGAGAAGCATCCCTTAATAATATTCAATATTTTTGAAAGTTTTCTGATCTGTGAAAATGGTACTATTTCAGGGAGAAGAATTGTGAAAAGATAGAAACAATGAGAAAAATATTCTCCAATGAAGTAAGTTATCATAATTTTTCTTTAACAATTAGGGCAGGTACTCATTCACTTCCACTCTTAAAAGATTTGTCAGCTAGGTTAATGGAGACCACGAACTTCCAGTCAACATTTGGTCTGATTATCTTAGTATGTCCATTGAGTTGTAAAGAAGCACTTTGATATATTGATTCTGAAACACTTTCTGAAAGCATATTGTCTTGTGTTAATTTAGATATACCTTATATCATTTTGGAGAGGTTACATAGTCTCGTACATCTTTCTCTCTTTATATATTTTAGCTGAGTGCAGACAAATGTATAAAGGCGTTAGAAGATACACAATGGGACTTACATAAGGCAGTGAAATATGTGAAATTAAAACAATTATTAAGTGTACAATTAGGGGACATTCATCAGTGTAAATCAGCTCTGCTTAAAACTAACTGGGATGTTAGGAAAGCTGCAAAATATATGATGAGCTCTTCACTACACAGTCCTGTGACAATAGATGTGTGAGAGTAGTGTTTATATAATTAGTGGCTATATCTAATGAGGTTGGCAATGTTAGTTATTCTTGTGCAGTTAAACATTGGAATGCTTGGAATGGGACATCATACCATTAGATAATGAAATGCTTGAAATTTGGACTTCATGCTGCAAATAGATAATGGAATTATCAAATGGGTCTTCACAGCAAAAAAAATCAAAAGATAATGAAATGCTTGAAATTTGGACTTCATGCTGCAAATAGATAATGGAATTATCAAATGGGTCTTCACAGCAAAATAAATCATAAGATAATGGAATGCTTGAAATTTGGCATTCATGACACAATTATATACTGGTTATGGAATCATCAAACGTGGACTTCATATCACAAAAAATATTGAAGTGCTTGAATATTGGACACAAATTAATACTGAAATATCAAATTTTGGGAGTATTTCATGCCATGATTATTCTCTTTGTTGATTTGTTTCATGAACATCAGAACTTTGGCTGAAAACTATTGAACATGATAGAATCACAAACCTGATTGTAATGTAAATAATGTAACAATCACATCATGTTCCATTCTCTTTGATATTGTTATGATCACACTTTTTGGGTTATTTGCAATTGAGGTTGATGGTCATGATTTTTATTCATTCAGAAATACTTTTTAGTAATGATGACATACCTTTTAGCATAAACAAACAGGTAGGAAGTAAATTTAGGTTTAAAAGTTAACCGTCTATATCTTAAAACTGACAAGATATCTGCTGTCTCTGTGTCTGAAGTTATAATGTAAATGGTATAATAAAGCTGATATTGCCAGTTTTTCTGGTCAATAAGTATATATTTATGTGACAAACCATATCAATGTAGTAGAATCAGATAATTTGTAAGTCTTTGATTTTAAACATCTTTTAATGCCAAGTGTTAAAAATATTCTGAAATGTGCCATTATAATTCCTAGCTCTTCCTGTTTTCTTTCAATTTTCGTAATTATTTGTGTATCTTTCTTTGATATCCCATAATTACAAAACCGGTATTTTCTTCAATCAAAATACATGATATGTTCTGAATTTTCAGATAATTTGGGTTTCTTGAAGCTTATACAAAGACATTTGAACACAGCAATTCAACATGATTTACTATTTGTTACTAGTATCAAGACCCTTTTGTTTTTTTGGGACAATTTACGATAATCATTTAGTCTGAAAACACCATGTTTATCAACGTTGTTAAATCAACAGAAAATGAAATCCCCACAATTCTGATTTTTATATTTGAACAAATTATGCGTCTGACATCACTCCCAGGTTATGTATCTAAAATGATGTTACAGTTCTTTAACTAAACTATGTTTGAATAGATTGTGGGGAAAGTTTAAGATTAACATGAATTATTTGAAGATTAGAATAATGATGTGAATTATGATATTATTGTACTATTGAGTTTTATTTATCATTGTGTATTCTGTTTCATCTTTCAATATCTTTAAGCTTCTTTTACAAACACTGTTACTATTAATTGGTTGAAAATTCCAATGATTAGAGGTCAACCTACTTTAAACTATTTCTGAGATAAATATTATTAAGTCCTAGTTGATAAACACAATAAATTTAAAAGTATTAGGCCTTTTTAGATTATATGTAAATATGTATGAAAAGTTTGGTTAATAGACTTGCCAATTTTTAGTGCAATATATTTTGCTGTTAATTGCATAGTTTTTATCTTAAATTGTTCTTTATATATGTTGTATTTCCTTATTACTAGTCATAACTATGGATGCATCTTGTTATTGTGTCTTGTTTTCTCCATCAATTGACTGCTTTTGTTAATGGCTGAAATAACCTTGCTGTCACTGTTCTTGCTAATATATTACTTATTCAGTGTGAAAATTAATTGCTCTGTCAAATTTCTTTCCATGTTACCAATGTAATAAATGCACCATTATGAAAATCTCTATGGGCTACTTAAATAAATATATATATATATATTTACAGTAAATTTTATACACCACAATGTATATACCACAGTCATTCTGAAATACCATGGCAGATTAAGTGTTGGTAATGGAACTTTTCACTTATTAATCATCCTGGCATTCAGTAATGTCAGTTCACTTATTTGAGAATGAGGTAACTTCCTTAAGAATGGGTACATTTAATCTACAATTAAACATAATTGCTAGAACAGCTTTGCATTTGAAATTCTACAATTTTCATTTGTGAAAATAACTCATGCTTTTCCTTGCTTGCCTTTTGCTTATTTTCTACTTTCATGTGATTAATACACCATGGCATAATAACGCTTTGTTTCTTGTTTTTGTTACCATTTTACTGTATAAAGACATGTTTTTACTGTATATTATTCTTATACTTTGTAAGATAGACCAGTTATATCCTTTTGTGCTAATCCTTTAGAGTTATTCCCCTCTATGCTTAACTACCCACTAAGTTACACTGTATTGAAATTGCTAATACTGCTGAACACTTTAAACTATTCTATATCTTTGCCGAATTCGGTTGGCAAGATGATAAAAACATCAGAAGATATAGGATTGCATTTATACTCATTGCTTTGCTGTACTATAATATATAATGTGCTTCCTTCTTTAATGTGCTATTTGCAAAGCGTATCATCCATTTTATACTCTTGAATTCATTATTGGGCATTTTCTCTCATAAATGTATGTTGTCATGTTTTTTTGATGTTTTCAGGTTTTTCATTATGCAATTGTCAGTGAAATCTACATAAACTTTGACATTTAAGAATGAAAAACCCAGAATTATACCAGAAATGAAAAATATCATAATCATTTTAAGATCTGAATATCTAAGTACTAATGCATTGTATGTGTAATTATATGTGCTACATGTAAATAGTACATTTTGTAGGAAAAACCAATTCATATTAATACTTCAAATAAAATCTTACAATATTGATGGTTGTTTTTTGTTCAGTTCATGTTCATTATTAAAAGGAAAATACATAATTTTATTGGAAAACTTTACAAACAATAAAAAATGAATTTGAACTAAATGAGGTGTCAAGGATTCAAGGATGTCAGATCTAAACTTTTCAAAAGGTTAACAGAAGATACACAGAGTTTAGTCAGGAAAGCATTATAGTAAGATCTCAACAAAATATACACCTTGAGATTTTCAAAACTATTCTATTGTTTCTATCACTTGATCTATAACAAACGTATGTCTATCTGCAAGTAATCTTTTATTATTTATAAATATCAGATCCATCTGTGGTCTTCTTGGATTGAAAAATGGATGGTTATTCTACGACAAACAAATCCAGCTCAAGATTTCACAGGGATTTTCTTTCTATCTAGTCCAGGATAAATTAACTGAATACTTCTGTTTCTATACCGTATTTCAATACAGTAGAGAGTAGGAGGTAGAAAACACGGTGTTCATCACGTGAGCACATCCAAAAACGGTAAGATTTGAAAGTGTTACCATCTGTATGTTGGACTGATCAATGGCCCTTGGCATCATAACTTCATTATTGTTTTATACTGAGGTTTGCTTTACTCACATAATCTTTTCTTTTAATGCATATGTACAGGTCCACTATCACCACAGTGAATTTACACATCTTCAGCTTCAAAATTATTTAAGTGAGTCTTTTCACGATATAGCACTTCTTCATTGTCTCTATCAATGAGCAACAGAATAGACGACCCCAGCATAAATATAGCAGATCCCCATCCGATACCATACGCCCAACCAAACTCCCATCGCACTTCTGCTCTATCACCGATTTCTTCTAAGAACTTGACTGGGAAGATGATTAATGATATGGCTTGGAGAGCAACTGAAAACAAACAAAATAGTTTACATATACATAACTCACCAACATTGTATGGCTTCAAACACGGTTTGCATGCTGACTACCATCAGTTAGTTCGATAATTTCGAATGATTTGAGCTTCTACCAATCCCCCAACTCCTCTTGGTTTTGGGTTTTGACGATAATTAGCAGTCTGTCTTACAGATCGTCAAAATGACATTTAAATTATAGACTAGGTTGCTGTTAGAGAGGTAAAGGCAGTGGTTTATTGAGGTTTATCCTGTATACAGACATCTGGTGTAATTGGATTAAATTGTCTTGCTATATTATACTATTAACCGCTTTTTAGTCATCTACATCTCCGGAACTGACAAGGAAAAAAACATTAGCTCTACATCAGATTAGTCGAAGATCCATGAACAGATTTCGAAAAGTTTCAAAGGCCTCCTGATTGTAACCTGATGACTAACTATGACGAATGACGATTATATTAATTGAATTTGACCTACCTGCAACAAACATAATGATCATAGCAGCTTTGTAATAATGATATTTCCATCGAAATCTTTCTGTATTTAAACCAACACAGGCAACAATAACAGAACATAAACAGACAGCTACAGCACTTAGACATAATACTCTACAAGCTTCAATCCACGCTAAAAATAGAACGATGCATATACCAACAAAGAGACCTTACGGTTTAGTCAATTACATAAAAACGATGGTGAAATTGTGTGACATACGCCATCAAAACTTGTGGCTTTGAAGTTTTTCATTGTTAAAAGGTACCTGACAATTCTCAATATGGCACAATCTAAGCGCATTCAAATACTACATCCATTGCATAGTATAAGGCGAGTAGCAATACTAAATGGAGTTTGTATATGACATAATTTCAAACTTTGAAGTGTTTAAAACCATCTGAAATTTGTTCAGGCGTGAACCAAGCATATTGTATAAGATCTGCTCGCATTTTGTCTAATTTACCAATCTAACTGGAAGTGGTCAAAATGCAGTGGCGTGAAGGGGCGAGTCGGGGCCACAGAATTGAAACAGGGGGCCGAAAAACGGCCAGCTCATTTCAATCCCAAAGAAAAGCTCAAAATTACAAATAAAAATATAAATATATATTTGTTGATCAATTACTTTAAAATACTAAAACAAATAACGTGTGTAACCAGGTACCACAGAACTACTTACTGTATGAAAGCATAAATACGGTGATAAATACAGATACCTTGTCTAAATTACATAGTCACAACAACAACTAGTAAAACAACTGATAATCAATGTTTTAAACGACACACAAGCTTTAATTACTAGCGTTCTAAACTAATTGTAACCAAATCATATTCTACTCGAAACTTAGCAATACTTACTGATTCCTGGAGCAGCAAAATGAAAGAATACAGATTAGGCAAAGAAGCTAATATTGATGGGATTCTGATATTTCTGCTATGAAGGCACAGGTTTTCATTTTGTCGAATGTTTAACATAATATATTTTATTTCTGTTAAAAGACCAATTTTGGGTACAGAACATAACAAAATTTAACAAATGCAGTATTCATTGAAATAATCCTGCCGAACACACTAATGGTAAGATGCTGCAATTTCTCTCCATCATCTTTCTATGGAGATATATTTCCAGTTTCCAACATTCTTGGACACTACAAGAGCTATCCGGTTCACTTTATTAGAATTTGGTCGAAACAATTAGCAAAGAAATGTTCAGCTTACCTCGTGGTTGGTTTTTCTGACATTCAATATCTAGATCATCTTTATCGGTTCTTCTACATATTTCCCATAGGCCTTCTCTTCTACCATCAGCTTCTAACCAGGTTGTAGCTGCTATAGACAGCATCATCAGAAACAGAGCAACACAACCACACATCACAGCTACTACCTATCAACATCGGATAATTATATGGACATATCAATGTATAACTTGACATTGTAATCATAGACAGCATCATCAGAAACAGAGAAACACAGCCACACATAACAGTTACTACCTATCAACATCGGATAATTATATTGACATATCAATGTATAACTTGACATTGTAATCATAGACAGCATCATCAGAAACAGAGAAACACAGCCACACATAACAGTTACTACCTATCAACATCGGATAATCAGTGGCGTCGACATCCTCCTGTATTTAAAAATAGGGGCAGACTGAAATAATGGGGTGGGACAATTGTCGGGGTTTAAATGAAGAACTGGGAGTTTGGGGGTGTAACAAGAAAAAATTTAAAAATGAAATTGATTTGGAACATTCTGAAACATATTTTGGGGCAAATGTCATGACATTACATAGCTCGAGGCTTGAGGCCCGCCATCAAGTTGATATCTAATAGTGAGCATGCAAACGTATAAAATTCGAAATCAATTGGGGATACAATTGGCGGACAATAATTGTGAGCACTTATCATAGCTTTAAGAAACTGTCTGACCATTCATACTACAAAGTATGGAAGCCGACTGTAACCATATCTACAAAAAGCCCCCTTTCCCCCTTTGTCGTATGAAACAAAACATTGTGTAAGTAAGGCGTCAATCCAAATTTTCTATTAAAGTACGTAACAATCTTGGCATCTTGTTATGGGATTATTTATACTACTTGTGTAATATAGATTAGTTTTTATAGATTTTTCTTGATAGTGTCATATCTTTACCGTCCCATCATAAACAACCTTGATTTATACTAAGGTTCCCTTAGTTATTTGTAGTAAATAATGGTTTTAAAAAGGCTGTGCTATCACAAAAAATCCATAGGGCTCATTTGAAACCTAGATGAGAGTGTGCTTTCTCTTATACATCAATCATGAGGGTGGTAATGATATATCATCAAAAATAGACATGTGTAGCAGGAGGTAAATAAATTCTACAAGAAAATAGTGTCATATTATGTAAGACGCCAATAACGGCAAGAGAACTTCTGATGTTACAGCCATTATTTGCAAGAGCTGATCCGGAGTCGAAATTGAAGAGTGGCCAAGATCCACCGAAACAGGGGCAGCTGACAGTCTTGGATCCCATCAGTAACAAAAAGTAGGGCGAAAGATTCAGTTAACGCCGCCGGGAAGCGTATAGGCCCTACATCATTTTTTTTACAGTGATAACAACTATAAATGCGCTCATATCAGACGACTAAAGTTAAGGCACTTTAACTATCAGCCGTTCTTTGAGTCTGGTTTACTGACGGTTTTTTGGTGATTGGGTACATGGCTATGCTTTCGCCATGTAAAGCCGGGCCAGCCTCTTGTGTGATGGGGGTGGGGCCGCCACTGGGGGAAAGATGACTCAGATTCGAGCCTACGTCCACCATTAGTGTTACCAAGTAAATGATGTTAAATTCTACCGCACTATCTATCGTCTAGTGAAAGATAAAAACGGTAAAAGATTGTGTCATAACTTTTGTCAATGTTTCAACCGGAAAGTGATGTTATAATGAAAATAGGTCGCAGACCTGGCGGAAACAAGTCTCGTAATTAAAAAAACAATCTAATATCCATAGCTGACTCTATAGCCCACACAATGATGCTTGATGAAATGTCACACCAAATCTTTTTCTATTCCCTTTATCAATAATTCATGTGTCATTATCTTTGTTTCTTTCACAATAGAATGTCAATCAGATTACTGAATGTGCTAAGACTGAGAATGCCATCACAGAATTTGGAACAAATAACACATTTTTCATTAATTAAAGGACGTCCACAATAAAACATTGTGGAATTTGTTCAGAACAGATGGTTATTATTGTAAGTTTTAGTATAAATAGTATTTGGCAACTCGTCAAAACTAACTTCATTAATTACTTCACCAACGTATAAATATGTTCCGTTCAAAAATATACCTAGTTCATTTAGAAGCCTGTACTTAAAGAATAAATATGCCATGATTACAGGCAAAGGATAATTCTAACTACCAAGAAAGCACCGGCGGGAAATAGGCTTCGTCTCTTAATTGGAATTTGATTGATCAGATCTTGGAGGGGACCTAAATTCATTTCCGTATAGCGGAAGTCATGATTTTATAAATTATTTGATCTAGTTCAACCATTTCCCATACAGTATTGGAGCCTATGAATATAAAATCTGGCTCTCAAAACACAAACCTTCAGTGGCCTGACAATGACAATCGTTTCTATAGCAACCGTTGGTGCCATTTTTAGCTTCTGCTATATATCTTCTGCCGTTTACAATGCGATAAGATGTTATTGCATGAGACCTGTAAGATAATTGATACCAAATGTAATCAAATAAATATCAAATTACACTCAAACATTATGGTCTAATATAATTCAGCACAACATTCTTCTCATGATGGCACATAGACTTTAGTCGACACTTAGTATATGCATTGGAGCCTCAAATACAACCTGCCCCAACGAGAAAATCTCATAGTATATGACAGAGGGTCCAAAATTTGTCCAAACGCCGTGTTCGTGGCTACATGGGTACAAAAAATTGGATTACACCCCTTAAAGAAAACCTATCAACCAATTCCATGACTGCAACTAAACACTATTGCCTTCCCTTATATATTACTAGCCCCTCCGAACAATCAAGTCTGGTTACGGGCTTGCTCGGACTTGCTTACGGGCTTAAGTTGCAGTAGCCAAATTAAGGTCGGAGTTACGAATCGGTAGGTTTAATCACATATTCTGAACTAAACTTGTTTGATCCAGTCAGACATGGTTTTGGCAGACATGATTAGACGATTCTGATATCGTTTAATTTTGGATTTCACAAGAACTATATCTCACTGTATATTTATGAGTATTCTACGTACGTTTGTTGTGCATAAAGATTGGATTAGGGTGTGGAGAAATGGTGTTTCCTTTCCACAAAAATAAAATCTTTCAAAGTTCTTACCTTTCTATTGGTTTCTGCTAACTCATGAACAGATATAACTCGGTTACATATCGATATGTTTACCGTTGCTCGCCATAGAAATCCACTTAATCTGTCTAAATAGAAATTCCACTAAGGACCAATTGCACTATAGTCTGTTAACGACCCTCGTGTATCCGTATTATGCCAATCAAAGGCAACCACTATCCACACAATGGTCAGTAACGGTTGTCCGACATTTGTATTGGAGAGTAAAAGATGGTTTGTTTCGTCTGCTAATGTATAGACGCTAAAGAAATTATTTGCAGACGTCAGAATTGGTTTGAATCTTTGCCAATGTTGAGTAAATATCCTCACTACATGATCATGTGAAATGAAGTCTATTTAGGTATCGGTCTATTGAAACCTGCAGAACTGTTGAATATCATGGAAGAGAATTGTATAGATAACATGTTAGCAATTAACAATCTTTACGACACTAATGAAGTTCTATAGAGAGTAATTGATATCTTTATATATGGAAGGTGATCTGTTAATTTATTGCAATACGATAAAAATGGATTAAGATTGTTCTTATTACACACGAATAAACTAAACAGTGGAGTTTCTCGGAATCATTAGATGAGGGGCCGTCTCAGGGTCAGAAAACTTTAAAGGGGGGCAATTCTTCCCTTATGTGTAATGTTAAGTAATTTGAAAATGGTGGAAGATCAGCCTCTTTTCTGGGGACCATGACCCCCCCCCCAAAAGCATTTTGACGCATTTTTACTAAGTCAAGGGCAATAACTCCAAAACTTCTCATCCAATTTTTACCAAATTCGACCTAGATACCATCAATATATACATGCATACCAAGTTTCGTGCCTACAAGAAATGTGAACGGACGGACGGAGACGACGGCAATATACATCCACATTTCCATATGATTATACATGGACCTCAATCAGTAACGCATATACTAAATGACACTAATGATCAAGTCTGCCATGGACGAGTATATCATGTATATTTTGTAATCCGGAATAGTATCTTTTTTGATACGATAGAGTTAATAAATCTCAAAGTTAAACCATTTATACAAGGTCTTGATTGAAGAATTCTTTCTACAGTCAGTTCGAACATTCTTGATAGGGTACGTTCGATACTTATGGTTGAAGTTTACAGATTTCTATACAGATTGAAAAAAGACCAATTGAACGAATCCTCATCACTGTATCTACACTGTATTGTTTTTTAATCCAAGCATGGATGCGAGCTGAAATCAGGGGTTGGGATAGGAAAGCTACCGTTTGTACCCAAGGCGCTCATTGATGAATGCAAAGGTCAAAGGCTAAAGACCCCACAATAGACTTTCACTTTTAAAGGTATGCAATTGTTACTTATTTTGTCTTTATTCGTTGTAAAACACATAGTCAGATGGGGGATTAAAACCGAGGTCTTTTCAAGGAACATAAGCATTTGGAAATCGAACAACAATAAGAAACTAACACTAAAAATCTTTGCTCATTGAATGTATGTGGATATTCGTTCACCTTGCCGCTATATAAAGGATTTTCTTTCCATTTTTTAGAATTTGTGTCCATCTCGTAGGACATAAATGGCTTTGATGAAAGAACCAATTGAAAACGGAAATTATAATCTTACATGAGCGGTAGATGGGTGTTCGAGTGCTAGAGGCATCGACCGGTGAAGTGGATTAGCTAAAGTGTCCACTACATTGTGTGATCGAATGATATATCCAGCTCATGCTTGTGATGCTGGTTTTGAAGAAGGTCATCTGGGTGAGCATAGCATGGATAGACTATAGTAATCCCGAAGCAGATTTCTGAACGAGAGTCGGACACGTAGTTGCTGGAGATGTGGGTTTCCTGGTGGTGCTAGGTGTGCTTTGTGGTGGGCTTGAGTAGGTGTTAGGGTCAATTATTGGACATGAACTAGTTACCTAAGATAGCCTTCGTGTGTTTCCATTAGGCAAATTGTCGAACCATTACGATTCGGAAACCGAAAACATCTTTTTTGCTAATATTTGGATAGAAGATTAACATGCCATAGTAAGATGCTAACCAAATAAAGCCTCCTTTCCATACGACAGCAACCTTTACAACACCTTGTCTTGTGGGTGATCTCAAAACCAAGCTATAGACGTAGTCGCATAATCTATATTTCTGTGTAGTAGCACCATCAATCTTTGTACATTTTTTTGTATTGCACATGACAACGTACGGATATCTGCCATATATCTATTATCATGTCTTCAGTGTGCAGCCAGTAGAAATCAGGGGAGAATGCATGACGATTGTCTTTTTATTAGCAATCTGGGGTAAATTGATGTACAACTTGAGCAGCCACGGTGCCATGACACCGAAATGATTATGTCTATCTTCTTGTCATTAGACAAGCAACCTCATAGGATACAACGACTTAGACATCCGTTCTGCCACCACCAACGACAACATTTGCATCCATGTAAACTGTTTCAAACAAAATTTACAGGCCTTTGTATAAAATGATAGAACATTAATTCAATCGATGTGTAAATATCCGGAAACTTTATTGTAGGGCCTCCATTTAGTGTGTTTCTGTGGTTTCTAAATATTTTATCAATTTTAACATTGGTCTATAATGAGTAACACAATCATTCAATAAAATAATTTGCCTATAAAGTGTTGTCATCAAGAAAAATATTGAACCCTAAAATTATAAAGTCCTGGAGCAATTAATGTTAAAGCTTGATGTGTAGCTATGGCAGTAAGTCCCCATATTCTATGTTCACCACCAAGATATACAGGCATTGTATAGCCACGTCCAGTCCGAAATTTCGTGGTTCTTATATTGGCAGGATTGACTAGTGACTCAATTGTACTCGAAAAGACAGATTCAACCTGAAATATAAAAATGTAACCTTATACTATTTGAAGACAGAAGAGTTGTCCAAAAGCTTCAATAAATATATTTGCATTCAGACTGTTGGTATTAAATCCCTTCTTCTTCAAAAGCCATTGAGGTCCATGGTAAGAGATTATATTATCTGTGGCATTTGCGATAGCGACTTTCAGTGGCGGCGCCAGGAGTCCGAGACTACAAATAGGGGGCAGACTGACTGACTTAAAAAAAAATTGATTTCGTGTATTCTGACACATATTTTTTGAGAAAAAAGGTAGATTTGTTGAAAATAAAGTGGGGGTACAATTAGGGGTGCAAACCATTTTGCACAAAGGTTGTATTTTCTGTCGATTTGTTGGTGCGTTTTTGGTGAAGTTCAAGGTGAAAAGTAGTGACATTCAACGGTTTTGATGTTCGCTCCACATTTTCGCTGTGAACGCATTGTGATAATATAATTTACCTCTTCGGGATTTGGTTTTAATGAATCCACATCAATATGTCCACAGTAACCAAGAACAGGGGTTGTAAAAGATGAAAGCGGTTGTCTCTAAAATAAAAAGGTCAGTGTTGTCTCTAAAAATGTACGTCAACATGACAAAACCAAAACTTTTTATCTAGACCTAAACCCCATTTTGGGAATATCGTGGTCGAAGGCTCTCCTCAGTTTTTAGTCTCTGTGTTGCAAGTATTATTATTATTAATCCCTTGATTCAAAATGCTGCAAGAATTGTGTCATTAAAACAATTAGAATATAAAGTCTTTGAATGGCATATAGCAATTGTGAGTACGATATATAGACACAGCTTTATGGAATAACAACAGCATTAATGTATATATAGTTCGCCCATCACTTCTTCTCATTATGTGCCTGAGGACGACGTGGAAAACACGTCGAAACGTTGCATAAAACATTAACCAGTGATCGTTGTTCCATAAAGCAGTGTCTATATAATTAGAATATACATCAAATATTTTTGAACTTACACTAGGTATTGGTGTCAAAGATCCCCATACATCAACTTTATCTTGTGGTATACCTAATTCTTCAAATGTTTCTCGAACTGCCGTAAACGATAAATCTGGGTCGCTGTCGTCCTTTCTGCCGCCAGGAAAACTCACTTGACCTCTATGTTTATTAAGGTTCATGGATCTTAAGGTATATATAATGGATGGTTGATTATCTATTATACATAGAGGTATCAAAACAGCAGAATCGTGTTTGTGGTCAGTTCCGTCTGATTTCCCTGACTCATCAAATCGATGTAAATGTGTCCGGATCGGTTTAACAGATAACAACGACCCTTTTACCCGTTCCTTATTTTCCTCTCCAAATATAGCCTGAAATGTAACGGGATGTGGTTTTGACGCAAACCATCTCCTATTTTTACGGTAAGCACCAATGGCAAACTTTCTAATGTGGTTCAGTATACAAAAAATATTCACACCGTTGAGCATATTCGGGATGTTGTTTATACAAGCATATTAATTCTGAAATATAAAATATAATGGCTATGATTGCAGCCAGTAAGGAGATGGATTTGTGGTAACAGAAATGGCCTTAATGGGAGAGGTTATTTGGTCATACGCCAGCACCAGGCAATTCAGATTGATAGTCTGTCAAATTGATGTATTCCAATGCTGAAATTCGCAGTCCTACTTCCTAGGCCAGTGCTTCTATAAGAGAGTATATCTTATTAAACCTTATACATATTCTAGGATATCCTAGCGCTAAGATCGTTTCGAGAATACATTGCCTGTTTTTTATACAATCCAATACAAAAAATATGGCTTAGTTTTGTAACTATATGTCCGAAACTAAGTCGTTTGGGGCTTAAGGATTATGTAAGCCTAAAACGATGTCATAAAATCTTGTTCTAAGTAGCCTTCAATTTGCAATCTGAATTCTCGCGCATTTTTTCTTTTCTTTTCGGAGTATTTTCAAAGTCAAAATATTGAAATACTGATGCAATGTGTACGGTATCCAATGCAATCCAGTGCAAAGTTCAATTACAATTTTATAAACAAATCATAATCTATTTTGACAGGCAGACATGATTCTGTTATCACTAAATGATAATGGAAAGGGAAAACACAACGAAAACCTTAGATGATCCCCTAAAAAGGCCGTTGTAATAATCCAGACAGTATATCTTTGACATTGGCCTATAACACCGTCAAATAAAATCTGACGGTCAATTAAATTTTATAACTTTAAATGATATTCATCAAAACGAAAGATTTCACAAGATCCAGTTGTGAACAACGAAAATTCCAACCTCTATAACTGTTCAGACAGGTGAATAATTTTGTATTTCCTTGAAAATTTGTTTTGAGTAAGAAATTATACAATTGATGACAACATTTTAATGAATTTTACTGTATTTCGTTTTTTCTTTAATGATTGGATTAATGTTAATGTTGAATTATTAGGGTAACCGATTTCTATTAGCTTTGAGCATCGTTTTTTGGCTCGTCATCCCACGTTGACGGGGAGATAACTCTTAAAAAGTTAGTGAAAGTGAAGAAATTTCGACAATCTTTCCTATTCTTGCGTGTAGGTTGAAATGTTTTATATAAAGATATATATTTTAAAAAATCTTATCATGTAGTAACATTCTGAAACTGTAGCTGCTGAAATCTCTAGCTTAGGCTCAGTCTCAAGCATAAAAACAAAGGTAAAATTTGGTGTGTTGGATTTGCTAACATAGGCTATTGGCCTATATAACGGCGGTGTAGTTTTGAGATTCAGGTACTTTCAATCTTAAATCATAAATGATGAGACATGTCTTCTTATTTAATAGGATAAAATGGAAGATATTGGCACTGGCAGCAATAATGGAAAGAAAAGAAAGTTACATGAGATGAAAGATTATAATGATTTTACTAAAGAAGAACTGATATTCCGAGTCAAACAACTGGAAAAACATGTCTTCCAACTTAGAAACATCATCAGTAAGCAAGATGACAATCAACAAGTCAAAAAGAAACGAGAACAAAAACCATTTGACTTTAGACGTTATAACACACGACATGTTGCACTGCGTTTTGTGTATTTAGGATGGGACTATCATGGCTTTGTCATTCAAGAAGATTCTGAAAAAACTATTGAAAATTATTTATTTGAGGCTTTGTTAATATTAAAATTAATCGAATCACGAGAAACATCAAATTATCATCGGTGTGGTCGTACTGATAAAGGTGTTAGTGCTTTTGGACAAGTTATTTCAATTGATTTACGGACAAATTTACTAGAAGGGGTAGGGGTAAAAGTTCGAGAGGATGGGACTGCTAGTTCGAGATCTGGTGATTGTACTACTGAAATTGATTATGTGAAAATTATCAACAAGTTGTTACCCAAAGAAATCAGAGTATTAGCTTGGGCTCCGGTACCTGAAGATTTCAGTGCTAGATTTAGTTGTATTCGAAGAACTTACAAATATTACTTTCCAAAAGGACATCTTAATGTTGATGTAATGTATAAAGCTAGTCAGAAACTCCTAGGGGAACATGATTTCCGTAATTTGTGCAAAATGGATGTTAATAATGGAGTAGTAGAATATATTCGAAACATTGCTTCAACAGATTTAAAAGTGTTTGAGTCAGCTGATGGTTATAATATGTGTGAATTGACAGTGGCAGGAAAGGCATTTCTATGGCATCAAATAAGATGTATTGTTGGAGTGTTGATATTAGTTGGACAAGGAAAGGAGGATCCTAGTATAATAGATGAACTATTAGATATAGAAAAACATCCAAGGAAACCTCAATATAATATGGCGTCTTATATACCCTTGGTTCTTTTTGACTGTCAATATGAGGATGTAGAGTGGATCTATAGTGAAGAATCCCATATCAATAATATAAAGCACCTTCAGGATATGTGGTCTCAGAATTCCATCAAGACAACCATGATCAAGAGAATGTTAGATTCTTTGGGTGAAAAACAAATACAGAACTCTAGCGGTACGATTCCATGTCCTAAATTACCTATTCAAAGTAATTGGCTCATTGACATAAAAGATTCTAAACATATACCATTGTTGACAAGACCAACTTCAGAAAGTTTAGAAGAAAAAGTGAAAAGTGCAAAAATGAGAAAATTACAGAATTGATCCTATTCACTTTCAAAATGTTTTTAATTTTTTTTGTATATTATCATCAATTAAAATCAAGATTTTATTATACTATTGACTATTCAGTGTGAACACAGTAAGAGGGTGCTGATCTGAATGTATAAATCTCCTGTACATTACAGCATTCTATCAAACAGGAACATCATCTGGAATGTCTTTTTGAAATTGAAAATGTCTTTGTCGTCGCTACAACAATGCATAAAGGGGTATGGTTATATAGATATTTGCTTTACTAGAAGGTTGGGCTCAATTTCAGCTATGTACTTCAATGAAATAAAGGCAATTGTTTCAATATACACTTTAAGAGTACTGATATGGGGGTATTAAGACAGTTATCTCTTGTATAACATTATTATAATATAACTCTTCTGCCTGATGTCGTTGTCACTCTCAGGGAGAATGTCATGCCCTGAGACCAAAGTCTGAACTTTAATTTCATGTCCCATTGTATGTAATGTATAGCCTTTCTACATAGTTCACGGAAACCTGTACGAAGGGAGGTAACTGCAGAATAGGATTAGTGGCGATGGAATTCTGAAAATTGACCCAAGAAGTCAACATTAAAATATAAATATAATAAAATATAGTCTTAAACACGGACAGACAGCGGAGTGGTGCTACGTTCGATATATAATCAGCGATTATCTGTCCCAGCATATTGGACAGAAATCATTGAATCTAAAAAAGAGTATAATCGAGAAAGACTTTCTTAATGGGACAGTAGCATTCGGTTAAAATGTACAGTAATCATAATAGTGACCCCCCTACCCTGGAAAATGTTTTCTAGAAACGCCACTGCGCAAAATTGTTTAAAGGCAAGTACGTTTGCAAAAAAAATCATCCATGGGCTGTAGAAGAGAAGCACTATGATCGGTGCGAATTATCGATATTCGAGAAAAATAGCAAATTAATCTTCCCTGCATCGTACCCGAACCTCCAATATTCCCTTCTTATTTTTCTGTTGTATCGATAATCCCTCACAGGACACTCTACCTCTTCCAATCTCACTTTATAAATTCAACTCAAAAAATCTGGAACATACAGAATAAGTCTAATTCATAATTTACACCTTGACGGTAGCAATTGTTTAATTAAACAACATACATTTCAGGAAATGGCACATATAATATAATAATTCCAGCCTTTATGTGACACAGATAACAACAATTTACTTCGAATACAAAATGTTTGATATTCACTTCAATATCATTGAAACGTTTTAAATTTGGCTGAGTAGTTTGAACTGATAGTCCAACTACCTTCAAATATTGGTGCACCAAGAACTTTCAGATGGGGATGTTGGAATCTTCAGATGACCCATAGCGTTCACAAACACCAACTATTTGCTTTTCAGACGTGTACATTGTTTACTTTGTTTCTGGCATTGCCTTTCGTGAATAAATATAACCAACATTTTGTCGTCGCATTGCTTGAAGTTGTGGCATGAAATCCATTAGTGAAGACTTAACAGCAACGTTTGGTTTTGCTGGTACCGCTTCTGGTCGAACAAATTCATATTGGGTGGCGGGCGCTGTGTTTTGTGTCTGTGTTCCATATCCGTAAATTGGGTTAAACAGAGTGTTTTGTTGGTTGGCATTTTGTTGGTTATTTTGGTTTGATACAGAATACGGGTTTAAATTCAATAAGTCGTTTTGTTGGTAACGAGTTTGAACTGGATTACCACCATTATTCTGCTGGTATTGATTCTGGTAGTTTTGACCTGGAATAGAGCTAGACTGGAATTGGTTTTGATTCTGTTGATAAGCGTTTTGATTGAATAAGGAAGATTGTTGATAAGGGTTACGGTTTAGGGGAGAATTTTGTTGATAAGGGTTACGGTTCAGAAAAGAATTCTGTTGATTTGGGTTATTCTGATTGATATTTCTGTTGCTTCGACCTGAATATACTTGGTAAGGGTTGTAGCTGTAAATCGGTGTTTGAACTCCCGTAGTCGGGTATCCATACGTTTGGGTTGGATATCCATATGTTTGAGACGGATAACCATACGTTTGTGTTTGGGTCGGATAACCATACGTTTGTGTTTGGGTCGGATAACCATACGTTTGTGTTTGGGATGGATAACCATATTGCTGGGTCGGATATCCATACGTCTGCGATGGATAATACTGTGGTTGACCGTAAGGTGTTCCGTATCCTTGTTGTCCGTATTGGTAAGTCGGATAACCATATTGTTGACCGCCAGAATACCCAGACCCTCCCATTTCGTGACTTCCCTGTCCTCCACCATGGTTGTTGTAGATGTATCCTCCCGAATGACTGCTTCCACCAGCATGACCTCCCATACTGCCACCAAATTCTTCACTGGCTCCATACATACTCTGTTGTTCCTCACTACTAGAGTCCCGAGTATAATCATTACCTTCATCTTCACTAGAACTAGCATAATCACCTGCTTTGACACTGTTCACCCCATAACATACTGGAAGATTGATTCAACATTCAAAAATCATCATTAGTTAACATAAAATTCCGAATTCCTACAGACAATATCGAAATCATATATTTCTTACAGAAACATTTCATACGAATTAATAACGTTTATGGATGATAAACAAAATATTTTCCGAGATATAAGATTTCAAAATTTCTCTTAACAAATGAAAGGTCGCTGGATGTCATACGAGACTGGTGGATCTGATTCTCTATCAGCTTCCTGATAACCAGAAAGGTGAATAAATAAGACCAATAAAGTTTATAAATTTGAGAATGAACAAAGAGCACCGGGAAAGGTTACAAGAATATGAGGGTGCATGTAACAAAACAATCGAATGATTATCAGAGTATATTTTGAGCTATGTTTTGAGTGATTCACGAACTGTCGGCAAGATTGTGGTTTTAACTACGAATTGTGTTTGGCATCTTATCGTCAACCAAATCTTACATTGTGAATTGTCCTGAATATAGCTCACATGTACCAAAATGAAACCAAGAGATTAATAACAGAAACAATTCACTTACCCAAAACCAGGGTCATAAACAGAAACGAATTTTCCAAGATCAACATTGTTACAATTCGATGCCACCACTTGTTCAAATGGTTGAAATAAATGAAAAGTCTGATGTTAATGTAGTGAACAAAATAATATGATCGTTTCCTTATCGTCACCTTTAGAAATCTCGTCTAAGTTATATGTTGACCTCGCCTTAAAACATGCAGATGAGACAAAACACTATTTACAGGTCAGAAGATCAGCAATCCTCTCCTATCATTTAGTGCAGGTATGTTAGTACTTCCGGGAATAGACAGTTTATTTTCGGAAATGACGAGGTGATAACATCAGTGTGAAGTTGACGAAAAACAGATAGTTTGATTCTATTGTGGTACCCAATATGGGCTGGTTAACAATAAATGCAAAGTAACTAGAGAATAAAACATACATAAACTGAGTAAAACTTTTCCATTAGACGATTTTACTTAGGTTGGGCTTTTAGTGAACAAAAATTTAATGACAAGGATACGTCTAAATGAACAATTCAGTTGGAGAGCAACAATTATTAGCCACCGTCTGGAATGTTAATGAACAGTTAAATCCTGTACGTTTTAAGTACCACCCTTATCTAAATATGTCATTTACCAACATGTAAGTTTAGATTTAATACTTAAATCCCACTCCTTATTAATATTCTACATTTATTATTTATGTTACAAAGTCATCTTGATCAATACACGTGAGGATGTTAAAAACGAAATGAGTGGTCTTATTTTCCAAGATACATTTTTGTTGAATATCAGAGAAACTGGATGTACGATTTGAGTTTTTAATCCGTTACTTGAAATTCGACTGCAATCCTTTAACTATATATATATATATATATATATCTTGTTCATGATACCGAAATAAAACAATTTAATTTTTAACGCATCCATGTCTTATCTTTTAAAGATGGGATTCCGTATGTTTTAGTGTCAAATTAAGCAAACTTTTTGATTAATTGGTGTTTCTAATGAATTACCATGTATTCTTAATCATATCATCATGTTCTTATGACATATAATTAAGTGTTTTAACCAATCATAAATGTCTATGTATGTACAGCTTCGATAAACAAAAAAGAATTTTTGATCTTTCTTGATCGGTTATTTCTTCTAATTTAGCTAATTATGAATTAATTATGGACATGTGAGGCAAACTGGTATTTTCCAAGGCATTATAACACATTTACATTCTATTCATATAAGTATTAGCATTTTCATTGTCAAAAATGAAAATAAGGGAACCCATATTTAAAACGAATTTACATTCTGGACAAAATTGTTCGATTAAAGATAGGTCGTGGTTACCAATAATCAACGAGGTTCAATTCTATATGTAAAAGAGTTCCAACGATGCCAATTTTCGAACCATATTTAACTTCCGGTTAGCCATATTTGGTCAATTGGGATTTTATACGAGTGTTTTCTAGGAATCTACAATTGTTGGTACTCCAAAAAACATTTTTCGAATTATTTCCCCTACAACTGTCTATTATTGGAAGTCAGGACTGACAATAAGACAAATTTATCGATTTTTTTCTAATTTGGCCCAAACTTTCAAATTGCCCCTCGCTATTCCCCAAAAACAGTCTGATAATTGATTGAGATCTCGTTGATCAATTAGCTTCATGACGATATCTTTAAGTGAAAATTGTCACTCTGTCTTCTTGTATGGCAAAATCATTACCTTTCATTTCTTCTTCCCTAAAATTCAGACCAAAACATGTCATTATATGCTCACTTACTAGCAATGATTTGCTACTTTGATATGTTTGCAATTATTCGGAGAGGTTTCCATTTCAATCTCTTATGTTCTAGACAGCCATAGCACTCTATTTGCCCAGAACCTTGTTCCTCGTGAAAGTTTAACTATATTCCTCGCTGTATTTTCTCGCGGTCTCCGCCAAGAGTTGTTGGTAGAAAGGGTTTGAGTGCTCATGGAAGTACTTCAGTTCAACGGAAATAATGTTTCAGTTCATTATGCTGTTTAACAAGTTGGACAAATCGTGAGAACGTTAAACCAGATGTTCATGCTGTTCATGGACTTGTTCGTGGTACGCTATGGACCAGTCAGAGGTGTCGTCGGTCTCTCATAATTTACCCGTCCATTTCATCGTTCGTCGAAGAAATTAACTTAAGACAGAATATTCATCAGATACCCACTTCATACAGATTGTTATTCATGGCCCAACTTTTATAGTATCTTTTAGACTTTGCTATTTCCAAAGGATATACAGGAAGGAATGAAATACTTCTCAAATGTTTTATTTCATCGACAAACATATTTTATTTACAAACTATTCATTTTTATATACATATAATTGTTGTTTTATTACTTCAAATGATATAATTATTTACAATTTCATGATCTCGAACGCTCGATATATGAATATGAATCTTTTAACATGAATATGTGTGATTTATGTTTCAATCTGATTGAAGTATAATGAATGACTTTCCTGATTTTTGCAAAACATGATCTTTTCCTAAATATTATCCAACAACCTGCCCTGCTCCAGGGACCGCACCGGCTTGTGCATAACTTGGATAAAAATTGTTGTATGATGGATATAGTTGCTGAGTTGGATTATAAGCCGCTGCCAAAAGATTAGGATCATATAAGCCATAAGGATTGTAAAATCCTGTCGAAATACCTGGATAAGCGAATCCCGAATTTTGAAAGCCGTAGTTTGTGGCAATGCTTGGAAAGCCAAATCCACCATAGCTGTATGTCGGGAAGCTTCCATACCCACCGTAGCCTCCAGCAGCATTAATACCATACCCATCATAGCCGCCGTAACCTCCATACCCTGAACCCCATGATGATATATAGCCACCGTAACCTCCACCAGATGAGCTTCCATGTCCACCACTGCTACCTCCATGACCTCCACCAAATCCATATCCTCCGCCCCAACCGCCGTCTCCTCCGCTGCTTCCCCCACCATAGCCTCCATAGCCACCTCCCCAACCACCTTGACCTCCGCTACTTCCACCATAGCTTCCCCAATTATAATCAGATCCTCCGCTTCCACCTCCACCGCTATTACCACCATAGTTTCCCCAATTATAATCTGAACCACCGCTACTACCACCAGTGGCACCATGATAGTCACCACCATAGTCACCACCTTCATAATCCCCTCCATAATCACCACCACTACTACTACTACTACTACCAGAACGGCGAATACGTCTAGCAAGACTTAGTGGTTTAGACTGTACCAACTGTAGAGCTGAAATATAATTTCATTGAATAATTGAATGAATCGTCATATCCCAACATTGTGTTATATTAGTTTTAATGTATTATTTTGTACTGATTTCATCAGTGTAACATACCTCGTTTAGCTAGTCACAACGCCATGCAAATGTTCAATTAAAAGTCAAACGGGTCAAATCAATAGTCTGCCAATTAATCAATTTAGAATTGAAACTTACTGACTAAAGCAGTAATGTACTAATGTACTTTAATTCCTGTTTCGTGAGCAAAAAGGTATGGAAAATTCATTAAATTTATATTTTAAAATGCATGTTTGTTATGCAAATCAATTTCAGTGTTATGCACGTTAAATAAACACGTAATATGATATCATCAAATTTCACTTACCAGTTAAAGCAAACAAGAAAATCCATGTTAAAAAATTCATGGTGAGATTAATGATGTTTATTCACTAAATCAAAATTTCTCAATGATAAGTGAATCAATAATACATTGTCATTTATATACATTAAAAGGAAATTTAGAGAGAAAAATAAAAATAATTCTTTCCGCCATGCGTTTATGATAAAAGTTGGTGGGGTAAATAAACCAGTTGACTCGGATATGCCCGGATCGGACCTCCTACTCTGAGGTAGGAAGCAATTGGACTTAATTTTACTGGAAGTAAACTCATTTTCATGGTTTAACTTTGTTTCTGAATCTTAAATTACAAAAGTATATTAATCGGATTTTCTGAAGATTACCCGTTTATTTATTTCAACCGAAATTATACTTCCGCACTATTCCTTCATTTTTCAAACTTAATTTGTTCTGTTTCAGTCTCTCCTTTCTTGATTTGATCACGAATACGACGGTATAGGGAATAAGGACTGACTTACTAGATAGATAAACATGTTTTAATTAATGACAGACTTTTTCTTTTTCCTTAAAGTTTATACAAATAACATCTATTTAACCATAATCCCCCAGGACTCAGCATTTCACATTCATTATTTTCGGAACGTTCGTTCTACATGTGTTTACAGCTCTCAGGGTTGGCAAGTTATGGGCAAGGTGTTTTTTTTACGTATTTATTTTCTGCACCATGTGGGCAAATGAAGACGGGAAGCGCCTTTCAGGGTACAATGAGGGAAATTGTGCCAGAACAGCGGCACTAGCCTGCTCATTTTCGATTTTTAACTGTCGAGGGATCTTGAAAGTGCATAGCATGTAGCACATGGAGCCTCAGTTTATTGTACCATCCTGAACGACTAGGTGCTTTTCCCATGTCAGCCCCTCTTACCTGCATACTGACAGGGGGAACCCGGGTTGAAAAACCTCGATCTATGCTGCAATTGAACCCTGGACCTTCAGGTTAGCGAGTAAGCGTTTTAACTCACTGAGCCACCGCGGCTCTCCCAATAATAAGTAAAACCACGAAAAAACACAGTATACGACAGTTAATGTTACCATGTTACATGCTTTGTGGTAAATCATATTTCACTAAATACAGCGTTCAGTCAGAGAAAATTTTGGATAGGTTGAAATATCATGATATAGAAAATTTCCGGAAATAAACACTTTGTAATGTTTTAAAGTATCTCGTTTATTATTTATGCTTAAAAGTATTTGAAAACTGGCGCATGAGGCCCAAGATCGAAGACACATTGTCAAATTTTGATGTTGACAGGGCAAAGTGAGCCAAGCAATTTGGCCATTTGGTCTCAATCAGACATATTTATATTTATTTCTATTGTATCGTCCGTTTCTCATATCGGTTTTTTCGGTAATATAGCCCAACTCTACCCTATTGATACCAACTCTTTCACCATACGCGCATTGAAAAGGATTCAATATTCCAACCGATGTTTGTGCCTGCGGCCTTCCAACTACAGTGAAAAGACTGATAAAGTAAACAGTGTTTCTAATTTATGGCAGAATGAACCAAATTGTTCAACATAATATATTTTAATATTTATCTGCATCAATAAGACTCAGTGTTGTTGCGGATAGCAACAGTACATAACACAAGCGGCTATTCATGACTGTAAAGAGTTGACTCAACAAGGTTCTTAACTCATGGAAACACTATCAAATGCAAGATTTGTTTCAGAAATTATAACAAATTCTAAGCCTCCTACTAAACAGATGTTAGGCTACCTTGAAACTGCCAATCAAAGGCCTTGCCCTTTAATATTCTAACATTTTCACAGACTTATTCTGTATCGAATACCACTACTGACGCTAAATTTTGGCATTCCTGGGAAGAAAATTCCTGTCCGGGGATTTAAAACATCGCTTTATCGAGGGAAATCTTCAAATTTGCACTGAGGTATTGCCCTCTTATTTTTGTTATCTGAATATTTAAGACAATAACACGTTTATACCAAATATTTCATTAAAGTTCAAGTCACTTGTGTCCCAGCTTTTGTTTCCTTCTGACATATTAGTGTTAGTGGACTTAACATAGAATTTACTAGGTAAACCAATGTAAGCCTATTATCACCAGCTTGCGGTCTGTATTAGTTCAACTATATAATAATAACCCCCCATTTTTTTCTTCATATTTCGGTATTAAGCAGTTTAATATCTCAATTTAAATTCATTTGTTTAAAAGGCGTGAATAAATAATAATGTGGACTCTGTATATTTATTTAGCTATTTTAGGTAGGTTAATGCTTGATTTTAAACCTTTAAAAATACTAATGATATATTTACGGAAACAAAACTCTTACATGATCTGCATCATTGTGCATTTTGTCACATATCCATGGCTTAATCTAAATGCACTTATTGAAGAACTAATATACTAAAGGTGCGATTAGACTTTGAAATTCGGGCATTAAAGTTTGAAGACATGGTAATGGTTGTCCCAGTGAGGCGAAATGTTATGTTACATGACCATTGTTCATGAACAATTATAAAATAATGTGCAATTAGATGAGGTATTATGTCTGGTGCGGTATAAGGCATGGGTTGATGGTTACTGTAGAAAGTAGAAGTCTCATTGTGTATACGCTTCCTTTAATTCCCATCGTCATACCAAATTGGACACTATACATCTTCTATTCGAGCCGTAATACTAGATAAGGTGTCTTTATAAATATGCCAGCGTTTCATTTATATTCCTCTTTACTTAGAAAGAAATCAGAATCAAAAGGTCATTGGCTTGTATTGTCTCACCTTTTCGAATTGTTTTTCGTTATATATGTTCTATTTTCAGTGAGTATTCTAAATGAAACAAGAGGTCAGTTTCAATCTGATGGATGTCTACCTGGTGACTACCCATTCCCTGCTAGTGATAGTTGTACCTCATTTTACAGATGTTATAACCGCCAGATCTTTATCTTGAGATGTCCACCTGCACAGAATTTCGATTTCGCTCGCCGTCAATGTCGTCCACAGGCTGAAGTGGACTGTACGCAGCAATTAAGACTTTTTACTCCAGTTCCCTCTCCAGATGGAAATCCTGGACCAATCGTCAATGTATTCAGAGGGCTCAACCAGGTTTCCATTCCACCAAATCCATTAAATCGATTTGGCCAAGGAGGTTTCAACAGGTTTCCAAATAATGGTTTTGGAGCAGGGAGAGGATTCGGTCAACAACCCGGAAATAACCAATTCCCCCAACAATTTCCAGGAAATACACAGGGGTTTCAAGGCACCCAAAATCGACGTCCTGGGGGCACTAACCAGTTCCCTGGAAATAATGGTTTTGGTTTTGGAAATGGTGCTAGTCAGTCTGGAATTGGGGGAAGTCAGCAATCTATAGTTCCAGGTCAATCGGTTTTAAGTGGAAATAACCAGAATACCCAAGGCTAAACTATTTGCTTACCAAACAAATAAGATTCAACCCAATCGTTGCTCTGAAGCGACATGCTATCCGGATATCTGAATTAGACACAAAGATAGATTTATCTCTTAGAAGAGTTAAAATTGGTAACCATATCATGCTCTACGAACCAATATCAAAGAGGTATTTCTGAATATGTTAATATATTGTGTATATAGATCGTGAATATATGTCATAATAAAATGTGTATTTATCTTGAAATTATCCGTGTCCTTAAGAACAGGATTAGATGGAGACTAACAGAGCAGATCCTTTTCATTTTTCAGTCGGTTTAAAAAAATTAAGCCCTTTTGAAAAATCTGTTTCTACCCGGTCCCACATCTAATGATTCATGTAAACGCCACTGCTGTTGTAATAGGCAAGGGCAATACTCATGCTTTTGTACTGTTTGATTCACGTACACTAAACGCAAGTTCGTTTAGCGTTCCATTGATATGTACGAGTGATATCTATGGCGCATTCGTTTATCTGATATAATCAATGCAAAACTCTGGCGCCCCACCCTGTAGCCCCACTGCAATATACCTCTCGGTCCATCATAGTTATATTAAATGTAGATCTACTGCAGTAAATTGTGAACAATTCTTTATGAATTATTTTTCTTGATACTATGTTTATTGACAATAATCATTGTTAGTAAAACGTAAGCTATTATGTTATGAGTCTTATCTTACTCAATCGTATCTTTCTCGACGTTCGAATCTGTCTGGACGTTCGAATCTGTCTGATCTGTCTGGACGTTCGAATCTGTCAGGTCTGTCAGGTCGTTCTGGTCGATCTGGTCTTTCGAATCTATCTGGTCGTTCGTATCTGTCGGGGCTGTCTGGTCGCTCGGGTCTTTCTGGTCGCTCGGGTCTTTCTGGTCTATCAGGTCTCTCTGGTTCCTCATGTTCAATTTCTTGACATGTCTGTCTACCAGGTGGCCCCCTACACACGAGTTCTCGTTCACATCTGCAACAGAAAGTAAGTTGCAATGCAAAAGATTATAAAGTTTAAAACGATAGAATAGCTCCACTGTTTTGCAGATGGGACCATAGTTCACTTTTCATACGAGAGGGGTTACCTGTACTGTAGTAAATAATATTTTTACGTTTATGTTACATGCCATAATTTTACAAATCAAACTATGTAGAAGCGTTTTGATTGGCCGGTTTGAAAATCATGTGTCATCATGAATATTTATTATCCCCGTGCCTTTACAAAGTTAGCCTGCTAAACTGAAACACGGTAGAAAAATTCGAACAGTACTTTGAATGTTGACTTACCTTCTAAACCTATTACATCTTTGACCCTCTTCTAGACGAGCTTCCAGGACAACAAGTGTTGTCATCAATACCAGGGCAGCAAAGACGATTCGCATTGTGTGTTTTTATTCTGCGAATGATGGTTAGATGTGAACCTGTAATTCGAAAATATGTATTGAAAACAATTTCTTCAATTACACAGGCTAAGTAACTGGCTGGACATCGTAAGTTACAATAAAAAAAAGAATTGATACGATAACATGATAGCCTATTGTCAAGGTACTGCTTTTCATAGGGAACTGTGTTTGGGTTGTTGCCCTCGGTTTCACCAAAATCGGTCACCATGGGATTGTAAAGCGGTTTTGTAAACTTTTTATGTGTATCGGGGACATTGATAGCATCAATTTGCACCATTCTAATTTTGATTCCGACATTTGTGGTTCTTGCAATTTCACTAAAACTAACGCGTTTTATGACGTCACCAGAGGGGAGCTACCGGAAGCTATTAATAATATTATGCAGTTCCCTTCTAGGGACGTCATAAAACGCGTTAGCAACGATGGATTAGGCGCCATACAGAGTATGCTTACTCTTCTAGACACCTGATTCCACTCTTCAATATGAAGAACTATTGTTAACTTCCTCGTATGAAATGTTCACAAGCTGCCACAAATGTTTCGCCAATATTTGTTTTGGATTTCTGGTTTAGTTGCCTACTTGGCTTTTTTATTTTTGAGTTAATTTCGTGACAAATGACATTATGTAGCTTTGGGCTAATTGATAGTTTATGGATATCATTTTTTATACGGTAATTTATTCATATATTATATCAATTGTAATTGGTAAACAAACTAATTGATCAAAATACTAAATGACTTTATTTAGGGTATATAACCGACTTTTTCAATTTAAAGGAGTTCGATTTCATTTAACATCAAAAAATGACAAATTACGTAGTGACTGCATTCCTGGAACTCACTCGATATTTCACCAATGAATTTCATGCTAAATATCGTCAAATTCTGATCAAACTATTTTGACGTATTTGGACTTAATGGAAAGAAATAACTGCGCAAAATTGTCCATGAAAATACCGAAAATATTGAACATATTCTACACCTCTTTGATTTACATCGAAAAAACCGTATTAGTAAAATCTGCCAACTCTGTAACGTCAGTTACTATTAAAAACCCGACTTTCTGCATCCTTAAATGTATTGATGATAACATCAAATAAATGTTGGAAGTTTTGGAGTTTTGGAACTCTCACATAACTATAGCTCTTTTCCCAGAGCATTGAAAATGCCATCTGAAAGGAGATAATTGGTTATACAACGACTTCTAGCAACCGACGGCATCGGAGTGAATCTATCCAGTCTAACTGAGGCAATGGGCAACTAAAAGTCACAGTCGCCACCAGTAACAGTAGCTCATGCCAATTGCGACAGATCAGACTGAGAAGCTTTTAATAATCAGTCCAAAATCAATCTTTTGTGGTATGAACTCAATTTTTCCCGTTTACGATATTTATAATAATGACCGCAGGATTTTGTGGAATTAAGGAATTGTAAAGAGGTTTTCTTAAATGTTTATTGGGGGTAGGGATAGAACCAATTTGCACCATTCCAATTTTCATTCAGACGTCTGTGGGTCATGACGTGCTTTTTATACACCCACAAGAAATGGGTGCCATATATTGTCGTCACGATGTCCGTCCGTCCGTCCACAATTGCTCGTAAACACTCTTCAAGGCCCAATTCTTGATTGATTTCGACAAAACTGAGTATGGTTGTTTGTAATCACCCAAAGATGAACACTATTGAAAATCATAAAAAAGGAAAAATATTTAGTATGAGTTATTGTCCTTGTTCTTGAAACGCTCGTAAACACTCTAGAAGGCGCAATTCTTGACGGATTTTGATGAAACTTGGTGGTAGTGTTTGTAATCATCCAAGGATAAACCCTATCGAAAATCAGAAAAACTGAAAAATAAGTAAGAGTTATTGCCCTTGTTCTTGAAAAGGCGTTCAATTTTTAGCTCGTAAACACAAAGGCACAAATCTTGATGGATTTTGACGAAACTTGGTGTAAGTGTATGTAATCACCAAAAGATGAACCCTATCGAAAATCAGAAAAATCGAAAAATATTACGGCCCCTGTTCTTAAAAAAGTTAAAAGTTTTAGCCTATAAACCCTCTAGAAGGCCCAATTCTTGACAGATATTGATGAAACTTGGTAATATTATTCAGTATCGCCTCAAAAAGTTCAAAAGAAGTGTATGTCTGAAGGTTGAATATTTCATACTGGTAATTGTTACTGTACTGCCAAATATATTTATTTAAAATCAAAGCTGCCAGTGGACGTATATTACCTTGCCTGGCAAGCTTTCTTTAACACAATGACCGTCTATAATTACTGGAACCTCAGATATCTTGCTGGAAGGATGCAAATTGAAGCCACGAATGGCTCCGATACACATAACAAAATCTCGAAAACCAATTTATACCTCTGCAAGGAAACCACAGAAATGCGATAGGAAGTAAGAAATGTTCAAAGAAAGCTATAGATGAAATGCAAGAAACTCTTTAAATATACCGTTTTTTTTAATCATTTTCTTACAGTGAACTTTTTGAAATATATTTGAAACAATTCCACGGTTCCACATTATTCCACCATTTATCTCAGTTTTCAATAAGTTATAAGTTAATGCACAAATTAATGACTTACCGATCTTTAACACAGTCGTCTAAAAAAGATAAATGGAAGGTGGAGACGTTGCCGAATAAATACTCTTAAGAATATAATAGATTATTATTGGTTTGATGTAATCAAATCTATCAATGTCATTGTTTAAGTCAGAATCTAACAATATTTAAACTTTTTCAGACATATATTCCTCAATATATATTTTTACTGGAAACTAATACAATGTCGATCAATCATTCATCAAACAGTTTTATATTACGTATTAAATCAACCTATGTCATAAAGCATATAAATGACTTCTCCAAATTTTTTTCTATAATTTTTCTATAATTTTATCAAGACAACAGGGGCTTTTTAGGAATTTTTTGTCTATGTTTATTTTTTTTTTATATAATATTAGGATTTGTCTGTGAATTTTGGTTCCTGGGACAATCAATAATGAAAACTTAATGAATTAATGCAGGTCAAAAGATTTTTTTGTTCAAATTTGTGAAAATTACACACCAAAAATGTGTATGTGTCCCTTAACGTGACTAAAAGTTTTAACTGAAAAAATTCAGCCGTTAATGTTTAAACGCCAAAAGTTTACGTAAGCTAACTACACTAACTATATCACTTTAAGGACGTGATTTCCCCCGTACCCTGATCTGAATGCCTAATTACACTTTCCGCCTGAGATTGTCAACCCTTTCGGAGAGTTCGTTCTTGTAACATCGTTTATATGTATTGCTCGGTGGGTTACTTTACTGATACTTGTTCTTTAAATGTCTTCAAATCAAGTATAATCTTTTGATGTGATATGCACATATATCAAACCAAAAAAAAAACCCTGAAAAATCTTATACTTACAGCGCTACTGACAATATGACAAAGTTATATAGTATATATAATTTACTATAGTAAATATTCATTGCATATATAAGTGCAGTTAACAGTGCGATTTGTTTTAGTCGTAAGAATGAAGTGGGGGGAGGGGGGGGGGGGGGCAGGGGTGATGGTATCAGTATCGCTTAACAGGGATATACAGTATATTGAACCAATATGAGTAACATGACTTTTATTAGCTGTTATATACTTGATGAGCTCCGAGCGTTTTACAATCTTAGTCTCTTCCATCTCTGTCTCGATCTCCATCTCTATCTCCTCTATCATCTCCATCCCGATCTCTGTCTCCTCCATCTCCATCCCGATTTCTGTCTCCTCCATCTCCGTCCCGATCTCTGTCTCCTCCATCTCCGTCCCGATCTCTGCCTACATCACGTCGGTCTCGGTTTCCATTATCCCCGTCTCTATCACCGTCATCTCTATCATCTCCTCCATCATCTTCTCTATCATCTCCTCTATCATCTCCTCCATCATCTCCTCCATCTCCGTCCCGATCTCTGTCTCCTCCATCTCGGTCATTGTCTCCTGCAGCACGTCGATCTCGGTTTCCATTATCCCCGTCTCTATCGTCGCCATCTCTATCATCCCCTCCATCTCTATCATCCCCTCCATCTCTATCATCTCGTCCGTCATCTCCCCCATCTCTATCATTGTCTCCTACGGAACGTCGATCTCGACCATCCTTATCCCTATCTCCTCCATCCCTATCCCTATCTCTATCTCCTCCATCCCTATCCCTATCTCCACCATCCCTATCCCCATCTCTATCTCCTCCATCTCGATCTCGGTCTCTGTCTCCGCCATCCCTATCTCTGTCTCCGCCATCCCGATCTCTGTCTCCATCTCCGTCCCCATCTCGGTCTCCCCTCGTTCGACATCTACCCCATCTACATACCAGTCTTCGTTCGCATCTAAACAAAAACGTAAAACCGTTTTATTGTGTGGTTTGTGGGAGGGGGTTGGGTGGAGACAAACTATCGAGGCTGAATTCAAAATGCGGCAACTCTGTGGAAATGGCATAGATGCATGCCTCTCATGGAGCGTCTGAGAGGGTTTTCCCAAGAAATTTTTATAAAATCATATTGATTTCGTGCATTCTGACACTTAATTTTGTTCAATAACGAATATATTTTCAAATATGTACAATTGGGGTGCAAACCATTTTGCTATGGGCACCTGTTGCCCCAATGGCTCCGCCACTGGTGTAAATATTTGCAGCTTATATAATAAAGTCATATATTTTCGTGTTTGTTCAGCAACCAATTAGAGTATGACAACCATTCACAGTGGTCTGTAGCGATTGGACGCTTTTCCTAATCAGTCCCTCCAACCTGCATCACTGACAAGAGGAAAATAGATTGAAAATTCCCAAGAAAATATCTCGGCAAATGCCATAATTGAACCCTGGACCTTCTAGTTTGGGAGCAAGTGTCTAATTGTCTGAGCTAACGCGGGAAGAAATTTTGACAGGCGAGTGTCAAGCTACATAGTGTTTTCCTTTGTACAATGGTATAAACTATATCTATAAATCTATAATGACCAACAATCTTTCACTTTATTATCATGAGAAACACTTACAATATTCTCTGTCATGTGAACTGATCGGATACATTGTTGGAGGAAAAGACCTATGGATCATTCATTTGAAAAATCTGACTCACTCAAAATATTTTTTTCTATATAGTATGGATTAGACAGAAGCGATTACATTACACTCACCGTCGGAACTTGTTACATTTTTGACCCCAGCGACGGGCTTCGAGACTAGCAATAGCAATCACCAACAAGAGGGCAATAAAGACGAATCTTGGAAGCATCGTTGTTTTTCTGTATACACAGATAATTCTAGAAAATAAACAAATTTTCTCTATAAATTTCTCTATATGAAATTAAGTAAATTCTTTAAAATAGTATATTTATGATGGGATCCACTTAAACAGTAACAATCTTTTTATCCATACAAAACAATTCAGCATAAAATGTATTAATATGTAGCAAATATGTAATGGGCATAAGAAACCGAGAGGATAGCACTAGGCTAGATTATTATTCAGTTGAATAAAAACAGGTCCAAAGGATTGGCAAACTTATAGTTGTATCCACAAAAGGTTTTGTACACGTTGTTTGTATTTTGAAAACGCATGTAGGTCTAAACATTTCACCATTATTATTTTCTGACTGACGCTTGATGCTTTCAGTATCTTATTATCCCTTTACAGTTGAAACTTGAAAAAGAATTTGGGTGAATGTCGATGTTATGGCTTGACACTCCATTAGCCCAACCAGGAGTAGTGAATAAGACATAAATTCGGAACTTGTGATTTGGTTTAGGACCGTGTTATTCACTAATGGATGAAATATTAACTTACCGATGATCCTCAACACAATCGTCTACAAAGATGAGAAAAGACTCAGACGATGCCGAATAAATACCACTAGAGAACAATGCATTGTTTGACTTTTTAGAGACCAAATCTATCACTGTCTTGATAAAAAAAATTTAATGCTGAATTTGAACATTATTTTTAGCTATAAATTTCTTAATAGACAATGTTAATAAACTTTTTAAATTTGAAATCAGACAGTTATCATATTTAAAATAAATCAACTAATTGCATAAATTGCAAATAAGTAATGTGCCACAAGCCAAACGTACTTGTAGCTCCAATGCTCATAAACCCATAAATTAATATATGTAGGTCAAGTCTTGGAAGGCAACATACATGTCACGCAGATCCGATCAACTTTTGAGTCTCAAGGGAAGTAACTTCACAAGGATAGTTGTTGGATATTGATATTTTTATCTCTCTGTACGGTCAGTCTTGACTTGATTGTTTATAAACTTCGCATGCTTTTTAGAATTAGTCTGGTGGCCATTTTGATGAAAGTATGTTTTGGAGTTATTGTCTTTTCTGCTTCAGATCACATTTCCAACGGGTGGCACTTTGGCACCCTTAGGGAAATTTTTGTATGGACCATATTCAAAATGGCCACCATCCTCGATATTCTGCGTACTATTTTTGTCATAACTTTCCTTTTAGGGCGCCAATCGACATAATTTTGGTGTCAAAATAAATGTTTTCAGGGTCAAGGAACTCATTTATAATGGGTTTTAACCCCTATCGACAGGTTATTATTGTGAAAATTGAATTAAATTGAAAATGGCCGCCATCCTTGATATTACGAATACTATTTGTCATAATTGTGCTTCTACGGCACCAATAGACATCATTTTGGTGTCAAAATATATGTTTTCAAGGCCAAGGAATTCATTTATGATGGTTTTTATTCTCTGTGGAGAAAAATTAAATTATATAAAAAAAAAATATACAATACTCAGTAAGAATCGTCAGAATCGTCCCGTATAATTTTAAACTCAGTTTGTAATTGTTTCACAAATTCTGGTGTTGGTAAAGTTTGTTATTACGGGTTTCCAAAATAAATATTAGTACTTATAATAAACAGCCAAACAACCTTCGCTTCTTCCAGTCCAATAACACCTCTTACCACTAGTCCAACAACATCTTCACTACCAGTCCTACAATAACCCCTACCACCAGTCCGACAACATTTCCATTTACCCGTCCGTCCGCGTCCCCTACCAACAGTCCGTAGGCATCCCCTACTATCAGTCCAACCAACTTTCCTACGACAAGTCCATCATCACCTCCACATACAAAACCAGAGTACCAGTCCAATAATATAAAAAAAGAAAACCCATCTTTAAACATCCCCCACGACTAGTCCTACAAATCCCATACCATCAGTCGAACTGTTTGACTCTAACAACATCCACTACCAAATCTACACCATTCCCTACTACTAAGTCCAACAACTTCCCCCACTACAAGTCCTTAAACGTCACCTAATAATAAACAGTACAAAAACATCATCTCTTACTACGAATCCAACGTCATTTCCTACTAACAGTCCTACATCGTCCCCTTCTACCCTACTGGTAATGGGTGATCTTGTCGGACTGGCAGAAAGGGGTGCACTTGTAGTACGTGGTACTGTAGGCCTGGTAGTCGTTGATGTTGTTGGACTGGTGGTCGTCGATGTTATTGGACTGGTAAATGGAGATATTGTTGGATTGGTGGTAGGAGTTGTTGTTGGACCAGTAAAGGGGGAGATTGGTGGACTAATACACGGCGAGATTGTTGGACTGGTGGTAGGGAATCTTGTAGGATGGGTTGTGAGCCATGTTTTTTGTACTGGAAGTTAGACTTGAAATAGCAGACTGGTGATAAGAAACGTTTGTTGGACTTGTAGGAGAGAGTAGGACTGTTTCTTATTAAGTGATGTTCAAGGACTTGAAACAGGGGAAGTTGTTGGACTTTTTAGTAGGGTTGTAGGATTGGTATGAGATATGTCTAACTGCAGGGGATGTTAAAGGACTGGTTTATTCAATATTGTTGGGTGATGTTGTGGGGTGGTAGAAGGATATGTTTAAGGACTGGTTGTGGAGATTTTGTTTGACTGGTTGAAAGAGATGTTGTTGGACTGTTTATTGTAATTACTAACATTTCTTTTCGACACCAATAATGACATACACAAGAATTTGTGAAAACATTTTTGGGATAAATATTATGTGTTACAATTTAAGGGACTCCTGAAGATTCTTACGGAATATTGAATGTTTTAATTTAATTTTTCACAATAATAACCACAAACAACCATCATAAATGAATTCCTTGACCCTGAAAACATATATTTTGACATCAAAATTATGTCTACTGGTGCACTATAAGCAAAGTTATGACAGAAATAGTACTCGGAATATCAGGAATGGCGATTATTTTGAATTCGGTCCATAAAAAAATTTCCCCAAAGGTGCCAAAGTGACACCCGGTGGAAATGTGTTCAGAATGGCTATCTGATGCAGAAAAAACAATAAAACATTGTATGTACTCCAAAACATACTTGGGTGCTCTGCCACTGGACTAAATGCAGCTTCTCAATGTCAAACATTCACAAACATCGTCTTATACCTTGCCTGCAATAGCCATCTTTCTAGTATCACAGCGATTTGATCGGATTGCACTCTAGTTAATAAAGTCAATCAGAGTTGTACACACTAGCCATAATGTTTACAGTCGAAGTCTCTGGCGTACAATTCAATCAAATGTCTGTATTCCGTAATACAAGAAATGTGGCTATTGCAGTCAAGGTATGAGACGAGGTTCGTATTAGATTGACACTGTGAAGATGTATCTGTATCTGTATGAGTACGTTGAAAAAAACACTTCTGGCATATGATCAACGGAAGGGAGGAGCACATGTAAAAATCTCCACAGATTTTGCAAAGACTTGGTCGAACTGGAAAAATAAGAGTTCTTGGGTGTTTTTGTTTTTGCGGTAATAGTTTGGAAACAACTATTGTTGGTTACGCTATTTTCAACGATATTTGTCTTCAAAATATCTTGCTGACACTTTATGTTTAGTCCTCACTTGTTTAAGATAAGGCTGAGATGGTATAGCGAGTACCAACCCCTCCACCACCTTGAACAGGCAGGTCAGGCGTAGCGTAGCGTAGGTAGGAGCTAGTCTGGACTACTTTGAGGATAGTGTTGTTCAGTTGTTAGTTGTAAGATGACATCTGTTTGATGGTGAGGATGTAACATTTACTAGCATTGAACCGCATTGCCCCATTGCGCGGCCCAAGCCTCAAGGTTCTTGAGGTATTGTTGGAGGATGGTGTGATCCTTGTGGTTGCATGCTAATAGACGTACTTGCGACTTGACAGCATCTGGCAAGTCGTTAATGTGGGACAAAAATAGTAGAGGGCCTAGGACTGTTCCCTGGGATTCTCCGCGGGCAACGAGGACTTCTTTTAAGGATTCACCTTCCACTACTACCATCATGTGACGTTGGCACAGAAATGATCTGATCCATCGATGGAGTTAACCGGGTACGCGATATGGGTCAAGCAGTTTCCCTTGGTGTACCGTATCGAAAGCGTTGGAGAAGTCCAATATGGCGATGTCTGTCTAGGATCTTTATCAAAATTTGAAACAAAGTCGTTTATCGTAAAAGCAAGCTGGGTTTCACATCAGTAGCCAGCGCGGAAGCCGTGGTTGGCTGGATTGCGTGATGGTCAAAGTGGTTTAGCAGATGATGAATATGTGCTTGAGGATCTTGCTGAGAACAGAGGTCAACGGTACAGGGCGGTAATTCGTTGGTTCACTATGATCTCCCTCTTTGAACACAGGAGCGCATTCAGCCAGTCTTGGGGAAGTTTTCCTGAGTCCAGCGACCTCTGAAATATCATAGAGACAGGTGTCAGTTCATGCCTCGCTGATCTCAATGCCCTGGATGTCGTCGTCGTTATGAATACGCACAGGTGGTAAATCAGAGTCTCCGTTACCGGCGAATACAGGGCTGAACTGGTCGATGAGTGCTTACACTTTATACTTCCCATCACCGGGTAGCTGATCTTTGCTTCGAAATGGCGAGACTCCAATGTTGTCCTGTTTCTGGCTTTTGACATACCTCCAGAAAGGCTTTGTGTTATTGCTTTCCAGGCCCTTTTGGTTGACCTCATTGACGTAAGACCACTCAGCTCGACGAATTCCCCCTTACATTCTTACACGGAAGTTGGTCGGTTTTGTGGGCTTGGCGATGCAGTCGTGTTTTTCATCTGAGCATACTCCTAAGTCGTCTTTTCAGCCAAGATGGGGCGTTCTTACTTCTGGATATTTTCGAGGGGAGGAATTTGTCGATGAGTCGCTGGGGGGATAATTTAAACGAGTCCCAGAGCTTTTCTGTGTCCGTTCCTTCCTCATAAAGAGAAACTATCCTCTTGGAGATGATACGGCATTCCTCAGGTCATCCTAGTAAGCTTTTGATGTTAGAAATTGAAGTACCTTCCTCGGTTTCTGTTTGTAGTAGTGAGGTCTGGTGTCACTGTCAACTACTACAATATCATGAGAAATCCAGAACTATTCACTAGGGATTCATTAGATGTGTTTCCTTCTCGTGTGGGAGTTTCCTGCATCTGGGCGAGCTGGTGTTTGACTGAGATGTCAATGAAGTCCTGCTGGATAGATCTATCTGTATGGTTGGTGACTGACATGGATGGCCAATCAATATTCGGGTCATTTGAAATCTTAATTTTCTCAATTATTCGATAAACAGCTTTGGAGCTTGATCTAAGGGGATATTGTCTAGTTCAGTTTTGCTTTTGCTTTAGTTTTGTATTTCTCTCAGAGTAGGACGATCCGGAAATGACGAAGTCTGAACTAACAAGGTAGGTGATATTATTTTGTTTTCAATTATGAAACGGATTGACAAAGGGCTCCAATATCTATAGCAAATATTTTGTGAACTATATACATTAACCCAATATAACTCAGACAGAGAACTTATTTTGAGCATGACTTAGACGATACATGGTATGCTTCATCCCCAGGCTGACACATAATTTTTGGCCCAAACGTACAAAATCACACTTTCAATCTGGTTAAAAATAAGGTTGGGGTACATTTGAGAGCGTAATATCTAGACATCATTATAGTCACATTTCTTGTTGGACTTTTGTCGGTAAACTTTAAATATATCTCCCTTGTGTAAGTTGAGTATAAAGCAATTAAAAGAAGGCGAAGCGAGTCTTTTCTTCTCTTTTCTCACATTCTCATTTTCTTTTCTTTTCGGGTTTTCCAGTTTTAAGATAACAGATTTAAGTTGGCAGATACTTTTACCAAACCAAGGACCGAGTATCAAGGCCACGTCATTTGACCCGACCAGATCTAACGAATTTTCAACTGCCAAACCAACAGCACATAATCATCTAATTGAACTACCTACTCGTTAACGTTAATTTGTTATCTACCAACCACCATAGTGAGTTGGGTCGTCGGCGGCACCCTACCTACTAGTTCCTGTAAGAGTTATGGCAAGGAGGCGCGAGCTCAGGATATCTCTGCCACTGCTGTTACCCTGGTATGAAAAAGACTTCAGGGTCAACGACCCAGGGACCTCAAAGCCATTGCCCCAGCTTGCTAGGCCACGGAAGATGAAACCCATGGGTATGAAGGTATTGTGCATAAGACAATCTACCTAAAACTCCATTGCCCAGGCTCTTTTAATAACCACCAACCAACACCAGGCCACTAGCCTCGGGATATTGTTCATATATTTCTTGACCTGAGACGACAGCAACACCGGGCAGCACGACCGAGTAGCTTCCTTACTGAACGGTATTGCTTGACCTACACGATGGGGGGCCTTAAAATGGTAGCTTAAGAACTGTTTGCTTTCTCAAACAGCCAACAACATCATATGCAAAATGTTACACAGTCCGCCGCAAACTCGGGCTTCATTACAAACCAAAACCGTAAAGAGGGGGGCCTCTTAAAAGAATCTTAAGGTGAGCCACCCCCAGCAACAAATGTATAAGCTAAATTTCTGGCAGCTCGAAAATCAAGGCTGCCCCACAGATTCCTCGACATCCTGGTTTAACGAGAACAACGAAGAGATCCGAGGATTGCTAGCAAAGAAGAGATCAGTTAAAATACCTAAATAGTGCAACCATCTCGTCCCCAGAAAAACACTGCCTTCCGTCTTGTATGTGACAACCTCTATAAGCACAAGCTTGCAGAGATCTATAATTCGTAGTGGACTAACCTTACAAAAAGAACTCAAATCTGTGAATTATAGGCTCTTGGAAGCTTTTAAGACGCTAAAGGTCATCATTTCATATACTTATAATCATTCATACCAGTTAAATGTTTCATGTCCTTTATCTGATGTGATTGAAGGAATTCAGATAGACCTATTCAGGGTCGCAGGGTACATATCGAGTAATTGACCAACTATTTTAGCAATTGCTATCAACTGGTTGGTCACAGATTCCGACCGCTATGTCGGCGAAAAATTCCAGTATTAGCTAGAAGGTTAAAAGCATGAGCATATAATGTCAACTGACGGCAAACAACTGTCATTTTTCAATCGTCAACCCAGATCAGCGATTGATCAGATTTTCCCATACTTGTGGAGCTTAGGTCTTACGAATATAGAAAAAGGCTGATAATGAAGGGCTGCAATAAGGTTCAATACGAATTTGTGGCGTTGTTATAAATCATACAGGGGGTACTCATAAGGGAGTAGGAAATTCTCAATTTGGGCTTACTGGCACTTTTTACAATTATAGAGGAGGGTTCAAGGCAGGCCAACCTCTTTTTTTGATTATCCCGCGCTTATTGCTATAGTCCGTTTAGGCATGAATTGCAATAAAGTGAAATCAATTTTGCCTAGCAACTGATATTTTATATAATAATTGGCTTCATATTACTTTTATTAATATTGACATGATGAGCGATAATTATGATCTTAATATTTCCCCGATCATCTCCTCAATCGTCGTCTCTACTATTGCTCCTGCTATTGCTCTTGCTACTTCGACCACCATCGCGATCCTCGTCTCTTGCTTCTCGTCGATCTCTACCCTCTCTTTCATCGTCTCCGCCGTCATCTCCTCCATCGTCGTCTCTACTATTGCTCTTGCTATTGCTTTTGCTACTTCGGCCACCGTCGCGATCCTCGTCTCCTGCTTCTCGTCGATCTCTACCTTCTCTTTCATCGTCTCCGCCGTCATCTCCTCCATCGTCGTCTCTACTATTGCTCTTGCTATTGCTCTTGCTACTTCGGCCACCGTCGCGATCCTCGTCTCCTGCTTCTCGTCGATCTCTACCCTCTCTTTCATCGTCTCCTCCGTCATCTCCACCATCGTCACTCCTGCTTCCACTCCTACTTCCACTATTACTATCACTACTCCCACTACTCGAATGGCCACCTCTTCTCCCTTGACATGTCTTTATGAATTTGATGAATCCTCCTCGACATACTAACCCTGGAGCACATCTGAAACAAACAAAAAATATAAGCTGTCAAAACCATTTAAAATATTTTTCTATACAGTGGACTGCCTACTTGACAAGCAATGGACCAGTTATTATGACTTTGTAGAGAATCCACTTACTGGTTTCTTGAAAATGTTAATATCGGTAGGTAAACGTGTCTCGTTTAATTTTAATGCAAATAACAGAGAACCGAGATGTCAAATTTTCACTTGGAAAAATGCGACGGACAAATGAAATGGAGTTCTTTCATCTGGAAAACAACTATTTTAGAGATTTTAAAAGCTCAATATTTACTAGTTTACTATTACATGCTGGACCGCTCCAAATTGAAGAATAAACCCACCTTCTGGTTTTACTACACCATTCACCTCGACCACGATAGGCTTCGATGCTAGTAATAGCAATCACCAAGACGAGAGCAATGAAGACGAATCTTGGAAGCATCGTTTGTTTTTTCTGTATACACAGATGAACTGACAAATCTAGAAAATACAAAAAACAGATTACTTTTTAAACATATAAACTTGATTTTTAGTTAATTAAGACAAAATTGTAAACTATAATAATCACTTTATCACTGGGAGAATTTAGTTTCTTGCATTTCGACTAACTTTTCACCAAGAGACCAAAACTATCAGACCGGTATCGGTATAATCTTAAAGCAGGAAAATTAGACATTAATTTTTTTAACAATTTGATTCATAACATTCCATAGTTTCAGGCTGTTGTATGAAAGTATATGATCCATCAAGAGGTGACATGTTATGCCTCCAACTTATAACCAACAGATTAGTTTATACCACGCAGAATAAGGACCTTCTTTACAAAGCTTACCAAGGTAATACAACCAAATCGCATATTGACTACTGTTTTAACATCCAGGTTATATAAGCAATCCAGATTATGACTCACGAGCTCCAATGTGAACAGACGGATGGACCGACAATTGGCAACTTGGCACAAAATTTAGATATTCCAAGCAATAGTTTGATACACTTGATGGCTAGCATTTTGAACAAAAATTTACTGCGTTTAGAATAATAATGATACTGGATCATCACAAGTCTCGGAGAGTTGCAGTATTTTGTCAATGTATTATTCAACAATATATAATAATAACTCACCGAGCTTCAACAATCGCCAACAGAGATAACTGGAAGGTACAGACGTTGCCCAATATATAGTCTTACAGAACAATAAATTATTTCATGTTTTTTGTTACCAAATCTATCACTGTCGATATTAAAACTCATATGTAGCGTTATAAACATTGTATTTCACAAGAGTTCCTCAATTAACAGCGCTTTTTGTCTTAAAAATATGGAGATTCATCACTCATCAAAGAGATACAAATTACATAATAGATCAATCTGTCATAAAAAAAAATGAGTGTCTTTCTGGTTTCTTGACAAATACTTCTAAGATAATATCACTCATTATGGAAAAAAACAATCTGCAGTTTCAGATATTCGAGAGATTCGGGTTAATGGAATGTGCAAATCATTTGACAGTTTTAGTCTGATCAAAATATATTTTTTTTCGTTAAAGGCATATCTGAGTACCCAAAGGCCTATCGTAGCTTAGAGATTTTATAGCAATCGCCATCCATAATCTGAGAAAATCCTTCTTGAACTCATTAACCGATTGAACATGCTTTGCAAGGTCAAATACGCCTACTAGCAGATTTTTTTAACTTGAACATCAATCACAAATCTCTATATAATATATATATATATAGACATAGCATTAAACTATTCAACTAAGTAATTATTGAAATACGCTAAAACGAAACAAGTTAAATAACATTTTTTTTATTTTTTGAATATAGAGGGATTCTGTCCTATAGTTTTTACACCAGGTAAACAATGAACTGATGAACAAAGACTCATTTTGGCCAAGTATTTAACTTTAACTTTTTTGGTATACCTTAAAATAAAATCATTCATTACTTCGGGTCAACAGTGTTCTACAGTAAAAACGAACAAGAACAAAGTCAATAACGCATCAGATTTATTGATTATTTATTGAAAGGTTAAATCATTGCAACCATTTAGCCACAAAACAAAACTGTTAAGAATTGTGTCTTCTAGAGTACTCACGAACTAAAAGCCTCGACAATAATTGTCCCCCCATTGAGTTTCCCTCTATTTGTAATCCCAGTCGCGGGAGAATGGCACCGCCACTGTTACGGGTCTATAATCAAATGCCAAAGCTACCTTCATATAACGAACCAATTCTGACCACAGAAAACTAGTATGGCTGTTTTCGTATATCTTGTTTCACATTGTAATGCTGAATAATGTATATTATATGGCTCGTATGGAATATAATCATACAATCTTATATTTGTAGGATATGACGAAAGCTAATTTAATCACATTCGTCCAATCTGTAAATTCGTGAGCAATAAATCCGTGTCTTTATAAATCACCTCTATGTTAACATTACACAATCTGAATCTTTGACATGTGGTGATTTTAGGTGAATGATTGTGGTCATGAAAAGTCAATTGAGGTGAAAGATCAATGCATCTTACATGTATTTTTGGCAATGAAAAGTAATTTTTTTTTACCTCATAATTATATAGATATAAGACATCTTTTCGCCAAATTACAGATCTACAGGTTGAACAACTTTGAAATGACAAACTTATTACAAAGTAATCATTGCAGTTCGACCTTTTTATTTGAACATAAAATATATTCTCAATCTGGCCACCGATTTACTGCCTAAGAACACTTTTTCCCCGGTGGGTTCGTTTTGCCGCATTGCCCAACTTGCCGCATCGTGTCCAACTGCACAAAACGACTTGTAAAACGAAACGAAATATTTTAATCTGGCAATTCCGGAATTTATCAGAAACCTTTAGTTTCGTTTTACAAGTCGTTTTTGTGCAGTTGGGGAAGACGCGGCAAAACGAACCCACCGATTTTTCCATTCCAGTTTCGTCAACAGGTATTTCAATCCATTTCTCTTATTTTTCCTTCAGTTCCTCAAGCTATCTCATTTCAAACTTCACAAGACAAATTTGTCATGGAGAAAGTGTTTGGGCGATTTGTTCTGACAATGGTTGATTGGTGCATGTGTTCAGAGGTGATTTATAGTACTTACTTTCGGCATTATATTTTTTGACAAAGAATTTCAAAAAGGATGTCATTTCAAAGTTGTTCAACCTATGTAAATATGTGAAAAAATGTCTTATATCTATATATTTATAAGGTAAAAATATTACACTCTCAGCTTTGATACTTTCTGAGTAATTCTAATATGAAAAGTGTTATCGTTTTTTCTGAGCCACCCGATATATCGATGGGGCATTTACATACATTTCAGCTTCCAGCACAATTGGAGACACACGTGGGAGATGTGATATAATGTTTTATTTTTCAACAATAAAATATTATGATTGATTGTCTCCCTTCTTCTATTTACAAAACTAACAGTCGTTCAGCTGAAACAAAACAATTCATCACTATTACATGTTTCGTAACTATCATATAAACCGCAGATTTCAACCACAGGGACATGTCCCAAGGTGGAGACAATTGCACTTTTCTTTGGGGACATTTGATGTGTCACAGCTAGTCACGCTTGTGAAAAATAAAAACTTTCCATCTACAATATATAAAACATCTCGTATGATGACTACGCTATACACAGCCTGAATTAACATTGTCTAGGAGATTCTATTTTATTGGGACACATACAAAAACAGGTTGAAAACCACTGATATAAACCTACGATCACAAGACGATTCGGACTCGTTCTTTATGGTCATTGATATGGCAAGGTATCGTTCATCAGGCATTAAGTGATTCAAATTAAGTCATAATCTGGCCAAGCGTTGCTGGAATTCCATACTTGTACAGCGAATCAAGTTATAACTGTGTCAGACAATGCTAGTAAACTACAGTGTACAAAATATATGATGGCCTATGCAAACGATGCTAAAGCGCGATTAATTCAATGTTTACATCGGACATAGACAATGGTTTACATACCAACATTTTGAGTAGGACGGACATCCAACTAATCATGCACTTACTTGAACTATCCGGTGAATAAATTGGTGGATCTGGTCAACTGAGAACACCGGACACGAAAAGTTGGTAAATTATTTAAACATGCAACATCTTTACACGAATCGGAATAAGATCGCACCATTTCTGGTAAAGCTGAATTCAGTCTGTTCTGTATGGTGTTACATTCTGCTGTACCTAGTATTTGTCTACTGTTGCTAAATAATGGTAGCTCCACGGTGATTCCTACAAAAATATTTGTTATTATATTCTCAACGGTTCAAGTTCTCGATAATTGTCAGTCATGTGTGTCTCATCTTCAAAGACATGTAGAGAACAAAATATCCAATCAACCATCTTTACGAGGATTACAAATTAAATTCCGGCCAGTATCCTGTTATTTGTTGCAAAAAAAAAAAACACCTCCAGGGAATGGATCGTAGACTCATCGAAAATCCGCAAAAAAACATAGGCATAACAGGTAACCTAGTCAACACTTAGGTGCTGAGTGGTAAGCGCATCTTTGTGACAAAAGTTGGGCTCAGGTCGACTGATGATTCATAGAATCACATTGGAAGTAGAAAGGACTGGGAGATTTATCGATATCACGATATATACCAGTATAGGAAATTATATCGTTAGTAATATCGCCTGTTAAAAAGTACTAAAATATAGCTATATCGTGCTACATGGTAGTTATCATGATACGTCTTCAAATTTGTTTCCGGATGTCATTTATGAAAGTGGGCCCAAACCCAGTCTTGTTGTATTCCTGATTGTTGACTTCCATTGAATGGCATATTATTTGAGAAGTAATGGATGCTCGGCAAATACAGAAAGCATTTAGAAATCACAAGTTGGAAAGGGAATTATTGACGAAATGTATCAAAATCTGTCATGCTTTTATTGAAGATTTAAGTGTCACAAGACAGTACATGTTTCCCAAAATTAAAATTTACTTACTGCGGTTGTTGTTAACAGTATTTCTATTGGCATTATTCAAGGCGTTATTTACTCTATTATTTCTATTTAAACGAGTGTTGGACCCATTTAAACCTGTATTCACTCTGTTGTTTCTATTCCAACCCGTATTTACTGCATTATTTCTATTCAGACCGGTTAAAAGACCATTATTCCTGTTTGAACCAGTTAAAAGGCGATTATTTCTATTCTGGTTGGTATTAATATTGGTTGTTTGTTGATTATTAACCAGTTGTGTCTGCCAACTGGTATTAATGATTCCACTTCTCGGACTCCCCACACCATTAAGACAATCAACCAGATCAGACTGAATACAGCTGCGGAAATCCTGACTGTACAAAGTACCATCTGGACAATTGAAATAGGCACTGCCATGACCGGGTATGCCACATTTTACAAATCGAGTACAATTTCCTCCGGGAGCAGCGACAAAACCATCGTAATTAGCTGGACACAAGTTAGCAGGAGGGATATCAGGGTTTGGTTGTAGAGATGATTGACGTTGAGATATACGTGGAGGATTCTGTATCAACAAGCGCCTTTGCCAATCTGTTCCCCAATTGGTCCTCAGTTGAGCTTGACATAGTGTCACGAATAAAACAATACACCCTGAAATTGAAGAAAAATTATTAGGAATCTATTCCGTGGAAATCCTGGATCCAGCCTTTGGAGTCCCTTGTACCCATTAACCCGTGTTTTTGCTTTTTTCTTACTCATTTGCCATTCATATATACCAATACAGGGATAGTTTGAGCAATATTGTACCCTCTATGAATGATATCAGCTATTTGTTGAATGGCTCAAGTAAATGGTTCCAATAATTGGGTAAAGTCCAGATTCTAGAAGAATTGCTGTTACTGTAAACGAAACTAACCAGACTTGAATTATGAAGTCGGATACATCATTGATAATATATAATAAACTACATCCTTACCTAGAACTAACATAATTGAACAGTAATAATGAATTTTTCTACGTTCTGACACTTTCTCAATCCGTTCAAATTAAAAATGAAAAGACGCTGCGTGAAACGTTTAATATACGTATTTGAAGTCTTAATCTTTGGCATGTCTTCTCGCTTTTACCTCGACCTTTAATGGAATTCTTGTTAAAATGAAAGGTGAAATTATTTATCCGGTTAAGGAAGGGTTTTCATAGTTCGTGTCCAAAGGCCCCAGCACGCAAGTTCAGTGGTTAAGGTCAAACCATTATGTCCTGTCTAAGCCATCTTTATAAGAAGTAATCCGTCAAACGTGTAAATATGGTCAAAGTAAATATATAAGTTTCGTGATTTTAAATTAAGTAATATAAACGCATTGTTTTCACCAGTCTGCGACTTTTTCTGCGAAATATAATTTTAAATTTATTGGACAGCAAAGTTTCTTCGAATTTTAACGTTTCAGCATTTTTTCATTCGGATTGGCACGAACTCCCGTACATTCTTAGAAAACGTTATTAATGAAGTAAAAAGGTTTTAAAAAACTTGATACTTTATTTCGCCTGTACGTAGGTTAGGTGCTAACGAATTTTTCGGACTAATTCTTAAAACAGACATTTTTTGGTCGTAATTTTCGAGCATATCGCCACCATCCCCAGGATTATCCTTTTTTATCGTTTATTTCGTTTGAATTAACGACAAGACAAGAAACTTTCACAATGCCTGTTTTCTAATTATTTCACGATTCATGTTACATGATTGTTAACTGTTTTTCATTCTAGTGCTATATTTTAAACTTGGGTGTAAATTGATTTAAAGGTCATAAAGCTTCTGTATAGTTTGGATACCCCTTTCAATTATGACAAACGTGATATTGATCACAGTTCAGAGTCTGAAATTACTTCATCAAATTGTCTCAACTGAATAAATATATCGTATAACTGGCAACATAAGTTTACTCCTTTTACAGTTTCCAGTCGTCAAGGTATCTTACATATCTTAGTTTTAAGCTTATGTTTTTGTATGTTTTTGTTGCCAGACGAGGTCAATGAAAATTTTATAAGTGTCAGTTGATGGTTCTAACAATATATTATTTGTTGAATTTTAGATGTGTTTTTTTATTTTTGATGATCTTTTCATGCTTTCCGGAAAGTATATAGTGTATGTTCTTCCCATGCTCTAGGAAGTTCGAATATTAATATCACTTATTTTAGCCAATGGAGCCTAATTTCCGATTTTAGATGCCTTTTTATTTTGCCAATAATGTCTATAAAGTATGTGTGTGCTTTTAATATTTGTCTGTGGTTTGAAAAAGAGATACCTTTTTGAATTGCTTTGTCGTTGTTACACCTTACAAACTATTGAATCTTTTTTTATATAGAATAATCAATTTTTATTGATTAAAAACTGTGATTTAATGTTTTTCCAATGTTGTTATTAGAAGTGGACGTACAAAGTCATCAATAAAGGACATACTCACTTTTGTGTTATTATAGACATAGGACAAGTTTTTGGTTTAATGAAATCGTAAGGTACAAGGTGTTTCAGTTCCGCTCTGAAAATCACATTATATAATGTTGATGATATTGGTTGTTTTAACTCTAAATAAACTTACAACTACATTAAATCAATTAGGCTACATCCATACAAATATAGTCATGGGTTATGGTCAGATAAATATCTTCTGAGGTATCACATGCAATGCTGGACGATCAGCTTTAAGCTTATATGGTATGGTATCAGTTCCAAAACCAAATATTTCGATGTTCAGTCTTGAGCTTCCATTAACTTACACACAACTGTGTATCACCTTTAATATCCATGATACCTTAACTCTGAACAGCTTATCATAGATACCTTACAATGTTCAGTTCTGAGATGCTTATCAAAACCACGTCATGTGTTAAAAACCCTATAACAAAAATATACATGAATCATTAAGCTATAATCAAAGTCGAATGTCACGGACAAATATGAAGAACAAGAGAAAAGTTAATACAAACTGATCACAGAACAAATCAAAATTTTGGTGAAGGGACAGAGCAACACATATTACGGATAGTCTGGTATGTACATAATTAACAACATTTAGCCTTGTAAATTGACATTTCATTGTAAATTAATAAAAATTTCTCATTTCATTTGGCGGTTTGGTAGGCGAAAAATAACGTCCGTTTCCAGCAAAAGCTCTTTATTTGCACACTAAAAATTGATTCGGGCAATCTCAGATATCCCCCCCCCCCCCCACTCGGATGTAAACCTTGCTCCGCCTCTGTCTTTAGTGTGTTGACCCGTCTTCATTAGCCCACATGGTGCAGAAAAGTAGGACGTAAAACTCCATTCATTTCATTTCATTTAGTGTGTTGACTATAAACCTAATTATGGTCAAAAGAAATAAAAAGCCACACTTTAACTATCTTTCAGTTGATAACGGGACCTTGACTCTTTAAGTTTCTTCCTGTTCCAATATATTACAAGCGTATATAAGCGGCATATGTAGAAGAAAATAAGGACAGTCGACACTTTCTAAGAGTGACATCCGGTATATCTGGCTGTGAGAACAATAATTTCTAAAACATAACTATGAATATTAATTAAGTACAAGAAACTTCAATTAAACAGATTGTGTTCAATAAATCTATCTGTACGTCACAACCTAGAAATACCAATAAATCAAAGATTTCTGATTTAATTTTAAAAAGTATTTTTAGACTCATGAAGCCATGTTTTTTATTTAAATTGTGCTCAACTTAAACCATGATAGTTGCTATCAAGGCAGTACATTACCGACAATCTAAAATTGTGAGACGAAATAGTCGGTACCCACAACTGAATTAAAATGTTGGGTTGTCACAAAATCATAAAGTGAACATCGAGATCCACTAAGAGTGAAAGCTCTACAGAATTCAGTCACGACGCAGTGACTGGAACAACGACTTATATCTGTGGTCGAGATAACATGAAATGGTTCGATATCCATTTTAGGAACTGAATCTGGCTTCAGCTTGATAAACATCTGGCTCTTCAGGGTTGGTTGTTGGTCACATAAATTACCTGGAAGATAATGTAAATGTATGAAGTCGTTGATAAATAAATGAAAACAATAATAAGGTATTATTGAGCCACTCGAATCAAATTCAAAACGGATCGAAAAATGCTTTAATCTCAATGAGATATCTTGAATCTTACTACGGTGGCTCACATAAGACATTTTCCCTTTTTTATTTAGAATTTTTACTTGGTGAAAATTAATTTTCTAGGTGAAAATTAGGTGATAATTCTTGTAATGTTTAATTAAAAACTTTAATTTTCACTTAGGGATAATTATTTTCACCTAGGTGAAAATTAAAGTTTATAATTAAAAATTACACGAATTTTCACCTATAATTATCACCTGGGTGAAAATTAAAGTTTTTAATTCAAAATTACAGGAATTATCACCTAATTTTCACCTAGGTGAAAATAATTATTACCTAGGTGAACATTAAAGTTTTTAATTAAAAATTAATTTTCACCTAGGTGAAAATCAACGTTTTCAAAATTAAAAGTGAAATATGTCGTGTGTGAGCCAACGTATCTTACAGATAACCAGACCATTTTCTTGGAACATAATTAAAATTTCTGACATTACTTGTTTGGGGAAAAAAATAAAATACAGTTCTTGAGACCTAACTCATAGTCTTGGTATAATTTTATGATTTTGGTATATGATTAAAATTCTTGGTACTTGATATGAATTTCTTGGTATAAAATGTAAACTTCTTGGAATGTGATTTTTTCATGTTGGACTTTTCCCGTTTTTACATTCCATACAATAGGTCCATAGCAATTTGAATTTCACCGGTCAAGCATCAGAAACATTGCCATTGTTAGGAGGTCCAGATCACGGGTAACTTGAGCACAATAGGGAATGCTCGTTAGTATCGTTATGATACACGTTCTATCGGATTGTAGCGGATTTTATTGAAACTTGTAACAGATATTCAGAATGATGAACCCTTCGACGAGTTCGAACTTGACGATGTTAAACTGAACGGTGACTAATTTAGCTTGCTAACACATATGGAAAATAGAGTTTTGATCCTATTTGGATGACACTTCGTATGCTGACATGGATTGTTTAGATTAAATTTTGCCAAGATCAGATTTTTATTATAATGGAGCTCAATTAATATTCAATTTTGATTAAACTGTTTTTTATTATATGGATTGATGAGATATATCATTGACCATTATAATCATATTTGATGCTTGTCGTAGACGTATGTTACACTTTGCCGTGCATGCTTACTCTGACAAAAAGACATCATCGAATCGATTACAGTAACAAAGTTATCAAGACATACATTCAATCGTTATATTATCATATGAAGATGACGAAATGTCATTACTATAATTCTTATATTTTCATGAAAAAGATTGAAAAGATCACGTTACCCGGACACTGAACCCAGTTGTATTCAATATAAACACTAGTAAGATGAAGTGTTTTCACATGAATATAACTCGTGTTTAGTACCAATATTTTAAGTAGTGTCAGTTGAATAGAATATAAGTCATTAACTAGATATAATATTGTATGTAATAATATTGTTTTTCGTAGAAAAAATAAGTTTAACATTTGAAAAGTCATTGTGATTGTTACTATCTCTGACAGCTACATAACAAATAAGTTAATTCTTGACTCTTAGCGACATTCTCCCCTCTTGAAAGAACAAGCAAACGTTATAGATCATCACATCATATTAATAGTGTTAATATTCTGTATAAACCATAACAGTCATCATATCGGAATCATAAATTAAAAATCAGTTGGACAGCGATACACAACCAATACGGATCAGAATACTAGTATATGCAGCAGTTTCATTGGACTTTAAATTGAAGGAAATTTCCCTAAAATATACGTTTTAAGAACCAAGTTGGAAAATCCTATAACTAACCTGTTACTGCTTGCTGTTGTCCACAAATAGTTTTAAGTCGCGCATTAATAATAGACGGATGCAACCAAGAGTCAAATACCAGTAGACATCGCATCTGCCCTTGATAGTTCATCAGATTATTTCCACCACCAAGAAACAATGATGCTGTATAAGAGTCATTAATAGCAGAAGTATCACAACTATCAATTATATCCACTTCAGTACCATCCAGAACCATCGAGAGCTTCCTGGAATCAGCGATTCTTTGAAGTGAAAAAGAGTACCAAGTATTGTAAGACAATTGCGTCGTCACTAAAAGGCCACATTTACCAGAATTAAATAGCTGAACAAGTAACTGTCGGGTTCCGTTGACGGATACTTCAACTCTGCTGATTCCAGTCCAGGAAATTGGTTTTGATTCAAAGATTACCTCCAATATAGTTCCGAATGAATTTTCAGATAGAAATAAGAACGAAGCGATTGTAAAGTCATTCTGGAAATATTTGATAGCAATGCTCGACTGAACGGTAGATGTTATTGAACCGTCAAAATATATTGCATTATTGGGTAGATCTGGATGCTTTTGAGAAAATCTGAAACATGTATCCTTGTTTACTGGTTGAACATGCTTAATGACATCACATACATAATTCACATCATCAAGAGGAAACAGACAAACTGGTGTCTCATCGAAACAGACAGGAGCTGAAACAAACGATCCAATGTACAGAAGCTTATAAATCGGCATGGCTGAACCTATCCTAGCAATGTATTGTCTATTACGTATCTTAAGCATTCCTTTTTTCAAATTATTTCCTTACATTTAAAATGTTTTATTCGGATGTTTCATAAGACCGGTAATGACAATTTTTGATATTTAAAAATGACTAGAAATTTATTAGAGCTATTGGTAAATGATCTTTAACAGCTAGTCCATTCTGAGAAAACTTTCATTGTGTATATCAAATTTCTCTACAACATCGAGAAACTCTTTAAGGGTGGAGTGGATAACTGGCTGGGTTCTGATTCCATACTTGAGTGTTCCGATTCTAATAATAATAATTTAATTCACAATCTCGCAAGGAGATATCATAATCATAATGAAGTGAAACAATATGACTATTTACATATGTACAAGCACATTGTTCACAGTTCATTTAAATTTATTCATAATGATTTAAGCTCATTCTACTAGAAACATATATATTATTTTTGGAATTCATTGAAGATTAGTTTTTACAAATTTGCATAAATTGATAAACCTTTACAATTTAATACTTCATTCTAGATAACTCATTTTATCAAGGTTGACTTACCCATTGGGGGAGGATTTGTCCAGGCAGCATCACAATATGTCTTCATGTCAGGAAAATAGGTGTCAAATCCTTCAGAGACGTTGTAAAACGCTAAGCAGGTCATCATTCCCTTGAATTGGTTCCGAATATGGTCGACTTGTGGATTACCAAGTCTAAGAATTGCTGGTAGAATTAGTTTAACTCTAGCGTTACCAATAGTGCTTTCTACAAGGTCTTCATTTTTATACGCCTTAAATTCTCCTGATACATAGTTGTAGCTAAAGGTTAGCGTTATCCATGTCTTAAGATCCAAAAAATCTGTTATCGATATGAATCCTACATGTTCAAGAAATAGAGTTAATTCTCTTTCGGTGATCCTTATTTCCATGGTTGAAACACCATTTTCATTATTGTCTGACAAAAAGTGCATCACCGAAAAGGAATCACGCTCGGCATAAAGCTGCAAGCTTATTGCAAAGGACTCCATGTTTGGTCCAGGTATTGCAATGTCGATATAAGAGTTTTCAACATCGTCCAAATACAACGCGCCATATCGTAGAGCTGGATTTCCGGTCTCGTCAGCTTTGAAGCAGTCAGTTAATTTGGGGAATACGCCATCTTCACCTTTAATAACATCGTAAGAGAATGAAGATTTTGCTAATGGCCAAAGAGATACCGGGGAAGGAAGCTGACCAACTACAACCTGCCAAAATCCAAAACCTATAAACATAAAAGAACTAAATCAGAAATATTGAAATATTTCAAGAAGGCCTGGTATGTCGAACTATTGTCGAACCAAAAGGACCCATGGGAAACTGTTGTACATAAAATCTGCCTTGATTCAATGATTTTAATTTTTTTATTTTGTTACGCAACATTACAATCATATTTAAAGTAAGGATTTTCAACAAATCAATAATCTAGTAAATAGAATGTCAAAAATATTGCATTTATAAACTTACATAAAAATACTGAAGCCTCCATAATGATAATTTTACGTTTTCCTTATAAACCCTTCCTTCACATGTCACCACCGGTAAAAAATGTAATTTGTAATTATAAACGAAGTTGATCAGTGGACACTTAATTTACTTTCATTAAATCAATGTTATCGATTTGTTTAAAACCAAAATCAATTCCAGTCTAATATAATATAATCGATCTAAATCATCATAGAAAAAATTTGTGATGGCATTTAACAGGGGTAATATTTGTATTATTGATGGAGATGAGTTGGGATCAATTGCTGTTCTTGAATAGAGTTAGAAGACGCTAGAAATGCTCAATTTCGGTTATATTTTATCACATGCTTTTGGCGTGATATCGTGAGGCAGCGAAGAGTAAAACTTGGTACGCCTTACAGCGTCAGTGTCCGTAAATATATTCATAATGCTGTATCTTTTTAAAAGGACAGGTATGCCATTTTGGGGGGCATTCAATAATATCATTCCTGATAATTCTGGATACACATGGATTTAAAGGATTAAATATAGATGGTGAGTTGTGAACATTATTACTGATGTTAGCTAAAAAATTAACGTTTCTGAGATTAAAGTATGATTGGTCAAAAAAATGGCACACCTATCCCTTCAAATGAGTTCCTAACATCATTGAAGCTTTCCAAAAGAGAAATTGTGTTAGGAGACAATCACATTACTAGGGTAAGAATGTTAACGAGTAACATCAGAAACAGTTACTATGGTTTATTTTGTATATTGTAATACGTAATACCAATAAATAATGCTGTTGATATTAAGGTGAATCCTTCACAAATGACGAATCAACCTCTATTTTTTGAGTTGACGGAATCTATGCCTTACCAAAATGGCGACCCTTGCAATGGTTTAATATATCTTTATTTAAAAATCGTCATTAACATTTGAGGACAGATCTTTTTAGAAGGGGAGTATTTTAAAATCTCTTGAATTCATTCCCTTTTCGATTTCAATGACCTGAAGGATTACAAATATCGATTACTCGATTTGGCTGACGTGAGGAAATTTAATCAAACATATTGACAGTTTTGTTATGTTTATACATCAAATATCAATCTATTGAATACTAATTGTTTAAAACTTAATTGAACAATTACACACATAGGGTTTCCCTATGAAATCTTTATCTAAAAAAAAAGCACATTTGAACTGAAGAAAAAAAGGGAAATTTCTTGATCAAACAACAATATTAGTAAAAATATGAAAATCGTGAGACAAAAAAGTGGAGATTCTTTCTGATGTACAATAACTAATTTCTTAAAGCACAAATAATGATAGGCATCTATTGAATTGTTAAATTGAAACCTCAAAATTAAAGACAGTAAGCAATGAATATTGCCTCCCAGCTGATTTACTTGGACATGCATAAATTGATCTGATAGTATCTCATGATTAGATAGTTGCGGTTGTCCGCGCAAAGCAGACCATAGTTCGAATTTGATAAATATCGGAAGAATGGTTTTGGAGTTATTTTTCTTGTCTTAATAATAAACACGTAAAATTTACATGTATATATTGTTGAAATCTCGGTCACGTTCAAATTAGGTCTAAATCGCATGAACAGGTTTGGTGTAATTGCCCTTGACTTGGTAAAACACATCAAATTTGCCTTGTAGGCAATAGAAGTTTCAATTATTAGATCTCGATGAAACTTACATGTTTTTATTGATGAGAGTGCGGTCACGTTCGAAATATGAGTCGAATTTATCCTGGGTTAGTCTGATTCGATTTGGTCTAAAAACCATTTATCCTGTATCAAATCAAATTTGATTATGGTAATCAGCGCATTTATTGTAGCAGCGAATCAAATCGATATACGTTAATCGAGTATATCAACTTTGGAGCGTCGTAGCTCTGTTAACTTTCGCTTTTGTAATGGCGTCCAACATGGAGAGGTATAGAAAATTTATTCCTGCCATGCCACCATCTTCGAAACTATAAATAGTATAATGTTTATTTATCCTGCAGTATAAATCAGATTCGATTTGTGACGTCATTCTGATTAGGGTAATCGAATCAGATTTAAGTGCGTAAAAATGCCTATGGTTATGATAGGATGAACAGTTTGTGAGTTATTTCCCACGACTTAATAAACGCTTCAACTTCGACTTGTAGACACGATAGAGCTTACATTTTGTATCCGACTGATATCTCAGTTTGAATTTGACAATATCTTATTTTATTTGGAATTAAAGGCGCCACATATAATCTAAAAAGATCAAAGAAAATACAGTGTGGAACTTTGAAAGAATGTGCATGTTGATGAGTGTTTGAATATACTGATCATTTGCTTTTAAGGTTTTGCCGTGACTTCAAGACATGGGAACAGTATGATTTTAATCATTATATGTATTTCCGTTATTGCTATTGATTTAGAAAGATTTTGGGGAAAATCTCAACATGACGGACAGTAAATATGTTTTTGAACAACAAATGTATTATAAAGATCTTTAATTGGAGAAAATTTGTATTATAATGTTGATCTTTGTTGTGAAAAATTTAATCATTTCTTACAGCAGCCAGTGGGCGTATGTTACCTTGTCTGGTAAGCTTTTTTTAGTACTGTTTGTGGTATAAGAATACCAGTAGAGTCCGAATTGATATGGATGTCTGTTAAATTTTTAAAGATCAGTTGCAATTGCTGTATTTAGGACACTTGATCAATATATTGAAGCATAACAAGATTTCAACATATCTAAGCAAGTGCATCATTGAAGAATTTTCAAATCTGTCTTAGACAGTGCCACTCCCTTAATGCTTATCCACAGCATTCCAGGATCTCACCCTGCACAGCAGAACAATACAAAACCATTGTATTTAATCCTCACTGTCCGCACTAATTACTTATCACAGACTATCACTGAATTCACTTTCCATATATTTCGCGTTGTTAATTTTCAGCCCTCTCCAATACTTTCTCTATAAGAAAATACACCCTTCAACAATCGACATTGGTGAAACTGTTGAGGGTCAGACGGCATATTATAGACACCTCTATCACCTTGGTAAACATGTCTATTATAGGGTTAAAGAAATATAGCCAAAACTTTGAGAAGAATTAAACTATTTCTGAAATAGTAATCTAGTACTCTAAATATTTTAATACTTGTTTGTATGCTTCCTCTTATCATTATGAAAATCCTGGATTATGAGCGGGTAAATGGCATAATTAAAAGTTCATGTACCTAAGTTTAACTATGAACCAGCAATAGATCAATATACTTCTATTTATGATTCAGTAAGAAACTATTCTTTGTTCCCTTTAAATAAGGGCAAAAGTTGGTACCAGCAGAAAACCTTTCATCAGCAACCAATAAATTGGTTGGTTTTAAACTCAGTTGGTTAGTAGTGTGGTGTAGGAGTTGGGGCCATTTTTTACTCCTAATTAGAGAGTGTTTGAATATATGATATACAGTTTCTAAAAGGATACGGTAATCTAAGACACCAGACACCATTGGATGGTAATTCTATAGGTTTATCAGTACCAGGATGAAATAGTGGACATGGTGCTATACCAGGTTGTATTGTAGGATTTAATAATATCCTAATTGGTCCATCTGGTGTTACTATATATAGCCTCATTAATTGAGCTATATAGCCTTTTGTACTCCTATAATAAATATACATAATTTTACAATCACTACATAAGATTTGAGTCGTTTTTGTCGCACGATTTGATGAGGTAGATTGGCTATTTTGTGCATTTGTGAGCCAGGACGTTTAGGCTAATCGGTGCATTTGTGAGACAGTTTACCTAAACTGATTAGGCTAATCGACCTAACCGCCCCAGTAGGTGGTTAGGCGATTCGAGTATGTGTGACGTCATTGGTAATTTATACTATTGGCTAAGTAATATCAATGTTGTCTATATAAACATAGATGTCATTGGCTAATATTAATAGACAACCCTCTTTTGTTAACAGTGCAGTCAGCCATATTGCCTAATCGCTGGTATCTCATTTGTAGGCCACTGCAAATCGAAACCTAATCGAATTCACAGGTGACAAAAACGACTTTGGTACTATATCAATATATAGGCTCATTGACTTGAGCAATGTAGCCCTCTGTACTTTTGTGGCTAAGGTACAATTATGTTATATGAGCGACGTACAAATCAACCGATAGAAGTGCAGATATTTTATCTAATAGATGAAATAATATGTAAATTTAACATGATGATACATAATTTCAAGATGTATCATGAAAATTAATTTAGCAGATATAAATAAAAAAATGAGACTCAAATAGGTCCCAAAGCTTCAGTTATTGTGTCAGATAGATTGAACATCGTTTGATATATTTTATCACCTTTCTTCAGAAACAATTAATTGAACAATTCTTACCTGCAATGACAAGGTGTATATAAAGGCATATCTAGATTTAATAATTTATTGGCATTATCTTTAACACTACACATACTGGATACTTTTATAATCTTATCTGGTCCACTGCAGAAAAATCTATGACCTCTAGGACACTCATACTCATTACCCAGAAACACTCGTAGACTAACTTCTCCTGCATCTAGTAATAAACAATAAGTTTTGAAGCTTTTATCTGATTGAAAGGCAGATAGTGATGTGTCTTGGTGGATGCCTGTTGTAGGTATTTAAAATATATCAGCAAAGTAATGTTCAACAGTATATAAGGAACTGTAGTTAAATAGACACTGTTTTGAAAGTTGGGAGCTTAAAAATATAAATTGAGCAAGCCTAAATAAATAAACCTACCTTTATGAGATCTTTTCTGTCTACCTTTCTTGCCAGCAGTTTCACCAACTGTCGGCCATTTCTCTTTACTGATTTTGAGAGTAATATCCCAGGGTAAGAGAAAATTGCTTCCAGCTAGAAATCCTGGTAGATCTAGACCTAATAATAATAATAAATCCATTTAAGATAAAGACCATAGATAAGTCATTCAGAGTCTGAGGAATGAGATGTTGTCATTGGCATAGTTTAATTGATGAAATGGCAGACATTCTAATCTATGCAGTGACGTTCTTAATTATCCCAGTCAACCAAAGTGTTAATTGCGATGAAAATTATATATGCCAAAATATTTGGCCAAGGATTGGATGGTAGTAAGGATTCTTAGAACCAAAGATGTTATTGTTTAATCAGCAGGTTTATTTCCTGCTACAGTGAATCCTCCTCACAGGACCACCTTCATTAAGCAACCACCTTCAATAAGTGAAGATCTCCCATAAAGTTATGCTCATGTGCCACCAAAATGATTTGATTATTCCTTTGAGTGGTATCTACTGTATTTGACAATATGGATTAACCATAAAGATTATCAACTTACCCTGCGAATGAGAATAAAATGAAGGTTTACCAAGACAACATAAAGACCATGAAGAGAATTTAGGTAGGAGACCAGGTGGAGAGTCAGTATGTACCATACCAGGTAAATACTCAGTTGTAGAATGCTGACGACTTATTATTTCTTCACCTACACAATATACACAATAAATAAAAGATATACGGAATATACAAAATACACACTATATACTGAATACAAAATATATATACAGTATACACAACATATATACAGTATACACAATATATATACAGAATACACAATATATATATACAGTAGAAACAATATATACAGAATACACAATATATACAGAATACACAATATATACAGTATACACAATATAGACAGAATGGACAATATATACAGCAGAAACAATATATACAGAATACACAATATATATACAGTATACACAACATATATACAGTATGCACAATATATATATACAGTATACATAATATATATACAGTATACACAATATATATACAGAATACACAATATATATACAGTATACACAATATATATATACAGTATACACAATATATATACAGTATACACAATATATATACAGTATACACAATATATATACAGTATACATAATATATATACAGTATACACAATATATATACAGTATACACAATATATATATACAGTATACACAATATATATACAGTATACACAATATATATACAGTATACACAATATATATACAGTATACATACAATGTATTCCTGAAAATAAACATCATATTGTTAGTAATAAGCAAGGGTAACACTCACAAATTGATTTTATATTTTTCTCTTCTACAACTGTTGGAGTGTCTTCATTTTCTATTTCTTCTTTACTTTTACTACTAGATGGTAGCTTTGTGTCATCTTCACCAACATCTTCTTTACCATCATCATTATCATCTTCATTATCATCATCATCATCTCTAGTCATAGCCTCATCAGCTAGACTGGCTACACGTGATGACACGTCTATAGTATCTCTTTGATCTAAACCATCTTGATGTCCATGATATACATCACTTCCTCCAGATTGACCTGAAAATAATTTGAAAGGAATTGAAATAAAGATGAGCAACACCATGCAGTGTGCAAGGAAGGGATATTTTTCCAAGACAGTTTCATAAGCCCATTTTTTCCAATTTCAAGGAGATTTAATGTGATTAACCAAGAAACAAGCATAGTTCATTTCCAAAATATACATATTATATTTGAAATTTTCATGTCATTTATTTTAAATTATTAAGAATTATTCCCTACTAACAAGTTCATGTGAATTGAGTTTAAGACCAGTTAATCCTGAACTTACCTAAACTAAGTGCTAGACTGAGTCCTGACATTCCAGATACTACAGACTCTATTCTTTTACTGTCACCACCTGATGTACTAGATTTAGGTACTGGTAACAACTGATTAGTAGGTGGTAATGGTACTTGACGAGCCTTCGCTTCAGTTGTACTGGCTTTAAAAGCTGGTAATTCAATCTTTTGTAGCTTATGACAACATGTTTTGGCTAACATTTCATAGAAGTCATAATTTGCGCTCTAGAAAAAAGAACAAACTCTATGTGAAATGTATTATTTCAACAGTAAAACCTATAACACTCACCCTGTATGTTTATATATTGTGATCCAAAAAGAATCAACTACATGTTATCTCCCTTTAAAGCCAATCAATGCAGAAACATTCTGAGCAAAAAAGTCTTGATGAATGGGACTACGAGATAGAATGTTTAGAGTGAGACTTTTCTTATTACATATCAAAGGCTTAATAAATGATTTTTAAAAGGAAAACAAAACTGGTACAAAGTAGTAGTCTTACCTTATGATCAAAACAATCTTCTTTATCTGCTTGTTTTTTACCACAGTTACATGCTGCTTTAGTTTTAATCTGACTAGAATGTGGTAAAACTGGTAGCTGTTCTTTCTTCTCTGTCTCCATCTCATCTTCTAATCTATGTATCTAAACATATAGTTAATCTTAGTTATTTCATTGATAGAAGATAGTTTATAAACCTGGTTGCAACAAAATCCTTATTAAGTCCTCTGTTAAGAATTCAACAGCTTAAAGCTAACAGGTCCTTTACAAATGTTGCTTCATTCAAGTGTTAGATTAATCACAAGTGTTCATAGTCAGATATTAGTGGTTCAAACAATAAACTTAATGATAAAAATATAAACACACTAATGTACATGAAATCAATTCAAAACTGTAGACTTTACAATGATCGCAAGCAAACAGAAGTATAGACAATATTACTCAACACAACTTACAGGATTAATACACAGATTTCCAGACAAACTGACAGATTCACATTGTTGTCTACCAGTTTTCCACCATTTTTCACAAGCTTCTTCCAGCTGTTTCATATATTCACCATATGCTGGTCCACGGGCAAACTGAGCAAAAACATGTTTAGCTTGAGCCAGTTTCTGTACATGATATGATCTAACATAATGTGTAGGTAAGTCTTGTTGATAAGCTGTCTCAGCTAGTGGTAAATATTTATTACAGCGACTGAAATTATTACAGAGGTTTCATGATTGATAGTAGACTAAGAGGACACCTCTACGCTCTAAAACCAGTAATTTCAACAGATTGTGTTGAAATTACACAAGGAACAGTTTCAATATATCTCACTTGATCTATGTGATAATTTTAGTGGCAGAGAGCCATAAATTTGGTGGTTAAACATGAAATTTCAGTTTTCTATCCATTTTGCAAGGTCTGCACAAAAGCTATTGAGCATTGGCAGATTATAGTCTATTATTTCAAGCATTATATTCCAGATACATTATTACCAGTTAGATTTCTCAAACAAAATGTCTTGAAGTCTGTTGTCTTCAGTTTTCATAAAAGAAACCTGAAGCTGAGGATTTTGAAAGGAAGACTAGTTACTAGTTATTGGTAAATTGTCATCATCATTCTCATAAAGAATATAGAGCTCCTGTCTGCTTAATAGTTCAGGGCTGTTTCTGTTATCTAAGTCCTATATCGTACCAAATAAACTTACTTTTCAGAGAATCTTACATCTGTTTCTAGTAGAGACTTTAAAGTGTTCAAGTGAGCCTGTGGTTTGCCTTCAGGTATATTGGTAAAGTAAAATTGATGTAATCTTAACGCCACATAAAACCATGTCTCACAAACTGGAAGCTAAAAGAAGACAAACAAGTCAAGACTTGCTTTCAGTGCATTGATAAATAGCAGGTTAAAGAGTAAATCTATTCAAAGTTTTCAACAGAACGAAATTTGAGAGCTTGATTTGTGGATTCAGATTTATGCAGTTTCCATATTGGTCTATACTTATGACCATAATGAAAGGATCTTCCTATCTTTTGTTTCATTTAAAATAAATTCGGATAAAAATTTGTCCATTGCACAATGCAAGGCACTGTCTATTTTTACAAGGCCACTAAGAAGCAGAGTCTAGTGGATTTAGTGGTATACTAAAATATACCTCAAATGTAGATGGTAGAGGATTCCTTCCTACATTGTCATTGAAGCCTTTACTGAATGCTAGTTCTATGTGTTGCCAAATAAACTCCTTAAAATTACATTCTCTAATTCTATTGTTAAATGATGATGATGCTAGTGGACCTTGACCACCACGTCTATTAGTTAGGTAACTTCTACTCTTGGGAGAATCTGAAACCATACACTTTCAAATTATTCATTTATTTACCATTGCAAAGTGTTATATGTTTCAAATGTCTGAAATAGTATTTCCAAAGTACTGTATATTTGAGGTAGGAAAACGATCACTGTAATTTTTTGCAGCATGAATTAATACAACAAAGGCCATGTTGTTGTAGTACTATCCCATTTTGGTTGTGAGAAATGAAGTTATAAAATTGATTTTTCAGTTTAAGAACTATAGGTGTCTGAAAAGAGTACCACTTACCATCTTTAGAGGGAGTATTTAGATTACGTAATAAGTGTAGATATGATGTAACTGGGTCTGGACAATCTTCACGTTTAGTATGAACATAGACAAACTCTTGATTAGCAGGTACAGCAAACAATGAATTATTACTTTAAAAAAAAATACATGAAAAATAACTTTAAAGATAGTGAACCACAGCCATATACGCCAACCACAGCATGCGGATGGTACAAATGAATCATCCATTTTAAGTTTCATCAAAATCGGTTGAAAACTAAAAGAGTAATAGCATATTCAAGATTTTGGGGCAAGGGCAATAACTCTGCTTCAAACGGTCGAAAATAGCTTAAATTCAAACTTGATGTTCGTTTTATGAATATGTATACACATACCGAATTTCATTTGTTTCCATCAAAAATTTTGGTTTTTAGACTGTTTACAAGCAAATGTTGACGGTGGGACGGACGGACGGACCGACAGATGGACAGGGGTGCCGACAATATACGTACTATATGTGGGCGTATAAAAATAAGTACATGTATATCTTGTTATCTTTAGTAAGACTTCAATTTAAATGAATTTCAAGGGATTCTGTTAGGTTGCCTTGAGGAAAATTGTGGAAAGTTTTCAAATGTTTTCCAATATAACAGTTTTTACAATAGCTTTCTTAAATGAAAATTTAAAGTATCTGCATTATCCTTATTTATAATCAACTACCTAATGTTTGTAATAACTCTGGATTTCCTTAATATTCTATAAATCTGATCTTCTAAATTTATCTGTAATTTCTTAATTGGTAGATTTTTCTGAAACCAAAAATCGATAAAGATATTTAAAACAAATTATATAATAGTGAAAGTGTATAATTTTCTATTTATCATTGTTTATATATCAATTAATAGAATTAAATGATCTTAAAATAATAATTTAAAATGGGAGAAGAGGGAATAAACTGATTGCACTTTTGACTTTTCTAACCTAGAACAAAAAAGAATGCTATGCTTGGCACAATATTACCTACTGAACATAGTAAATACAATAATCCTATCCTTCAAAAGCAAATAAGTTTTAAATAGTTTTGTACCTATAATCTTACTTAATTTTTATGCAATCTACATTAATTGATTAAAATGTTTTGATAAATGCCTGAACTTACTTGTGGTCTAGTTTTACTATACAAAGAATCATTGTCATCAAAACTCAGCTCAAAAGTAGCCGTTTGGAAAATAAACAATACCCTAGGTGAACAGAGTCTAGCTGATGTATACCAATCTTGTGAGAGTATAAACTCTGATAATACCTCTGATATAGAACTCTGTAACTTTAACCTACAACAAATAATACTCCAGGTTCAGAGAGCCTACTAAAGCTTTTGAAAAAAACCCATCTCTTCTCAGTACTAATTTGTTACTTACCTTATCATATCTAGTATTCTAAACAACTTAACATAACCAATATCAAATGTACTGCCTGGATTACATAACTGAAAATAATACAAGAAGGGCTTTAGCTCTGACTGTAAGTTAGAACATTGAGATATTAACCTCACTTGCCTGCTTAGTTCATATAAATGCCTGCTGCTTTTCCTATTCTCAGTTAGAATCTGTTTACACTAAATAAATGTCTACAATATTTAGTCGACCCATTCATAAATGGGTGTGAATTTCTTTTTTCCTTTCACCAAAGCAAGGAAACAGATTAACACTTACCAATACTATATGTGACAGGCTAAATAAATATAACAAAGTTTTAGCATGTTTTATTGAGTTATCTTCCCATATACTATTAAAATCCTACAAGAAAGAAAATATTGTATAGTTAAACAAAAAAATAACTTGTTGTCAAAAGGTACATACACAAAGCTGAAATTCAATCTACACCAAAATTGTTCAAACTGAATGATGAAAATATATAATATGTTGGAATATGACAACATGGAAAACCTGCATATCTAATTATTTTAAATGCAATATGATTTTTCTTAGATCACAAAACTAAATGCACCATTAATATCAAGTGCAAACTTTAAGTAAAAAATTAAATAACAATCATACCAAATATTTTAGCTTTTACAGTGTACATGATGCTCAAGATAGATAAATAGGATTTATGCTAACCAAGTTTGATTTAGATTGATACAGTTCTTGACATCTCTCAGCCAGGATATGGACATCAGCACAAGATTGGTGGTGAAGATAAATAACTTGATTATCCACATCATAATACAGTTCTATCTCTTTCTTAAAAATACGTAAAGACAGCAGATAAAAAAAACAATGGATAAATAAATAGACATTATTTTACAAAAAATTATTGATTTTCTAAAATTTAAGTAAGTTTGTAAAATGAAGATAATGAACAGTATAAAAGGTAAGTATACACAATAGTTTACCTTAGAAACTTGTTCATTGATAAAACCTTCAGCTCCCTATAAACAAAAATAACAGAGTTATCTTAACTTTTGAGTGCCAATGAATAAATTGATCTAAACAAAGGTAGTTAGTTTACTCAAACTGTTGAAATTGTTGTCGGTGAGGTGCTTTATAATTTCAATCCAATATATGAATGTAGAAAGAATTAGACTTAGACCATCAGATTTATCATACGACACTCACGCAAAGGGTTAAATACCTGAAAAATATCTCTCTCAATGACTGGATTTAATAAAGAAGCCTTGTTGGACATAAAGTTCAGCCGACTCTTTCCAACAACTGATACAATACATACTTTTCTTTCTCTGTATGGAATGTCACTGTAATAAATTCAAAATTCTACATCCTTATTACAAAAATGATAAATTCTCTATCACTAACAACCAATGCATGCACTATTAAACTTATGTTTCAATATCAGCATATTTTTAGTGGAACTAGATCTAGAAACTTCATGGAAATATTTCATTCTGTAGATTAATGGTTGACATTACTGGACATCTCAACACTGTGAGACTGACAAATCATCGATACAGATCCATGACAGAGAGGTTTCATTAAATATACTAGATTGTGAAGAGAAACTGGAGAAATTGGTTATACCCAGCATGACCTACAGGAGAGCTAGAGGTGATATGTTACAGGCTTATAAATACACCCATGAGATGACCAGAGACCAGCTTACAAGCTTATGCCTAATAAGAGAGCTGTCAATGTAAAGTAGAATAAAGTCACAGGCACTGTCACTACTCAGACTGAGTTGAGTAGAGAGATACACTCAGCAGACAGATATTTCGAAAAAGCATCGATTTACAAAAGAAAAGGCAATACCATTCGTTGATTAAGTGGAAAAAAAACAAGGACTGTGTACTCTATACACAAAATGACGTGATTTTCAAACAATTTCTTACACACCTCAGGTTTTCATCGATATCATTTGGAAATTCTAATAATTTTATGGGCGCAGCCATTTTGTAAAGAACTGTAACTCTCTAAAAAGAGGATTTGTCTCCCTTGTTCTTTCGTCATTATTTTCAACTTATAATATCACGGAAATGCCCATTTATGGAAATTATCGTAAGGAATTTTCCGACGTAGTTGATAACACATATATTGATTACGTAGTCAACAACGTGAAAGTTTCTACTTTCGAGAACCAAACAAATAAGAATAGATCTACATGTTGTATTTAGATCCACATTCTTCTGAAGTCTATCATACTTTTCAACTATGTTAAGAAATACGTTTCAGGGGGACTTAATAGAGGATCCATTTTTCGCGTAAGTTTCTTTATACCTTTTTAGAATGAGTCGGATACTTAAGTAAGACCTAAAACAAACAAATGACACAATCCCTACTCCTCCAGTCTCTGCACTGGCACTGTGAGTGTGAGTCTGTGACTGTCACTGTTTTTGATCATTTCACAAATATTGTCAGTTTTGACACTGACAGTATCGGTTGACCATGAGTCAAGTACACTACTGCAACTACTGTGTAAGTAATGAAAACCAGGACTTGCAGAACAGGCACCTGTTTTCCAAAATGTGAACATGCTCTCTGAGTTCGGGAAATTTTTTTCATATAGTCATCTGGCACGGAAATGGCATAGGATGCAGGTTTACATAACTTGAGTGGCATTTATTCAAAAAAGATCTTGATAATGTGTACTGTATGAAAGAACCTGTAACATTGTTATACTTTGAAACAGATATCCAAAAGAAAACACCTATATTCACATTCTAATTGCAGTGATAAATTCTTGATATATTTTTCTCTCACAGATAGGCTTGAATAATTAGGGTGTTATGTTCAGCTCTTGATTTAAAACTTTCTATTACAGTTTTAGCCAGATGTGAGAAATCAATGATTCTACTTTCTAACACAATTTAAATGCTATTATGTGATTATGTACTATGAAATCATAGAAAACTTAAAAATCCAAATCTCTCAGCAACATGTTTCAGCAACAGAATTAGTGTTTTATTTTATTCGTTTTATTGAATTATATTACTGCTTTACATGTTTGTAGGAAGCAATTTCTTACTATTTAGTTACCTTTGTTATTATTTATCAATCATTCATTCATTCATTCATTTATTTTTTCCTGCATAGCTTTAGTCATAGTCAGATGAAGTAATAGGTAGATGAATTTCTTAGTTATTTCTTACTGAGAGTTAATGGTAGATTAGGCTTATTGAGATCTTACACTAAAATACTTAAAAAAATTCATAAATCTGAATTTCAAGCTTGAGTTGTCAATAAGTTCATGATTTATCTGTTTGAGAGGGATGAGTAATTTTTCAATAGACTCTTTTATTAGGGAAATTTTCTTAATGGGGTCAATTAAATACTAGATCTAGATTTCTAGCAAGAATGAATCAATTAAAGGAGTGTTTTATCTACCTTCAACACCTTGTATGTTTTATATAATGTAAAAGTTTTTTTTTTTTTTGACAAAATACAAGCTCATTTAGAATATATATCATAGTACTCTAAGGAAGGTAAAACTTAAAACAGAAAGAAAGGTATGTTAGATTTGTGAGATAAATTCTTAATGAACTTAAATTAGTACATGTCAGGTCAGGTCAGTGTGTATTTCAGGTTTCAAGTAATTAAAATGAAAGAAGGCTGTAGTCTTTATAGATTGTTGATTTCACTTGTCAAAATTGTAAGATATTTTGAGAGATAGTGCTGTGCATATTAATATATTTTTTTTTTACACTAATCCCCTCAAACTCTTTGTTTCAGTTTTTGTTTAATGCTATGTTATTATAGGAACTATTAAGAATTAAAATTGGGGGCATCGTTTTTATAAACGAAATATGGGTCTCCAAAAAACAGAGATGTAAATTTGCATACACTGTTATATTTAGCAAAACTAATGTATAAATGATGGAGGTGTGAATTTAATACTTTTTTAAATAATTGGCACAGATCAAGCTCTAAAAGAGGGTTATTGTGTGTAAATTGTCGCCGTTTCATTATGGATTGGCGAGCATAAGCAAAAATTAAAATGAGAGGCAAGGAGGTTTTCTTTTTAGAGGGGTAACCAAATATCATCCATTGTTCAAAATCTAATTGGCTATAACCTGTATCTTTAAAATATGTAATTAATAAAGAATTAATAAAGGCTAGGAATTTGGATAAGGAAGAGCATTTTAAAATACAGTGGATGATGTCTTCAGTATGTGTTTTACATATTTGGCATAAAGGACTATCAATTAATCCAATGTTGTACCGTTTTTTATTGGTCCGAATAATGTTGTGGACAATCCTGAAGTCATTATCAACCATATCGCAACCTTTATTAGAATAAAAAACGGAATTCCAGTATTGATCTAGGGAAAAGGAGTTACCTATTGGTAAAATTTTTCTCCAAAATAATAGCGAGTTAGGTTCTTGGTATAGAACTTCGCTCAATAATTGGTAGAAAAACCTGGATGTTTTATGGGTTAGGTCTGTGGGTTTGCCATTTACAATAAGAATAGGCCCTGCCCTCTTGGCCTGGGGAACAAATGTTTCTAAAAAAGGGTGGCCAAGTAGTATGCATACATTGCAACACTCTCTGATAATATTTTATGAGAAATAGTGTTTTTCTTTTGCTAAATTTTACTAAAAAAAAATGGATTCTACATCAGATACTGTTAGACTTAGTCTAGTCCTTTTTTTTGAGAATACTATTCCAGCCTATTTTTAACATAGCAATATGTCAACAGCTTCTGTGAAGATTAAGCTAACAGAAACTGTCGAGGATTGCATAATGTGCAATGTGAACATCAAGAAAATAAAATTGTCAATGAAGAAAACATTATTTGATAAATCTGTACTGTCCATCCAAGTGTGCTTTTGAGAAATGTTAGCCAGTGGAAAGTCTGAAAAAATAGTTATGTGTATCTTTCTGTGAGGATTACCTACATACTGGAATATTAGAGAGTGCTTAAAATTTGAGCAACAGAAATCAAATTCAACTTGTTGAGTCTTAATCATAGAATTAATCATATTCCTAATATTTTGACAGTTTCAAATCAGATCTTTATATAGGCACAGTTCAAGTTGAAGAGACAAATACCTTTTTTTCAACTGGCCCTGTGAATAAGCCTGGTCAACTGTATTCAACAAAGACCTTTAAATCATTGTAAAATATATAACCTACTAACATATATTATAGTCTTATGAATTTTATATAGATATAAGCTACTGTAAGTAGATGGGCCTATTAATACATACTGGAGGGTTCACGAATATTTCACATAGTATACATAGGTAATAAAAATCCTATTATACCAATCACAAGCTTGTATTGGTTTAAATTATTTATATATCTAACTGATACAGACTTGCTCGTTTTTCTTCAAATATATTGACATTTGGCTGATTTGTATTACTTGTTTATTGCAGAATTGTGTAAATTAGGTAAATAGATTTATTCATTTTAACATTTTAACTGAAACAGTAGGCTTTGAAGTTGTAACTTGTACTGTAGTTGATTTAAGCTTTGTATTTCATTTAAATAACATGTTTATTGACTTTCAAAACATGAAATTTATCAAACAATTTTTAATTAGATTTAATTTTTTTTTTATTAAATACTCATATTTAGTACAAATCTGAATAGAAAAATTACTGATAGGACTGTAGTTACTAAGGTTATTTCACAGGTGTGTGTATAAAAAAACTTATTGAAGCCTATAGTGTAAAAAGTAATCAAATGTAGATTTTTTCTAGCTATAGTCTTGTTATTTGAATAAAAGTCTAGTAGCTTTTGTCAAATTTTTGTACAATATTACGTAGAATAAGATCAGGAATATTTATTTAACTTATTTTACTGTTTTTATTTGTCAGTTTTGTCTTATTTCTATCTTATGCATATAATGGTCTATACATTTATTCTATAGTCATTTTAAGCTTTTGTTATCTGTAAAGTGTAATCTGATAAGAAAATTAAATTTTTACCGTGGATGACTCTACTTGTAGTCAAAGTCAAACATATTTTCTTTAAGCATAAGATAAAGAAAACAAAGAAGTAAGCTTAAATTGCATTTTAATCAGATAGATGCCATGTTAGTTTTGAATGTCATGTGCCATATGGAAGGACATTATTAGAGTGTTGATTAGTACTTGATATTTGTTTGAATTGGCCTTTTATAGTAACATTGTCTATGAAATGAAAGTATGTATAGAATGTATTGGGAATACAAAGTTTTAAGCAAGAAATAATAATCAACTTTCATCCAAAGAATATCTGATATACCTTTGATGGTTATCTGTAGTAAGACACTGAATGTCTCAGAACCCGAATGTTAGAATTGACAGAATATTTGTCTATGAAATTGTTTATGAATACCTTAAATTTGAATGTGTTAGGTTTAGAAATGACAGTTATGATTGTATTGTGCAAGATAAAACATTTTAAGAGTCATACATAGCAGTTGTGCACAGTGAATTTACTATTTGCTATTGGCGTTTTGAACAAATTACGATTGATTATTTACGTCTTGTTAAAGCTTATTTCTAGAATTTTATCATACTGATACTTATGACTAAATATATTGATATTTGACCTAGATTGTAGTCAGCAGTGACTGAGAGGAAATATTTATCTGGGACAACAATCATCAGTTATTTTCATGTTTATCATAATTATATCATCACAATAGGCATGATCTCATCAAGTCTACTTGATGAACTATTGAAAACATTTTGAATGATACAGCTCTACAGGGTTGATATTTATTAGTCGTTATGGTTCTATTGGGGTCTGGCTTATCATCAATTATACTGGGGCAAATATATCTGTGCTCCTTGGGAAGATTAAAAAAAAATGAACCTTCTACTTCAGGGTGATGAACAGGATTTTGGTCAAGCTTGTTTAGTTTCAATAATAATTATTTCACCTCAATAATGGAAGTGCACAAATATGTTCGACCATGATATTTGACATACCAATGTTAATCTAATTATATTTCTTCAATCTAGGGCTCATCAAAATCACATGATATCTATGGGATCAATGTTTCAAATGCCTGATCCATTCGGGGCTCCCCAGATTATGGATGCTAGAATAGCGGAAAGGGAAAGAAGAAGCCAGGAACGTAGAGTTCAGCGTCAACAGCAGCTTCAAGTTTCACCATTTGGAATGGGAATGATGCCACTAGGGTTTGGTGGTATGTTGGCTAACATGGACAGAATGATGTCTGACATGCATTCAAGATTTGTAAGAAACATTTATTAATAAATCTCGCAGTAAGATATCTTAGCAACACTAAATTAGTTAGTGACTGATATACCGCTAGTCTAATCTATGTAGTAAGATGATACAAAGTGGCAAAGATTGACTTTAAAACTGGGGTCGTCAAAGATTAAACACCTTCAGTTCATACGAAACTTCAAATGGTTCTTTCATGGAAATATTTCTAAGCCTTTAAATGTGTAGAGTTAAAAGGGTAGTAAACCCTGGATTATGAATATTTTCTATTGCATGCATTGAAATTATAATTTGTTGATATTTGACAGTGAAACTAAATAATAATGAATATATTATAACAGGAACAGCCAATGAGAAGTCCTACCGGAAATGGTGCTAATTTTGTTCAGTCGTCGTTTGTATCCTACTCTAATGTTGGAAATGGTTCACCCAGAGTTTATCAGTCTTCTGTCACACAAAGGGCTCAGGGAGGGGTAAGTTCTTAATCTTTTTTGGAGGGATATTGATGCTGATACTGAATCAGAGGATTTATCTGTTTATTTTTCTCTTGCACCTGAAGTCCTATTTGGAGAAGTTTATCTCTATTTTCAAATTGTATTTTATCTGATGCAATATGTCAGCGGCTTCTTTCATCAATTCCCCTAATTGGTATCAAATCTCTTAAAAATCATTTCAATTCCCTAAACTGGTAAAAACAATCTCAGAATATAATTTGGTATTTCAATTCTGTTAATGGATAGCCATCTATTTCTTTCTTTATCAGGCAATAGAAACAAAAAGATCAGAAAGAGATAGTTCAACTGGTGTAGAAAAAGTTGAAATTGGTCATAAAATAGGTGATCGTGAACATACTGTTGAGAAATCAAGAAACCGTCTGACTGGAGAGAACAATGTCAATCAGGAATTTATCAATATAGATGAAGGTATGTAATGTCATGATGGTTTTTCAAGCTCACCACAGATGCATGGAGGAGTCCTTGAAATTTGTTGAAAATTTAGATTTTTAATTTTGAAATCTTTCAAAAGTGTTTATGAATAATTTTGATAGCTTGTGTAAAAGTTTCATCCCCTCTTTGTTTTGTACAATGAGTTCAATTCCATTTTTTTTCTTTCCTGTTTTCAGAGGAAGCTCAAAATTTTGATCAGGAATTTCAAAATCGAGTTCGGCAGACCACTATGCCAGTGAGGGCAACTGCAGACTATAGAAGACATCGTGTTAATCCTACAAATACTCATGGACACTCCCACATGCAAAGTATCACAGCAGGTCACACACATGGTTCTTCACCAAATAGATCTAATATGGTCAACCAAAGGCCTGTTTCAAGCAGTCAAAGACCTACTTCAGCAAGTCACAGATCAGTTTCAGCCAGTCACAGATCAGCTACAGCCAGTCACAGGCCAGATTCAGCAAGTCAAAGACCAGTTTCAGCAAGTCAAAGACCAGTTTCAGCCAGTCAAAGACCTGTTTCAGCCAGTCAAAGACCAGATACAACCAGTCATAGACCAGATACAACCAGTCACAGAGCAGTTTCAGCCAGTCAAAAACCAGTTTTGGCCAGGGACAGAGTTACTTCTTCAAGCCACAGACCTGGTTCTCCCAGTCAAAGGGCTGCCACTGCCAGTCAAATATTAGCCTCAGCAACTAAAACACATAATGATGTTATAAACAAATCAGGTTCTTCTACTGAAAATAGACATGTTGGAAGTAATTTCTATAGTTCTGCAATTAACAGACTGAGTTCAGCTGGACACACGACTAGTGCAGCCAGTCATCCACGTGGTACAAGTAGTCGCCATCATAGTACTATATCTCAAACATCAAGTACCCAACAAACCAATAATACTGTTGGTCACACAGACAGTCCTGCCAGTCACACACATGGTGGCACCACTCAAACACATAGTAACACAAATTTAACACATAGTAGTACCAGTCAAACACATGGTGATTCCAACCATATACCATCTGATGCCAATCTAACACAAGGTGATGACAGTCAAACACATTCTATCACTGAATCATCAAGTCAACATCCTTCACAGAGAAGAAGACCACCACTTCTTATTTTACCACCATCTAGATATAGAAGTCGTAGAGAATATAATTAAAATACAGTTCCTTTTATAGATGGGTGAATAGTTATTGTATTTGTAATTTAAGGCAACTAATACACTTATTATCAAATTCCTTGGTCCACTTGCTAGATGTCACTATGCCTTAGATGCATGGGACACATTATTGATAGTATTCATTTGGAAACCGTGAAGACATTTTGACCAATGAAAAGTATTCATTGAAAATAAAAAGGTTTCAAAAGAAGCAACTTGTAACTTTTGAGACACTTTTCTTTGGTCAAGGTATTTTCATGACTTTGCAAGAATGACCTAGGGTCAAATTTGAATTTGAAGTTCAACGTTGGAACAGAATATCAAATAGTGAGAAAAAACATTTGTTACTCCCATATTGCCTGGCAAATATCAATCAAAAATATTGTATAAAGTCCATCTTGTTGAATTTCATTATTTATAACTTTTTATCTTGGTTTAATTTCAGAATTGATATTGTGTGGCCTATATTTAAATGAGATTAAATAACATTAAGTGAAGTGAAACCAGTTAAAGTTTAAAAGAGAGGATGGTATGTGAAGATGACGGTGGTGTTGAGGTCTGGATTATGACTTGTTATTGGACTGTAAAGATAATATATAAAATATTCACATTCCTATTTATAGACGTTGTTGTACATATTTGTATACTAGAATTCTATTTGAAAGTGTTACAGATATCTGAATGTTGCTTCTATAAACTTAAAGCTTGAGGTATAGAAAAACAGTATCTCATGAGTGATAAAAGGCTGGAGAATTTCTCATGGAAAAAACCAAAATCTTGAAAATTTTGAAATTTAAACAAAATTATGTAAGAAGCCATTTATGCAACCGTCCATATATTATATTATGAATATCATATATTATAAATATAATACATTATGGAAATCATATGGTATGGTCCACTGTTGTGGATGTCACATGTATTTATATATTACTTAGCTAAGCTATTAGTACATGTACCGTAAGAAATGATAGCCCTTGTTAACTCATTTTTATGGCTAAAGCCTACACATTCCTCAAAGAAATCAAATGTTACTTACATGGGAATATTCAATAGCTAAATTCCATTGTAGATCTTGAAGAATTGTAGAGGGACTAAGTTAACTATTGTCGAGTAGCACCATGACGTGTAACATTTTTCCTTCAGCAATTTATGATATTATCCATATCTATATCATACAGTTGGTAAAGGAACATGGATAGGTAGACACCTACCCCATGATTACTTTATAAGGGGAGGAGTCTAATTTGAATCCAAACTACAAGTCAAGTGCCTTCCAAGGATTGTTTTATTATGATTCATTAGTTAATAGAAAGATATGATGTATTTTCACATTTCCTAATGTCAATCTAATACACTTAAAAAATTGCATGTTCTACTTCTGTAATTTGCATTTTAGATATATGTTTCTAAAATATTAGAGTTGCCTGATTATTATTGTAGATTTAGATATAATTTATGAACTTTTATTATTTTCATAAACCCTCTTTAATCTATAGGTATTTCGATTTTTGCATTTTATGTGGTGATTGATTATACCATTCTCATTTAAAGGGACAGGTAGGCGGGTTTTTTTACCCATTTACTTCAGACTTAGAAACTGGAATTTTTTAGCTGAGCTAATCAGTAATAGTGTTCAAAGCTCACCATCGAAATTTGATCCGTTGAATCCATGTTTGTCTAGAATTATCCGCGTTTGAATGTTAAAGTTGCCATGTGACACGTGTTGTGATATATAGAAAAGACAATAATATAGAAATAGTGAGTAAAATTCCTAGTTTGAAGTATTGTAAAGAGTTTATGTGAATTTCGTACATTTCTAGTACATCTGAAGATTATTTACATATATTCAAGACTCAAATCAACCCACCAAAATGGCATACCTGTCCTTTAAATTTATTGTATTATGAAACTTTCTGGACATAATTTGCTGGCAATTTAATCATATAAAGAATATAATATTTGGTCCCTATTGATTGTCAATTAATGCTGTAATGCAGTGGTTCCCAGGTGGAACCAGGGCTGTAGTAGGACAAAGTGGATTTATTTTGGCCAACTTGAGTATTTGAGGCATATGTAAATGTTTTAGAATCGCATATGTGTAAGATTCTAGGGTATTTTTTCTATGAGGCAAAAATTCTTTTTTCTTGGAAATTTGTTAGGTCTTTCATCACAATGCTTCAGATGACTTCAAACAGTATATTTGAATTAAATGTTATTAAACAGAATTTCTTTTTCATAAAATTTAGCATGGGGCATTTGCCTTGATGTAGTTAGGGCCCTTCTAAATCAGAAAAAAAATATGCATTTTAGTAACGATATAACAACATAGCTAGGGAGTGCAAATATTTTTATTAGTATATCCTTGGTTCATATGTCATCAGTTACTTATTTGTATTTTTTAAAACATTTTGAAAGTTTATGGTATAAGACACTGTGAGAAGCCAAAATGGCTAAACTTGATTGGATTCGTTTTGTAATTATTTTTATTTATAACCTATATCTCTTCATTGTCATGATGCTACCAATCTTTGTAAATGATCTTCAATATTTATGTCTTTTTTAACCTATAAATCTCTCATCCTCCGCAGCTGAATATGTTTCAGAGCGATTAGTGAACTTTGTTTGTAAGACTCTTCTTGATCTTATATATTCTTCATCACATTTTAATATTACAGTTTTTTCAAATTTTTTTTTTTTTGTAATATTAGTGAAGACTGTTTATGAAATAAACTTGCATTTGTTGTCTCTACAATGTTTATATTATTATTTGTTTGTTACATATTGCTTTTCATGTCACGTAAATGTAATATATAACTTTCATTAACTTTGTTATTAAAATCATTAATCATTATAATAACCTTTATCTTTTTACAAACATTCACTAGATCAAAGGAATGGCTATATTTGTCTGTGTTATCTGCTTTGAATTTTGTGCATAGCTAATTTGCCATCCTTGCACTAAAATGGTTATTGCAAAACATCAGTTTTATTGACACTTATTAAACATGTATATTTGGGTCTGGGTGGTTAAATTCTCATTGCTAAAAATTTGAAAGAATAACATTTTTTTGGAATAGTTTATTTATTTGATCATTTTCTCAGAGAATTAAAATATTGATTAAAAGGATTGCAAACATCTTCCTGTTTTAAACACTGACACAGACCTATGTTTATATCTGTAACTTGCGCCTATTAATTTATGGCACCACAGATATCGGTCATTATATTCCTGAACTTGTAGCAGAACATTCTTTTTAATATTTGCTGATATATAATTTTTACACTTTCTTGTGGAACCCAAACTACAGAGTTGCTTTATGAATGAAAAAGAAAGGTTCTAAGCAATTATTTTCCTATTGTAAAAAAGGATGGGCTTAGCCGGGATTTGAACCCGGGAGCTCTAGCACCCTATGCGAGAATCATGCCCCTAGACCACCAAGACGTATATGAACATGTTGAATATACCTGAAGAGTTTAACAGCTAAATATAGAACATTCTATACAGCCTACTGACGTCATAGCAAACTTGGAAATACCACTTCCATGAGGAAGTATTATATGACTTAAAACGTTGAAAATGGATGGGGACGGTCAACAACCAATTCCTGGTATTAATAATAGACCTAGGAACCCGTGCTATATTATATGTTACGGTTTCGTCTTGTTTGTATTTGGTACTTTAACAGCTCTCGGCGATCAGTAAGTTGTATGAAGTTTCACATAACACAATTATGTATACAGTGGTGTAACCTATTTTCGGGATATAAGGATAAATAATCAAAATTTGTTTGTTTCAATTTTCTGTATGAATTCTTCACTTTGACCCATATTTCATGAGCAACCAACTGGCAACGGCGGCAGAATGCGTCACCTATTTTCGTGTACAATGTTTGAAATATAAATAAGTCTAGAAAAACACGTTGTATGGATACCGGGTGGTATAATTAACTTCTCTTAGTATTTATCTTTAATATCAATTCATTATAACTAGTGACAATTCCTTCAAAGAACCACGATTTAAAAAAAAAAATAGTGACTGACAAAATAAGATACGTAGCGTGATTTATTGCTAAAAGTCACTGAAACAACATAAGAATATGGTCCACTTTGTGTTCCATAGAAATTTTTTACTTACACGGAATCCGCTACTTGATCACGTGACTTCATTTGTTGGACTACATTCTAGCAGACGACACTTGGAATTCCGATTACGGCTAGGGATTATAAGGAAATTCGGCCGATAAAAAATTGAGACGTTTGGTAATAACTGAAATCCGCCATTTTGTATTTGTGAAAGTATACATTAATACATTTTACCTTGCATGAAAGTACTGAATTCATTCTACTAGGTGATATTGTACAGAAAACCCATGTTTATTAAAACAAACTAATGCGGAGGTCGCGCAAGGTCGCTCACGTAAATTGTTAATCATTTCCGAAAATCCACGAATAATAGGTTTCCACGAAATTAGGTTACTCGACTGTATAATATGTATGGTGAACCAAACGTGCAATGGTTTCGAAATAAAAAAAATGATAAATATATGGCATTGAAAGGATCCAAGAGGTTCTCTGGACAATGTGTTATAGGTTTTACCCCATAATTATTGTCTTGTGTTATATCAAAGTAAGAAGTAATAGATCTCAATAGTATGAAAATGAAGTGACTAGCAGCCTCCCAAACTTGTACATATATTGTTATGTCATATATACGTTGTTATGGTGCGGTCAAAACTCTCTTCAGTTCAGCAGAGATTGATTTATTTACAGTGTCTTTGTACAAAATCAAAAAGATATAGGATTTGATACGTTTTTGTAACCTCAAAATTGTCACAAACGAGTTCTCTGGGTCTTTAATTCTTCAAATTTTCTGAGTACAAAAGCTGAGCCCCAGCACCAATTCATTCCTGGTGGAGGGCAGATTGACTTACTGGAAGGACAACTGTGGAAATTGAGATTAATAGTTCTACAACTCTAACGAAGTGCATAGTTTTTTTGAATAGAAATTTTTGAATATATTCTTGATTTGGTGCATTTTAGGATATATTTTAAGATTATTAAGATTAAGATTATTGAACATAGTCTATCATTCAGTAGTGCTCTAATAGGGGGCTAAATAAAATGTATACCAATCAGAATTTTGATTTTTAAGAGATGAAATGGGGGTATAATCCATTTTTCTAGGCCCCCCTTATGATGTCATGTTTTTTTGTAGTTGGGGTAAACATCTCAAAGTCCGTGGTTCAACTGGTAGAAATGGAGTTGGTGATGATTCAGATGGATTGCCTAAAAAACACACCTTTGATCATGACTTCTTCATGGTAAGTTTTAGTAGAGGGATATTTAATGCACATGTCATTCTTTGCATCAAAGTCACAGAAATAATACTAAGAAATGTCTGCAATCACATGACCAAAAACTTTTTTTTGCAATGGTGATTTTATTATTATATTTGTCTATCAGACCTTTATTATAGTTAGTCATGGTTTTCTTAGAACAAGTGTAATTTTATTGCCACCATAATTTTCAGATATTTGATCAGAAGAGCTTATACATAGACATAAACATTTATGGTAAATAAAATATGGAAAGTTTTCAAAAAAAAGCAAACATTGGCAATTCATGATTTTCATCTTTTGCAAATCTCCAGATGAATGGAGGAGTATGAAAGTACTAGGTCACTAACTGTCTTAGATATCCTTTTGATATGGAACAAATTCTGAAAATCCTTGATGACTATGGCTTGTTTCATAATTATAGTTGACATGAAACTAATTCCATTTTTTAATATTCTTTCAGGCACCTATACTGTTTGCAGGACAAATATTATGCCTGATAATATATTGGATATTGAACAGATTTGAAGTGGGACGGGTGCTATTTCCTCCAAGAGTGACTCCAAGACAACGTAATAGACAGTTACATAGAGAAACAAAGTTTAATGTATATATATTTATATTGCCAGCTTTATTTAGATATGTTGCCACCTGTTTACTCTATGTTGGTGTTCGTCTAACCTACAGTTCTAGTACCATTCTGTTTAAAGGTAAAATTTTCCTTTCCATGGCTTTAATGTATATCAGGGAGTTTAGTTCATCTACAAGTTAAACACTTGCTAGCTTACCTGTGGATCTTGGGTCGTAGGCTTATTAATGGTATGTTTTATGATTGGTGCAAAAACATTTTAATCTGTCAACTATGTGTAATAAGAAAATATTTTTTTGGTAATTTCCAGTCCATAATGTTATTTTTCAATTTCAGGAACTATTTTGTTCTTTACATCATTACTGTCAGTAGCTTTCCTAGGACGCAACATGAACCCGCGGATGTGGGTAGGTGTAGTAATTAGTATTGCTGGTCTAGCTGTACTAGGTATTAATGATTATATATACCAAATAAAAGATGAATATGATACCAATGGAATAGTTGCAGGTAATATCCATTACTATAATCAATGAAAGAAACATGATAGAGGTCTGTCATTTGGTCTATAAGGACTGATTTGATTGTTGAAGTCTTGTCTGTAATACTGTCTTATGTAATGCAATTTTAGACCTGTATATATTGTGATTACATTATAGAAAGAAAAATAATAACAATATAGATACTTGATGATTCTGTCTACTATTGATATGTTTGTATATGAAATCACTGATATTTTTGTAGGCGATTTATTAATTGTTATGGCCCAGATAATGTTTGCTACGCAGGCTGTTTGGGAACAGAGAATATTAACCAAATATCCCAATATGTCCCCATTACAATGTTTGGGTTATGAAGGTTAGTTATAATTAAAGAATAAGGAATTTTGAGAATGTCCATTGAGGTTTTACTTCAATCTTTTTCTTATTTGACAACAATTTTCTGTTAATAATATTTACATAGCCTAGATTTTTTTTGTATCTGGCAAAAATATTTTTTTTATACTATTTTAACTAAAGTGAAGCATTCCTAATATGGCCTATGTAACAAATTGTTGTTGTAATGAACTATTGCTCTGACCAATTTCAAATTAAACAGGAGTTATTCCCCATATACCAGTACCATTACACTCAATTTACATCTTCTATTTATAGGGCTGTGGGGATTTTGTATATCATTTATCTTAGCCATTCCATTTTCATTTGTGAATGCTGGTGCCTTTAGTGAGTTGCCTGGTCATTATTTAGAAAATCCCTCTGATGCATTTAAACAGATGAAGAATTCTGGAGTCATTGTTGCAATTGTTGTTGGTAAGGATTTTTATCAGCTTAGATACAATATGTCTGAGTGAGGGATTGTATTACTCTCTGATCACAGTGATTTCTGATTAAAACTTTTTCTGTCGTTTCATCAAAAACCATTAAAAAAAAAAAATTTCATACATATGTGAAAGTAGTCGATGAATGCTTGAGACTCGATAGAAATATATATTGGAAAAATTACACATGGAAATTATCTTCAGCAAAATTCTGTTTCCCCACGGTGATTTTCTCATTTACTCAAAGAATATATTAGAATATCAGTTTAGTTTGAAGTTTATATTTCACATATGAAGGAAAAGTGGCTGGATGATAATAATTTCAAAACCTCTGATTTTCAGAAATTTACAGTATTTGATTTCTGTCCAATGATAATTTGAAATTTTTATGATATAAATGTCAGCGTATGACAATTGACATCTTAGACTGTATCAAAACAGCAACTATTCAATCAACAAATTCATAACATAATATCTGCCATGAACTACCTAAGAGTCTAAAAGATGTATTGAATTTGAGTTAGATTATGAATTTCGATAAAAGTAGCTGGTATTTCTATTTTCTAGTTGTTTTGTTATCTAATACCATCCATTACTGGTTTGCTTTAATAATTACCAAAAACTATGGTGCTACTCAGAGAATGATGATTGATTCAATTGGTTTTGGTGTCACTTGGGGTGTTGCTTTATTACTCAAATGGGAAAAGTTTGATATCTATATCATACCAGGATTCTTCCTCATTGGCCTTGGTTACATATTATTTTTTGATATAATATTGTACCCAATATGGAAATGTTTATATAGGGCTATTTGTAGTCCAACTCCTGGAGAAGATGATGCATCACCTTTGATACATCCCAATGGAAATATAGCAGGTAAATATATCACTCTTCATAAGTTTATTACTGTCTCAAGATACAATTTCTTCTGTGACATGTTAACCAGTTTTCATGATGCATAGAGTTAATTTGCTTAGACGTTTTTTAATGTTATTTTTTTTTTGTGATAAAAGTTATAGTTTTAAAATGCTTCTTTATAAAAAAAGATGAAAAAAGAAAAATTATTACTTTTTCTGACCCACCAGATAAAGTCCATATAAATGACATGGTCACATTATGCATTACTATACCTTAATGCTAATTTCTCAATGTTAGAATATTCATGAGATAAGAATGACAAAATGGCTGTATACCTAGAGAGTGTAGGTCAAGGTTTTTCATCAGACTCCTCTATATTCTAACTATATATTTTTCAGGAATTCAGTGAAGACAACAGCTGAGCTATCACTATAATTTGGTGTGGTATTTTCTGATGGGATACAAAATTGTACATTAAGTATATATAATGCTTGCAATGGAATAAGCTTTTTGTCTGCAGAAGACTCTAATAAAATTATTCTTTTACTTACTATGTAATTAATAGCTTTGAAAAAGTTAGCACTGCCAGTAATTTTAGCAGTCATCAAAGTTTCTATGGATTCTGAAGATGAATTTAATAAAATCATTTAGTGCATTTTCTGAGTAAATCTTGAAGACAAGAAAACAACTTTGACCAGAATAAATGACAAGTTTTACCTTCTGTTTTGATTTATGTATTTAGAAAAATAATTTAGTCTTTCATACCGGTATTTCAATTTTTATCCTACAAGATCTTTTTTTTTAAATTGTACCTTTCTCAATTGTATTCTCAATTTAAGAAAAAGAAAATAGTTTGGTTAAGAAATTACCAAGTTTTTGAAAGTTAATTAACAAGTATCCAGCTCAATTTAATTTGTTTGGATAAAATATATCATTATTGAACTATTATTATAATCAATTATTATATTAAAATATGGTTATTTTTGTATAGCTGAAATATTAGATTATTAAGACCTGTTTCTAAATATCATGAGTCTGAATGACTTAAGGTGGGAATAGATGATGTACGGTATTTGGTACTGGATTATCGAAGAAAATAGTAGAAGCGCAAACCCTGTGGTCACTTGTTCTATTTACTACTTTATGGATAAATCTGCACCTTGCATCGCAGCGGACATTGTCTATTCCCACCTTAAGGCTGAACGAGTCTTTCAGACTAAATAACCCTTGATACATAGGCTGAGATTCTCGTTACTTATTTTGATTGATCCAGGACTAATATGAATAGTTAAAAAACTATGTTATGAAGTAGTAATTTTTAATAATTATCCTATACTCCACATTTCTAATGGTTATATTGAATAAGCATGAACAATATCAAAGGTTAGATGATGTTGGACTCCAAAAGCCTTGATACATTGAGATGGTCTCAAAACTAAGACTTCAAAGTACTACTAAGTTTGCTTCAAACTCACATGTGCCATTACTATTTGCCTTTATTTTTTATGTTCTTTAAAAATTTCTTACTGAAAATTTGAAAATGAACCTTTTTAGGGTTTGTTTTGGATTACTTCTTACAAGAAACTCAAAAATTAAATAGATCTGATGTGCTAAAATCTCTTCATTTTACTCTTTGTACATTCATGATTCCATTCATGATTAATTTTTAATTTTCTTTGCATTTTGATATGTTTTTGATATTTGTATGTATTGTATCCATAACTGATTCTTTATTATGTCTGAAAGTAAATGTTTTTTATTACTGATCAGGAATGCAGCTTGTAGGGGCTGACATGAAAGATGCACCAGATTTTTCAGTAAGGTCATCATAAACTAATTCTAATGAACATAGATTATGATTTTTACTCCCATACACTATACTTTTGAAATGAATTCCTATTGCTAATATTTTTACATTGTATTTTTTTATTTTTTGTATGTTTTATATATATATATATATATATATATGTACTCTTCAAAAAAGTAGACTATGAAGTTGCAATTCAGATATAAAATATAACTATTAAGAAACTTGACAACAGACATCTTAGGAATGCACCATAAATCTCTTCATCTCCACAAACATTATTTTTGCATCTGTATTTCACATTGTTGTCAGTATATTATGATTATATTATGATTATTTTTGTAAATATTTTATGAAATACATTCGAAAATGATTAAATTCATTAAATTCATTGAGTATTATTCTACTATTTATGCAAAAAAATGTATACTTAATCTAGGTTCTGCTGGTAAAAATAACTGGAAAACTTGCATGATAAAAAATTCAAGACAAATTTTATAGAAAAAATGTTTTATTAACTGTAGAGCAAGAAATATGGAGACAATAAATATTGCACATCGTGTTTTTATTTTGATAATCGAGTGTGTTATTAATGATACAATAATGTTCAATTTGATCTAACAACAGATACCCACACAAACATAAATTGGTAATTCAGTTTATTATTCTAGGATGTGTTTTGGAGAAATTATCTTCAGTGATAATATAACATATTTATAAAATTATAGTATTATGCTGATTTCCCTTGACTTCATTGATCAATATTAATCAGCCATTAAACTGGGAACTAAAAGAATTTGAAGGCTACTCATTATTTAAATTGATATCGCCGTCAAAATTTACTTGCTGAGGACCCTCAATTTCAATCTATATCACTTTTCAGCATTAAAATCCTCCATCTAATTCTCCTGCACTGCAACAAACACTATATAACAGTTGAAATTGTCACCATTTTCAAAAAATTATTAACATTATCAGGAGCAGATATTGGACATAACTGGCAATGAGGATATATAAAAATCTTTTATAATTGCTGGATAGCCTCATAGAGGGATGTGGATAGCTGCAATTGAGCTCTACTTTGCTTTTCAGCTCATCCAATGGTTCATCAGCTGAAAAATACAAATTAATAGACAACTATATCACTTGAAATAACTTTGAAAAAGTCTTTAACAACAATGGACACAGATAGATAATTATTAAATCACGGTATTTTGAAAGTAATATTCAACTTGGACTACTCCTTTCGATTTAACTCTTTTATAGGAAGAATTAAGAATGAAATAATATTTGTCACAGCACTCTCCATAACTAATCTCAAGAGAAAAAAACGTTGATATTTACATTGTAACAAAAACTACAGACTAACAAGATTTAGTTATAAAAAACTTGACTAGATCACAGATCAAATCAAATAACTAGAATTTTCAGATCGAGGGAAATATGCCAAAAGGAATTAGACATCTATTCTTCATTTTGGAAATCTAGAAACTGTCTGACCAGAAATATAGAATAAAACTTGACTTGATCTAAATAAATAAATAAACAACTAATAATAATAACAAGTCTATAAAAATGTTGTTTTTTCATCTTCATCAAAAGATAAAAGTCTTTGTAAGGAACGTTTATGTTTAGGATTAGTATTGGAATCAGGATTATGACTAGATGATGATTGAGTTTCTGGTGTGGTTAAGTTGTCCATAAGTGGACTAGTTTGTTCATTTGCACTAGAAATGTTTGCTGAGTTGTCTGCACTGATGTTTGCTGACTTGTTGTCTGCTGTAACACAGTCTGTAGAATTGTCGTTAGGAATAATTGAATTGTTGGAATGCTTTACACTGGATATGGTGTCTGTTTGCTGGCTATTTGGGGCGATGTTCACAGAATCATTGATGCCAATTTTATTTTCCTGAAAACTTCCAGGACTAGTTGTCTCCACACTATTTCCAGAACTATTATTGCCTCGTGATGACCTAGAATTTGAATGATATTCCACTTGATTGCTGTAAGAATAATCATGTATTCCATTAGAGGAAATATTGTCGTCTGATTGAGTCAATCCAAAATTAGAATATTCTACAGGTTGAGGTGACGGCAACTCTTCTGCTATTGCTGTAAAATTATTGAATGGTAGTAATTTCACATCATTGCCATCCATTGATCTAGTCTGAGCTGTCATTTTATCACAAACACTATTTAAATTATTTTGTTGTTCCTCACTTGACATGTGAGTGGAATTCCCACGACTTAATGATCGGCTATCATCAAAACTGGAATTTGCTCTGATGAGTCCCTGATGCCCAGCCTCTGTTATTTCCTGGTCAAATGTCCAGCCCCGAGTTGTTTCTAATTTAAAGCTTTTATTTGAGTCATTTTTGGTAAGTGTTGCTTTCGTTACTGGTGGTTGTTCTGGGTTCACTGGCTGAATCTCAACTACTGGTGATGGGTTTTCTTCAGTTTCAGGCGTTTTTATCTACAAATAGAAAATAAACAATCTATTCATATAAAAAAATGCCTTTTATTTATTTATACAGTCATCTTAAAGAACCAAAATGGCACCTGTGTAACATGAATGATTTTGAAATATGAATATATGGCTGTATGGGTTTGGTATGGAAAATTACACAAAAATAGCTCACATTCACAAAAAATATTGATTCAACTGTACTATTTGACAATCTTGATAAAGAGTATCTTACTTTACAAATGCAACAACTTGTTGATCATTGATATGACATATCTTATCATAGATTTGTCACCCAATAAGGCCGAATTTATTTTAACAACAGAAAAGTTTTTACAAAAAGTGTTTTTTACATTCATGATATAATATAAAATTCAATTGGCTTGCTGAGTGATCACATCAGTGATGCTGCTAATCCACAATACAATTTTAAAGTGACCCAACGAATACCAATTACTATACAATTTGCTAATAGGTTACCAGTCACAGCAATACCGAAACGGAAACTTGAATATATTCATCAGATTAATGGGTGAATTTTACATAATTAATATCCTGTTCCCAATGAAAAGCGTGCCAAAATCAGGGTTTTCCGATTTAACGAGGCTGATTGTATTATAAACCTCTGTCTGGAGGGATCCTTTGAGAATAAAGTGACAGTCAATGAAATAGCAATCAATTGAAATAGAATAGTATAGACTGGAATATCAAATCATGACATGTTAATTAGTAGGTTGGAAAGATAAGAGGAAGAATATTCTATATAGGTATTGGTTTGATGTGACATATTCCTTACTTCAAAGACTTTTATCTTGAAAACTTTATTCATCATTAATAATATTCTCTTGAACTTATTATATAACTAATGAAGCCTAAAGATGCTAAAAGCAAAGACAATTAATGTGAAGAAGATGTAAGTCTATTAATCATGACCCTCCTGTTGTCACATTTCTTTCAATTAGCTTTCGAGAATGTCACTTGACAAAATGTTATGACAAATCTATAGAAATTATGATTTCAAGTATTGTTGACATTATTCTGTTAGATTCTAGAGACTCAATTTCATCTCAGGTCACATTTCTCTAGAACAAGCATTTCTGATTTTCACTTATGATTGATAAACTTCCTCATGTGAAAAGTTCATTAGCTGAGTGTTTCTAATGTTTCTTAATGTGTTGTTTGGATCATTAGTAGCCTACTTGGTTTTTTTATTTTCAGTTGTATAATGAGAGAAAATTTGTACCATTTACTTTTTTGTTATATGAAAATCATTTATATACATGTATAAAAATTACTTTTATTTGTCAGCACAAGGATTGTCCCATGCTGGCTGATGTAATCAGCATCACTGATACTGTTGACTTTAAATATTTAGTCAGACATGTAAGAACATGTAACATATTAAATACCAATTTTAAGAAAGAAATCAAACACAATTGAGCCCATCACTGACAAATAAAGCCAATATAGGTTATTTTCTTAGAAATTCAGATCAGACATTTCCGGAACGAAGATCAGATCAATCTGATCTCCAGAGTGCAATATATAACTAGACTTAAAGTACGGTAGCACCTGATTGGGATAATGAAGACAGACAATGTCAAGCAGAGTGCAATGAAGGGAAATTTTTCCAAGACAGCAGCATTAATCTGATCTACTTCGGTTTTCAACAACGGGTGCACAATCTGTAAGATGTTCAATCTGAAGGTTGAAATAGCCTATCCCTGGATTAAATACAGAGTCTTACGTTAGGGATCAAGCAACTAACTCACTGCCTCATTCCATTCCCTAATAATACCATCAGAAACTAGGTTATCAAACAAAGGTGGAATATATAATCAGAACTAAGTAATGAAAACAGCTGGTTTGTTTATGCCAGAGAAAGAGTATGGTAGAGTTCTATCATCACAACAACCGGAATATACAGACATGCACCAAACAACCCACACCTTACTAATAACACCTAATTATATTGAGTTATTAGTCAAATGATAAGAGACAAGTAAAGTCATAAGAAGGATCATTCCGATAAGTACTGTCTTCTTGACATTTATTATAGAGAAAAACTAATCATCTTTATTAGAGCTAAAATATCTCAGTATATCCTATCATGATCAAAACAGACAACCACAAAATTAGACAATCTGGTTTTTAGCTGTATTTTTATCCTAGGGTAAGCTTATGAAGTATTCTAACAAAGGAAAGTTATTTGAATATCATTATATCACATGCAAGATATGTACGGAACTATAATAGAAAATAATATTACTCTTACATTACAGTTTACATGGATAGTGAATAATGTTGTCATTGAATCTGACACTACTTGTTTTTTTTAGTATATATAAAAACCATACTAATCTCTTAAAGACAGGTTTAATAACTTTCGTGAACTTGTTTGATAAACTGTCAAATAGCAACACTTCACTTCAGATTTGAACAATGAAGTCTAGAAAATGTAATTTCCTACAACAGTATTGGGAGCTGGTAATAATTATCTGATAGAATTTTTCTACCAACTGAAAAAGTCAGTCTGAATAATACTAGTCACGATTAAATGAAGTTGAAAACTTTCATCTAAAATGCCACAGGGTGCATCTATTCAAATAATATAATTATTGCTTTTTACCCAGACATTTCCAGAAATATCTTAATCTATTGGACAAAATGAAATATTCTCAGGTTTAATCATGCAAGCGTGAAAATCTGACAAAAAAAAGATCTTCATTTCGCAAAAACTCTTATCAATCATTACAAAATACAATTATTTTTATCCTGTTGAGCTGCATTGCTAGTGGCAATATTAATTCTGGTATTTATTTACTTCTCCGTATTCAGGGAAATATCCAATTTGACTTTCAGAAAAGTGTACATGTAAGCATTGTATTTGACTTTTACACATAACGTTATAAAGAAATGTATGTCTACATAAAGTAATAAAGAAGATAAGGTTATAGAGAAATGTGTGTTTATATAGAGTAATAAAGAAAATAAGGTTATAAAGTAATGTTTGTTTATACAGAGTAATAAAGAAGATAAGGTTATTAAGAAATGTGTGTTGATATAGAGTAATAAAGAAGATAAGGTTATAAAGTAATGTGTGTTTATATAGAGTAATAAAGAAAAGAAGGTTATTAAGAAATGTGTGTTTACACAGAGTAATAAAGAAAATAAGGTTATAAAGAAATGTGTGTTTATACAGAGTAATAAAGAAGATAAGGTTATAAAGAAATGTGTGTTTATATAGAGTAATAAAGAAAATAAGGTTATTAAGAAATGTGTGTTTATATAGAGTAATAAAGAAAATAAGGTTATAAAGAAAGTTGTGTTTACACAGAGTAATAAAGAAAATAAGGTTATAAAGAAATGTGTGTTTATATAGAGTAATAAAGAAAATAAGGTTATTAAGAAATATGTGTTTATATAGAGTAATAAAGAAAATAAGGTTATTAAGAAATATGTGTTTATATAGAGTAATAAAGAAAATAAGGTTATAAAGAAAGTTGTGTTTATATAAAGTAATAAAGAAAAAATGAAAATGAAATGAACAGAGTATTACGTCCTACTCACTGAGCCACTGCGGCTCCCAAGTAATAAAGATAAAGTTATAAAGAAAGGGATGTGTTTGTAGAGCAATAAAGAACATGGAGTTATAAAGAAAGGTTTGTATATAGAGTAGTAAAGGACATAATGTTATCAAGAAAGTGTGTGTGTTTATATACAATGATAAAGAACATAATGTTATCAAGTAGGTGTTTATATAAAGAGTTATAAAGAAATATGTGTGTAAAGTGTATCAGAAATACTCTTTTCAAACACATTTACATGCCATTAGGTAATCAAATCCCTAAAGATTAACAACCATCATGAACCTTAATCATGATATTTCTTCATTTCAACACTTGTAACAACTGGCAATAAAAATTACACTTTACTTTCTATTCACAAGGGATATGTGGTTGAAAACAGCAGAAATTGAATAGTAATGTTATACCTTATGACATTGAACATTATGACCTCTCAATATTGTAATTTGTATGTTCACCTTGCAATATCATACTTAACTGAGAAAATGACTAACAGTAATCATATCCACTCCACTTCATTTGTAGGACATTTAAATGTTCTCATTAGCTTCCAGGATATTGGTAGTCATGTGTACATTTCTGCTTGTGCTCACAATTTTCTGCTGGATGCAAATCAGAGCAATGAATAAGAAGTATTTTTTCACTCTATTGAAGACAGAGTGTAACATGCTTCAATAATAAAATAGATTACCGTTTTTGCATCTTCATCAATATACATTAAGGAATTATCTGAAAGTTTGGATGGTATGGTAGGTTGTTTAGGAACAGGATTAACGGTTAAAAGTGGTTTAGTATCAGGTAAAGTTCGGGAACCATTAGAACTAATTTTACCAGAGCTGTTTGCTTTAGGCATTCGAACTGTGTAGCTATCCTGAAATAAGAGATGGTATATAAATAACAATAGCATATTTTAAAGGGCTCAAATTAAAACAAATGATCAGTTTCCAACAAGTATATGCCATAAAACAATCAATTTGATTCAGTATTTGGCAATATCTTTGAATGATTAATGAGTAACTATGAGCATACAAAGTTAATCAAAATCTAATCAAGCTTGTAATCTATATATTTTATCCAGGACCAAAAGTAAATGTTTCTACTATGGTCTGAAGGTGAAAGTGCCTCTCTTTATCTATTGTTCTTAGACCCAAAACCATTTCAAATGATTTTACTGAAAACTGAGTGGCTTTTCTTCTACCTATAACATGGTTCAGGTGAAACTGTCCAGTACCTACCTTTGGACTTGGCTTATTGGAATCTCTTGAAGGACTATTATTATTAGCTAATGTAAAATTACAACTACGAAATGTTTCTCTTCGTTGAACATTCTGTTCAGCTTGAACTCTTTTTACATAATTCCTGAAAATATAAATTGGTTTTTAACAATTTCAATAATTTGAAGGTAGTATTTTTTAATTTCATTTAAAACGGACTTGAATGGGATAAAGTTGGGTTGCAGAAAATCCTCACCAGCAGAAATATCAGCTGGACTGGGCTAGTAAAAATTCATTTCCATAATGGCATTGAAATTACTATAATTTCAACTCATTCTGATCAAACATTCATTGTGTTAAGTACAGATCTTTATTACTATAAGCAGTCATTTAAGACTTGATGATTTACAGCTGGAGGAGCATGTTAACAATTCAAATGTTTAGATGGACTGATAAATCAAATACAACCATTCCATAACCTTGTTGAGGATCATTGAGACCTTCAGATAAAAGATTTGAGAGTGATGTTATTATACAATTTGCATGATAAGATTAGGATAATGATGACGAGTCTTGTGACTTGAATAAGTTATCTTTCCTCCCCATTCATCTTAAAGCAGTTATGAATAGGTACAGATAACTTGAAAATGATCAATAGAAGATGCAATATGTATCCAGAAGTGACATTCCTAGTGAAACATATACATTTTTTTCCCTTTCCTGTTGAACATTGATTTAAATATCAGAGATTCTTTTCAATTTTCTTTTAAAAGCAATAATACCAGTAAGACATAGAAAACTCCTTAGATCAAAAAATTTTAACGTTGGACTACTATTTTCAGTAAAATGTAATAGGAAGGTTTCTTCACTTCTGCTTGGTTACATAGAAGAAAATCTTATTAATTTACTAGCATATCAAACAACATAAAAATAAAAGAAAATTTTAACCTCTTTGTCCCTGGTTTCAACCTGGTGCCAAAAGAGAAATTAAGTAGACAATTCTAAAGAAGCAGTTTAAAGTAAGCTTTTGTCCTGGTGTAATTTGCTTAAGGCAGGTAAAGGGGTAACAAGAGATAATGTAAGTGGATAAGCAGTACAAATTGTAAAAACAACTAGAGCCACACGTGGCACAGAGTGGGACTTTGCAAATGTAGCAAATTGCAAAAGACTCTGAAAAAATCAACCTTCTACGATAATTACGTCACGTGCAAGAGCAGTCTAAAGTTGAGAAGAATTCTTTGGAAGATTGTTAAAACGGAAGAAGACAGACCTCACAAATGAAAGTATCAGAAGATAGCCAAGGTCAATGACATTTAACATTGAAAGGGAGAGGGTCAACAAAGGTCAACGTTACGAGATACAAGTCATCAAAATTTTTAAATATATACGGCTATAAAACCGGAAGTTGAGATAGGACAGCAAATATAAAAGTATAAATAGATAACCAATTTGAATGACCTTTGATCCTACAAAAATCAGGGTCAAAAAAGGTCAAGGTCAAAAATTGAAAATTTTGAATTTTTAAAACCTGTTCCTTTTTTTGAACTATAAAGCTGAAACAATCGAACTTCTAAGACAACGTGGCTCAACGGATGAAGTAATTGTATGCAAAGTTCCATTTTGAACAAATGTATACGTTGCGAGTTAAGTCCCTTGTCAAAATTGTCAATAATGAGTAATTTAACCCGGATGTGCTACACCCACCTTAATTTCTTTTGCATAGGTTAATTGATATTCTGAATGTTATGTAGTATCCCAAATTTAAAGCTTCTACATCATACAGGTCAAAAGATATAGGTCAACAAGAGTCAATAAAGGTCAAAATAGAAAATTGAAAATATGGAAATTTCAAAACCCGTTCCTTTTTTGGAACTATAAAGCTGAAACAATTGACCTATTAACACAAACTGGCCAAATTAATGAGGTAATTGTGTGCAAAGTTCCTTTTTGAACAAATGTATCCTATGCGAGTTATGCCCCTTTCCCAAAATGTAAACAATTAGTAATTCCACCCGGATGTGCCACGCCCACCTCAACTTTTTTGACATAGGTTAATTCATATTCAAATTGTCTTGTTGTGTTCCAAGTTTCAATGTTCTACATAAAATAGGTCATAAGATATATACACACCAAGCTCAAAGAAACAGAAATATTGTAAAAAAAAAAACTCAAATTTGAAAAATTCACGAATTTCAATTTTGCTTTAAAAAACGATTGTTATAATTCACTTGAATGAGCATGAAAAGCACATTAAGAATCCGAAAAAATTAACCCTCTAGGTTAATTAGGTCACGTGTTAGAGCAGTCCAAAGTTGCCAATTTGGCTGTTTTCGGAAAGCTATAAAACCGGAAGTACATGTCGGAGGTCAAATGTCAAAGTATTAACTGATAGCTAAGGTCAATGACCTTTGACCTTATAAAGGTCAAGGTCATCAAAGTTCAAGATCACGAGATATGACCCTTCAAACTTTGAAAAAATTCAACCGGATGTTGCAAAAAAGCAAAATTGAGAATCGAAAAACGGCTTCCTAATGTCATGTTTTTTTTTTTTCTTCTTTCATTTGACACCAAAATCATTTAAATCGGATGAGCCATTATGTCCGAATAAAAATCGAATCATTTCAGAAAAATCAAAATGGCGGCCAAAGTTTCACTTCTGTTCCGGATTTTTTTTTCTTCGTTTTTTTGTCATAACTTTGTCTACCTATCAGCATAAAATTTTTTGTCCTATACAAATTACACCGGAAGATATTCAACCGGAAGTGAACATCGATTTCCTGTTTAAACCGGAAGTGAAATTGAAAATTTGTTTACTTTCTTAAACTGTCTTTGCTCAATTTTTTTCAGATTAATCAGACAAAAAGCAAAAAAAATAAAAAAATTCAAAATTTGGCAAAAAAAATGTCTGCGACAAATTTTCGAATTTTGAAATTTTGAAACGGCTATTCTTTCGGATTTTAACAGTAGATTCCAAAAATGCAAACCCAAAGAAAATCGACCCACAAATACGACTTCTAGAGCCGATTATCTATTCTTGCACATATTGAACTGTGGCACTTCCGGTTTTGCAAAAAAGATCCAAAATATATTTATGCACATCGTCGCCTATATATTAGGTTCGTGAACGTTGTAAGGTTGCTGCAACTATTGTAGTCTAAGCTCAGGAAGGTGTGTAAAAATCGAAAAAAAAAAAAAAAAAAAAAAAAAAAAGAATTGACATTTCGATAACAAACTGGGACTTTGCCATAGCAAAGTCCCACAATAACATTATGGACAGAATAAAATATGTTGTCTTGAAGAGTTGACAGATGGTTATATGAAAGAATTAACGTAATGTAGCTTGTTTTTTAGGCTGTTAATAAATAACATGAAGTCAATGGTTATTACAGGAACATACCTTATTCTCATAATAGCTGCTACAAAAAAAAAAGTTCCAATAATAGCTGAACATGTTGATATTACTACTACCTGCGTATGACTCAATCCAACTGAAAAATATAAAAAAATGTATGTGATTTTAGTGTGATTTTATAACACATTACAGCAAATCAAATCATATATCTGCATCATGCACATATTATATCTCAACACATCAAATAATATAGCTTGGATTAGCAAATCAAATTATATATCAGGGTCCAACATATCAAACTATCTATCTTGGATCAGCAAATAAAATTTAATTATTTATCTGGGACCTTACACATTAAATTCTATCTCAGGAACTAGGGCTGGGTATCATTTATCACATTATCATCAATTATTGACAGAATAATACCGATCATTAATCAATTATCATTTGAAATATTTTAAGTCAGAAATCTTCTAAATAATAATACTAAATAAAAATCATATCAAATTTTTTACATTCATGGGTTATTTTTATGCTTGATCTGTGATTTTAGTTTAATGTGGGTAAGTGATGTGCTGAAGGGAAACTATGAGACCAACACATCTAATTATATATCACAGACCAGCACATCTAATTATACATCACAGACCAGCACATCTAATTATATATCACAGATCAGCACATCTAATTATATATCACAGATCAGCACATCTAATTATATATCACAGACCATCACATCTAATTATTTATCACAGACCAACACATCAAACTATTTATCACAGACCAACACATCAAATTATTTATCACAGACCAACACATCAAACTATTTATCACAGACCATCACATCAAATTATTTATCACAGACCAACACATCAAACTATTTATCACAGACCAACACATCAAATTATGTATCACAGACCAGCTCATCAAATTATTTATCTCAGACCAACACATCTAATTATTTATCACAGACCAACACATAAAATTATTTATCACAGACCAACACATCAAATTATGTATCACAGACCAGCTCATCAAATTATTTATCTCAGACCAACACATCTAATTATTTATCACAGACCAACACATAAAATTATTTATCACAGACCATCACATCAAATTATTTATCACAGACCAACACATCAAATTATTTATCTCAGACCAACACATCTAATTATTTATCACAGACCAACACATAAAATTATTTATCACAGACCATCACATCAAATTATATATCACAGACCAGCACATCTAATTATATATCACAGACCAGAACATCTAATTATATATCACAGACCAGAACATCTAATTATATATCACAGACCATCACATCAAATTATATATCACAGATCAGCACATCTAATTATATATCACAGATCAACACATCTAATTATATATCACAGACCAGAACATCTACTTATTTATCACAGACCAACACATCAAATTATATATCACAGACCATCACATCAAATTATATATCACAGACTAACACATCAAATTATATATCACAGATCAGCACATCTAATTATATATCAAAGACCAACACATCAAATTATATAACACAGATCAGCACATCTAATTATATATCACAGACCATCACATCAAATTATATAACACAGATCAGCACATCTAATTATATATCACAGATCAACACATCAAATTATATATCACAGATCAGCACATCTAATTATATATCAAAGACCAACACATCAAATTATATATCACAGACTAACACATCAAATTATATATCAGGGACCAACACATCAAACTATATATTAGGGACCAACATATCTAATTATATATCACAGATCAACACATCAAATTATATATCACAGATCAGCACATCTAATTATATATCACAGACCAACACATCAAATTATTTATCACAGACCAACACATCAAATTATTTATCAAAGACCATCACATCTAATTATTTATCACAGACCAACACATCAAATTATATATCACAGACCATCACATCAAATTATTTATCACAGACCATCACATCAAATTATTTATCACAGACCAACACATCAAACTATATATCACAGACCAGCTCATCAAATTATATATCAGAATCCAACACATGTATTAATATATCAGTGACCAGCACATACAATTACATACTTGTGACCAGCACATCAATATATGTACACGTATATGTAAATGTAATAATTATCAAATGTGCCTTTAGTTTTAATTGCAGGGCGTTCGAAAGCGAACGCCCTGCTTTGTTTTCGTAACAATTATTTTTTTTTTCGTCAGCTAGGGAGCTTATTTCTCGGAACCAGAAATAGGTACGACAAAACGGACTTCATGACGTTTTCTAACTCGTGGCTATTCACGTATTAAATGTAAAACGAAAATGTTCTGCACAACCGGAAGGAGATAGCAAAAAACCGGAAATGGACTGTAGAGGACGTATTTATTGTTCGATTTTTCTCGGGTTTCCTTTATTATAATTCTTAGTACAAAGGACATATGATAGCAGTTGAAAATATTCGATTTTCCAAAATTCGTTCGATACTTTTTTTTGTCGAAATTAATCGAAAAATGCTATTTTGGTTGCTTTTTGACGGATCGATTTGAAATTTTTATGACGTAGACCGTCGGTATGGGCAAATAATTCTGCATAGTCAAAAAATGTTCATCACTTCCGGTTTCGATATTAGTACTTCCGGTGGCCCCCCCCGGTGAAATTGAGTTATGTGCATAAGCTTAGTGTCACTAATACAAAGTGTTACAACTAAAAAAATTCGTACCGAAAGTAACATATAGGTCGCCATATTGGTTTGCCTCAATATGCAAAACTTGCTATTTTGGAGCTATTTATTATCCGATTTGAACAATTTTGGTGTTAAATGATAGAATTAACGTTTATCTAAAACTTGTTGAGGACAGAATTTTGATTTTCGGTTTTGCCTTTTTTGTACGACCGGATATTTTTTTTCAAAGTTTGAAGGCGTATATCTCATGACCTTGACCTTTGGTGACCTTCATATTTACTATGATGATAAATTGTGACCTTGAATATCTGATGACCTTTTGACCTTTGGGGTCAGACAACCATTTTCGATTTTATAGGGGTTTAAAAATGGTCCATTTTGAACCTTTGCAGTGCTGTATCTCGTAGCCTAATAGTGATATAGCAATAATTCTTTCGAATTCATAATGCTGAGATTCTGAGCTTTCCAGTGATATACAACATGTCTATGTAACATGCATATTTAAAAATTACATTCGTTTAACAATGTGGTATCAAATTTAAGTTGGTTAATGAGATGTCAGTATAGATAAAATTCCTGAGTTTGACATGTCCGTTAAAGTACCATTCTCCCCAATTTCTATCAGAAAGTTCGTCAACTCTAGGCACTTTTGGATATTTGCATTTAGAGATGCAGAAAAGTACTTAATCCATGTAATTGCAATAGACCAACTTCGTATGTACCCGAATGTCAGTACCTGCATCAGTACCGTTATTAGTACAGTTCTAGTTATTATTATTATAATAAGCAATGTAGTAAACAGTTGCGATTGCACACTGCCATGATGTCTATTCACATTTAAGAGATATTTAACATTTAGCTCTTCGGATAATTCTGCTGCATATTCAGGAAATTGTTATTAGATGATGACCCTTTAATTTGGAATAAACCTTGACAAAGAAACGTAAAAGGGTAGAATATGTCTTCTCTATTCTTGCATTTTAAAGCAATGAATCTATTTTGTTAGGGTTATGTAAAGTTGGTAATAATGATTTTATCATAAAACTAAATTACTTTATTCTACTTAAACCTACTATCAGAGTATGTTGGTAAAAGCTGGGGTTTTAACTAATGAACATGTTATCATATATAATATGATGGATTGGTTGCAGGATATTATATTCTGATCAATATTTTACAGTATATTACATTACATAATAGGCTAAAATAATTAATGATCAACGTCATTTCCTTAACTAATTTTCTGCTATTTATTATTAAAGGTGCTATAGACCATATTTTATAAATAGATTTTTCTTCTCTACTCTGAAGGGTGACATGGCGATTCAGGAAGTTGAATATATCTCAATAACCTGCAAGTCAAGGGTTTGATCTGGCATTTATCCTAATCATGAGGGGTTAAAAGTTTACTTGGTGAATGGTGAATAAGCTGTATAATTGTAAAATATTGTCAGATTTAGAATAACTGGAGTCACCAACTAAAAATAAATGTAACGAGCTGTATTTTAATCAGATTGACAGATTGCATAAAGCCATATCATAGTATCATTTCAAAACCTTTTATGAATTTAGACTCCCCTAAAATATATATTATGATGAGTATGACTATGGAGATAGTATGGAGTGTATATTGAATACCAGTATTATATTAATTACAAGTATGATAATCATATTATTGATTAAGTTAATTGACTTGTTGATCTTTTATAGTTGATGAAACTTATTAGTATATGTATAGAACTTATGGTAGTATCTATATATACTTATACAGTTCTGTATCTGGCTGTATTTATATCACTATCTGCTGGAAATATAAAACATGCTTGCACCTTTCTGCACTGAATTTGGAGGGCCTTGGAACTAGGTTTTCTTGGAATGAACATTTTTTCAGCGAATTGTAAATTTTTTTCCAATTATTTTCTTGAATTACAGGAACCACAGACATCGGACAGGATATCAGAGGGATTAAACTAAAAGTTACAAGTTCCTGATAACACTCACAGACTGGAGAATTTTAAGTGAATAACTTTATGATGAGACAGCAATGCCTTCCTATTTGGTCCAAAGGTTGATGGAACTTTAAAGAACAGCAGCACACAAAGACTCAGTTTCGGTTCTAATCAAAATATAAAAAGAACTGAATTCAGAACAGTCAAGAACAATTTAGAGTAAATCTGAAAATTTGTATGTGTCAGCATTAAAAGAGCCATAGAAGTCGAGACAGAAAATACCTGTATATAATGATTATAACTACTTTAATTGACCATTAATCGACCAAATATTATAATGAGACCAATCAAGAAGCCATTTCAAGGAATTTTCCTATGATGATAACTCACAGGGACAAGCGAACGGATGGCAAACATCAATTACTATGCAAATTGATAATTGGTTGTCAATCACAGTCATACAGACACTGGACAAGATCAAAAGATTAAAGAGCAATTTCAGTAATAAATATTTTATTCCCATTAAAAAGCATGCAGCTATCTGGCTATTCAGATTGTTGGCAACCGATTAAAAACAATCTGACAATATATGAATAACTCATTCAATTTGTCTGTAGTAGTTTATAAAACAGAGTGTTATTTACATGGTTAGCTTATTGATTATCCAACAACCATGTTAAAATATTATGTTTTCTACTTTATGATATAATAATGTCAACTTGTATATAATAATACAATAAAAATGAAAATATTTGGTACACAATGGATGACTGATCAACTGAAGTTTATCATCTACAAATTGTGACCATAAACCATTTTCTCACAAATTATACTGTACAAGTGTTGTTGTAAAATCTCCTAAAAGTGAATTTTCTAGAAATCACGACAAACACAGATTTTAAATCATTCTTTGTTACCTACATATAGCAATAAATTAGTGAGAACTAGGGTTTAAAGCTTTACTAGTATCATTATCTAAATCTTGCTTACATGATAAGAGTGCATTTTTAACCAAACTAGGTAGTTTGTTTAATTGTTGTCTGGTTTTATAATGCATCTGTAAGTGCAAGAGCACATTATTACTAAATATTGGCCTTACTAACATTAACTATTGTCCTCTATAATCTCCTTAACTGGCCTGTTTAGACAATGACTGAACTGTCTTTAGGGTAGTCAGCACAGTGAGTTGCTGGTGAATTTTCATCATTTTTGAATTTTATTGTCTCAGTTAGCCCAACCTTTAATAGCAATCAGTATGGTTTATTTCAATCTTTTGGAGAATAGTGTATCCCTTTTTGCAGTTTCAATTTTCTACCAAATTCATTCATTTACATTTATTAAATATTATTATTCATTAATTTACAGAAGACAGTAGATTATAAGTTATTTATTAGAAATTAGATTAGTTAACACCCCATCTTTGTGTTAGAATGCATTTATATCTGTTATAATTGTTTGTATTTATTATAATCCATCAATATTTATTTAGCATAAGGTTATATATGTGCCTGAAGTGAACTGT